AGACATCTGATTGGCCACTATGAGAAAAAGATGCTGGAAGAGATGGGCCATTGAGCTGGTCAGGAAGGTTCTTCTGATGCGATGCTCTTGAAGCCTCTTCAACCATTGAGGAGAGGCCTTGATTTCCAGAGCCCTCACTGTCTTCGTTGGGGTTGACAGCTCAGGAATACCCCAGAACCTGAGATTTCAGGGCCCAGACCTGAGACCTAGGGGACGCAACAGAGGCAGCCCCTGGAGACGGAGGTTAATTGGGAGAGAGCAGCAGAGGAGGGCTGGATCTCCACTTCGCCCTGAGCAGGGGTGCCAACTTGAATAAAATATTGGGTGGGCCCAGGTAAGCCCCGGCCTGCATAACTAATTACAAAACACGGCTCACACACATCATTTGAATGGCAAGTCCCATAAATGGGGGGGGGCTGCCCCCTCAAATATTTTATGGAGAGGGACCTAGGAGATGGCTTCTATGACCCCGTGTCTATGCTATAATTTGCAGCCAGATTGTGCCCAGCTGAAACTTTCAAGCTACATGCACAGTCTTTTCAAATTATTAATTACAGTATTATCAATCAGTCTTTATTACGGTCCAGAGACCCAACAAATCGTTACAAAGCAATGCACATTTCAAACAGCCTACCTCCAGGTTAAACAAGCATTTTGTTCAGACTTAAAGATAGGGATCATTGGTTCTTGCAACCACCGATAAAAACTTCACCGCTGCTTATGTTCTAGCTTTTGTCCGGTCTTCCAATAGGAACCTGACATAGTGAGCCTCTGATTTTCCCGAGAAAGGTACCAGCAAGGGTAATATCAGTTCAGCCCTGGCTTGCTCATATTTCGTACAGTGCAGCAAAATATGTTTTATAGAATCAATGTCTTGAGCACACGAGCGAAGTCTGTCCTGGTAGGGAACTCCTCTCAACCTGCCATCCAACACTGCAGAAGGAAAGACGTTTAGTCTGGCTTTGGAGAATAACCTTCGATAATTTGGTACTGTCAGGTTTTTAATGTAAGGTGTTAACTTAAAGACATGCCCATATTGTACTCCTACTGCCAGCGGACTACAGACTGCTTGTGTATTATTATTATTATTATTATTATTATTATTAATAATAATAATTACAAACATCACCATCATTACTGGCACCCTCACACACCTGGAGACACAAGCCCTCCATCTGCCCCCAGAAGGGGCCAGGCAAAGAAAAAAGTGGTGCTATTAGATTGATTTTTTAAAAAGAGCTCATATGCAACCACAAGTCAGATTCCCTCACAACAGACCACAACTTGCACACACTTGAGGAAGGCTCTTTGTCCACCGGATTCTGATTTATTTCTGGGAAGCGGGGAACCTCCGCTTGCCCAGACTAAGGTGGCCTGGGGCCAGCAAGAGATGGGTTTTGCCTCTGTTTCCAAGCAAGAATCCTCCGGAAAAACAATCTCTCAAAGGACCTGTTGATGGCATTTTACCATTGTACTGTGGAGAGTATATTAACTTATGGTCTGTGTGTGTGGTTTGGGAGCTGCACGGCCAGGGAAAAAACAATGCTGTCCAGGGTTGTAAAGACTGCGGAGAGAATAATTGGGTGCACTCTTCCCACCTTGGATCAAATCTATGCAGCCAGGTGCCATAAGAAAGCTGCAGAGATAGCGCAGGACAGTGTGCACCCCGGAAATTATCTCTTTCAGCTTCTGCCTTCTGGAAGAAGGTACAGGGTTATAAAGACTAGGACTAGCCGCCTGAGAAACAGTTTCTATCCAAATGCGATTTTGGTTTTAAACGCGATGTAAGGTAGACTCTGCGGGACGCGGGTGGCGCTGTGGGTAAAACCTCAGCGCCTAGGGCTTGCCAATCGCATGGTCGGCGGTTCGAATCCCCGCGGCGGGGTGAGCTCCCATCTTCGGTCCCAGCTCCTGCCCACCTAGCAGTTCAAAAGCACTCTTAAGTGCAAGTAGATAAATAGGTACTGCTTTATAGCGGGAAGGTAAACGGCGTTTCCGTGTGCTGCGCTGGTGCTGGCTCGCCAGAGCAGCTTCGTCATGCTGGCCACGTGACCCGGAAGTGTCTCTGGACAGCGCTGGCCCCCGGCCTCTTCAGTGAGATGGGCGCACAACCCTAGAGTCGGACACGACTGGCCCGTACGGGCAGGGGTACCTTTACCTTTAAGGTGGACTCTATGGGAGTATATTGTATTTAATTATGGAGTATCAGAGTTTTTAGGGGGCTAACCAGGCTGGGATAGCAGGCTTGTTGGTTTTTGAATGTCTGATGTAGATTTTTTTCAGTTTCGTTGTTCTGTATGGGACAATGACAATAAAGATTATCGTATCGTAAAAGGTGGGTTCCACAGCTTGTCGCTGGCAGGAAGGTTTTGAAGGAAGACGGGGGAAAGGGGGTTGGTAAGGGGTGGGGGAGTGGGTCAGAAAATTTAATCTGCAAACCTGTCAGCAGGTTTTAAAGCAGAAAAGTAGACAGGCAGATTGGATGTTAATCTGCCTTGATCCCCCAGAGACAGATGGGCGGAGGAGACGCCCGCAGAGGAGGAAGACCTTGCAAAGGTGAAGCCAGGAGGCGAGCAGAAAACCGTCTGGCAGAGCCGGGGAGAGGAAGGCGAAGGAGAAAAGAGGGAGATGCTGGGTGGGGGGGCAGCCAGGGGAGCGGATGTGGGGAAACAAGGTTAAGCTTGGTTTACTTTTTTTCTCTCCCCCTAATGAACTGGATAAGTCGGGTAAGGGAAGTGCAAGCTGCAGCCGGGCGAGACCCACACAAGTGGGGCTGCGTTTGTAGCAGGCCTGCCCTCCGCCCCCCTGGAAGAAACAAACCTCAACCCCATCAATCGTGGGAGTCTTAATGAATGGATTTAATATGCATGTGAATCAAAAACATACGGAGGAAATCATCTTCTCGCAATCTAGGAATCTATCCCTCCCCTTATATTATCAGACAAGCACCATGGCCTCCATTCTGTTTGTGGAACCCATTAAAGACCTTCAATTTTCCCCAAAACAATCCAAGACTTTCAATATACTAAACGGTTTCATGTATAAAATTGCTTTGCACGTGTATTTATCTTTTATTGTTGATGTTTTGCTGTTGAGGTGTTTTCGCAGGAAGCGATTCACAGCTGGAAGTAAATAATTGGAACTGCGGGGAGCTCGTAAGGTTGTATCCATTGTTCACCCTACTCGGATCAGGCCCATTTTAAGTAATGGACACTGCTAACTTAGGTCTACTAATTTCAATGGGTCTATAACTTTTCTTTGGGTAAGCCCTCTTAGTGTAGACCATGGGTAGGCAAACTAAGGCCCGGGGGCCAGATCCGGCCCAATCGCTTTCTAAATCTGGCCCGCAGATGGTCCGGGAATCAGCATGTTTTTACATGAGTAGAATGTGTCTTTTTATTTAAAATGAATCTCTGGGTTTTTTGTGGGGCATAGGAATTCGTTCATCCCCCCCCCAAAAAAATATAGTCCGGCCTCCCACAAGGTCTGAGGGACAGTGGACCGGCCCCCTGCTGAAAAAGTTTGCTAACCCCTGGTGTAGACCCATTGAAATTAATGAGCCTAAAATAGTCTTGTCGGTGGCTTTCAGTGGGTCAATTCTAGAGGTAATTAGTTTGTAGCCATCTAAATTCTACTCAGGGTGGAATTCTTGTAATGAACCAAATTAGTCATGACTATTAACTTCATTGTATACATGATTACAACTTTTTGCCTGAATGTTTATAAAGACTTTTCAGCATTGATGCATCCTTTATTTTCAAGGGTTGGGGGGGGGGGGGTTGGCCTTCCTTGCAATTTTTATATTGGTTTCCCACTGATACTGTATTCAGCAAATATGTAAGGTGGGGTTTGCCATCTTGAGTCTGTGTAAGTAAATTAATAATAATAAAAAGTACGATGTTTGGCAAAGATTGTGTTAACTTTTTAGTTGAGCAAACAGTTTTTGATCGATTAATCCCTGAATCAACGTAACATCGAAATACTAATTACAGTGGCACCTCTGGTTACGTACTTAATTCATTCCGGAGGTGTGTTCTTAACCTGAAACTGTTCTTAACCTGAGGTACCACTTTAGTTAATGGGGCCTCCTGCTGCCAGAGCACAAGTTCTGTTCTCATCCTGAAGCAAAGTTCTTAACCCAAGGTACTATTTCTGGGTTAGCGGAGTCTGTAACCTGAAGCGTCTGTAACCTGAAGCGTATGTAACCTGAGGTACCACTGTAATAGCTAGGATAAGTACTCTGTAGAATCAGAAACCTCCAGTTGCAGTTTCATAATTACCTAGGGTTTCACACACACTGAAAAAATACTGCCAGTTTGTACTTGGCGCCTTGAGGTAAAAAAATAACATAAGAAGAGTCTTTTACCTGGATGAGGCCCAAGGCCCATCATTCAGTGTAGACTGTATTGAGATAGGTTAGCTGTGAAAAACAGATACAGGGTGGATGTTGTCCTGCAAATTTTCATTCCAATAATTAATAAAGATCATTTTTCAATAAATCCTGTGGATTTTGCTGAGCTGGGGCATAGTAAGTCTGTTCCGTAAGTAAGGCAATTTCCCCAAAAAGATTAAACACAGAATTATAGTAATATTGTGCATCTTGCAGTTAAGAGAGTTCTGGGGCTGATAACAAGCTTGGTAACAGCTCTCCGCAATTGCTCTCCCGGGCCATCAGTGGAACAGAATGCTATTTATTTCATTTATTTATTACTTTCACATCTCATCCTTTTCTCCAGTGAACTCAAGCTGGAATAGACGGTTCTCCAACTCCTCGCCGCTACAACCCTGTGAAGTAGGTTAGGCTGAGAGGAAGACTGGCCCAAGGTCACCCAGTGAGATTTGTGGCCGACTGGGAACCCCCGTCTTCCAGGTCCTGCTGCGACACTAACCACTACACCACACTGCCTTATCAGACCTCTGGGTCCATCCAGGTCTGTACTGCCCACGCTGACTGGTGATGGCTCTGTCCAGAGTTTCAGACAGACCGTCTCAGCCCTACCTGCAGATGCCGGGGATTTGAACCTGGGACCTTCTGTGTGGAAAGCAGGTGCTTTTAGCTGCTGAGCTAAGCCCTTGTTTAAGCCGTGGCACGGGGCTCTTTTTAAAATTCCCAGTAAGATGCACTTGGAAGTAGAAGCTGTACGGTGTCTGTACTGGGCTGCCTTGGCACCATCAGGGCAGGACTTTAGGGCATGCGTCCTAAGGGAGCCCCTTAGCAAAATAAACAGGAGGCCTCCAACGTTGTCTGGTGGCACCATGGCTGGGCTGAAAATAATAATAATAATAATAATAATAATAATAATAATACAGTGGTACCTCTGGTTGCGAATGGGATCTGTTCCTGAGGCCCGTTCGCAACGTGAAAAGCCCGTAACCTGAAGCGCAATATCTTTGCAGGTGCGTGGCACAATTTAGCACTACTGCGCATGCGCAAGCGGCGAAACCCGGAAGTAACCCTTTCCGGTACTTCCGGGTCACCGCGGGACGCAACCTGAAAAAATGTAACATGAGGCAAACGTAACATGAGGTATGACAGTAGTAATAAATTTATACCCCGCCCATCTGGCTGGGTTTCCCCAGCCACTCTGGGTGGCTCCCAACAAAATATTAAAAACACGATAAAATGTCAAACATTAAGAACTTCCCTAAACAGGGCTGCCTTCAGATGTCTTCTAAAAGTCAGATAGTTGTTTATTTCCTTGACATCTGATGGGAGGGTGTTTCACAGAGCGGGCGCCACTACCGAGAAGGCCCTCTGCCTGGTTCCCTGTAACCTCACTTCTTGCAGTGAGGGAACTGCCAGATGGCCTTTGGAGCTGGACCTCCGTGTCCGGGCTGAACAATGGAGGTGGAGACGCTCCTTCAGGTCTACTGGGCCTTTGAGGCCGTTTAGGGCTTTAAAGGTCAGCACCAACACTTTGAATTGTGCTCGGAAACGTACTGGGAGCCAATGAAGATCTTTCAGGATTGGTGTTATATGGTTCTGGTGGCCACTCCCAGTCACCAGTCCAGTGGCTGCATTCTGGATTAGTTGTAGTTTCTGGGTCACCTTCAAAGGTAGCCCCACATAGAGCGCATTGCAGTAGTCCAAGTGGGACTAAAACAACGACAATACACAGAGGTGTGGTTGTCTTCCCATTGACAGGTACACCTGTCTTCATGCACAACTGAGTTAAATTTCTAAGGTGCCGAGAAAGCCACAGAACAACATTATAACTGACTCAAAATGTGGGGGTTTGTTGTTGTTTTGTGCAGTGGGGGGGAAGTCAAAGGGGCCGGAGGGGGGAGGAAAGACCTGGAGATTGTTCTCAGGTATGCACAGAGACACACAGTGGCTCTCTTGAGCCCGCTGGCTGGCAGAGGTGCCCAAACGTGGTTTTCAGCCATGCTGTGATCCAGCATTTCCCAACCTGGTGCCCATACCTTTCAACATTTTTCTGGTGAAAATAGGGACATCCTATAATAATAGTAATAATAATAGTAACAACAACAACAATAATAATATTCTGCCCATCTGAATTGGTTGCCCCAGCCACTCTAGGCGGCTTCCAACATATATAAAAAACATAATAAAACATGGAAAAAAACTTCCCTATGCAGGGCTGCCTTCTAAAGGTTCTACTGTATAGTGACTTATCTTTTTTAAAAAATAAATAAATTTGATTTTCCAAAATTTTAAACAAACAAGCAAACAAACAAACATCATAACTGAACTTGGTCCAACCTTAGTAACATTGTTAAATGACTTCCTCAAATTCCCTTGACTGAATTTCATTATATATCATTGTAACGGTTTTCCAAAATAAAATCTCATAAAATTTACTTAGTCCTCTTAACATCTTTGTTTCTTTTCATCCTAACTTTAAACATGGTGTCCTATAACTTCACATATTTAAATCCTTAGGATATCTATTTCTTTGCAGTATAGTGACTTATCTCCTTCGCTCCGGGGTAGGATAACTCCATACCCTCCAAGTTTTATCGGATGAAAATAGGGACGTCCTCAGGAAAAGCAGGGCATTCTGGGATCAAATCAGAAACTGGAACAGCTTCTGTAAATCAGGGACTGTCCATGGAAAATAGGGACACTTGTAGAGTCTGGGCGCCCTTGTAAGAAGAGGCCTGTTGTTATCAGAACAAAGGGTACCCCTCTAGTTCAGGGTTCTGTTCCCACAGCAGGGGCGGACTTTGGGCTTTCCAATTTCAGTGGCACCCTGGGCCACATGACGCCAGCCTTCAGTGCCCCTCCCTGCCTCTCGCCTCCCATTCTACATCATTGTAACCTTCGACGCCTCCCTTTCCATGGAGGCACAGGTTGCAGCCACAGCAAAGGTGGCATTTTTCCATCTCCGCCGTATTAAGCAGTTGGTCCCTTACCTTTCTCGCCCTGATCTGGCCACAGTGATCCATGCAATGGTCACCTCCAGGCTTGATTACTGTAACTCGCTCTATGTGGGGCTGCCCTTGAGACTGACCCAGAAACTCCAGCGGGTGCAGAAAGCCATGGCGAGGCTCCTTACGGGGTCCTTACCGCGGGATCACATTCATCCAGTGCTATACCAGCTGCACTGGCTCCCGGTGGAGGACAGGGTCAGGTTTAAGGTGCTGGTTTTGGCCTTTAAAGCCCTATGCGGCCTAGGACCCACGTACCCACGGGACCGCCTCTTCTGGTATGCCCCGCGGAGGACCTTAAGGTCCACAAATGACAACACCTTGGAGGTCCCAAGTCGCAAGGTGGTTAGATTGGTCTCAACTAGGGCCAGGGCCTTTTCAGTACTGGCCCCGACTTGGCGGAATGCTCTGTCACAAGAGACCAGGGCCCTGCGGGACTTGACATCTTTCCACCGGGCCTGCAAGACAGAGCTGTTCCGCCTGGCCTTTGGTTTGGACTCAGTCTGACCCTTATGTTTCCCTCCCCTTATGGTTTTGATTTATGGGCTACTTTTAAAATGAGGCTGCATTTTAAATTGCATTTTAACCTATATTTTAAATTGCCCCCCCATTGTTTTTACTGTAATTGTACTGGTGTTAACCGCCCTGAGCCCGGCTCTGGCTGGGGAGGGCGGGGTAAAAATAAATTTTATTATTATTATGGTGGTGGCTCCCTCTAGGGCTCTGCGCCTGGTGTGGGCGACCCAGTTGCACTCCCCTCAGTCCGCCTCTGCTCCAAATGTGCCAGCCAAGTGCCCCCCATGGAGAAACCAATGAGCAGGACCAGAGGGCGACAGCAGCAACTCTTCCCAGTCTCAATTCCCAGTACGGTAACTGGCATTTCAGAAGCATTGCTGTCTCGGACAAGCAAGAGGAGAAAACATGTAGCCACTGCTCCATTACGCTTTAACGCGCCGTCTGCGTTGGTGACCTTTTGAGTTTGCAGAACCGAGTCTCTGCCCCGCGAAGCTTACAATTTAAACGCTGGCAGCGGAACCCCAGAGGGGAATGAACGCGAACAAATGCAGTTAGGATGAAGGTCAGCGCTCGGAGGCGCAAGATTTGGGCGCGTCTGTGGTGCCACCTAGGGGCGAGAGATCTGGGTTGACGAACCACACTCCTTTTTTTACGCTTCGTTTTTTGCACTCCCGGCTCCAAGAGGATCCCTGTGATCTGTCGTGATTTGTTTGCCCCCCCTTTTCTTTTGGTCTTCCCCCCAGCAGCGCTGCACGGCGGCTCACAAAGGATTAAGGATCGCCTTGCTCGCAGGATCCAGATCTCTCTCTCCAATCCGCACCTCCCCAAGTCCACACCCTTCTCCTTTGATCCCGGGGCGTCTGAAGCTGCTGTCCGCCACGTGGAAACTGAGCACAGGGGCCCAGGAAAGAAAGAAAAAAACAGTGATGGGGAGAAACGTCCCCAGAGCGCATTCTCTTTAAAAAATAAAAGCTCGCAGTCTTCCAGTACGAGGATGGGAGGCAGGAAAAGGAGCAGGGGGCGGGGGCGCAAAGGGGACTTAAAAAACAACACACCATTGCGAAGCTCCTCCTTGGACGACCTTGATGAACTTTGCAAAGGAAGGAAATCACGGGGTGGGAGGGCAGCTGGTCATGTGAGGCGAGTCCAATAAAGGGGAATTTTGCTTTGCTTTTTCTTTCAATTTGACTGCGAGACACTTCCCGCAGCCGGCAGCTTGCTAGACCCGGGTTAAGTGAATCAGGAGAAGCTGGGGGAGAAATGGCCTCACCCTCCTCTCCTTCCAGGGTCCTTTGGGGGGTCTTGCTCCTTGCGCTGCTCTCTCTGGCTCAGGCAGGTGAGTGACAGTCCTTCCATCTTATTGTAACTTGCTCTACGCGGGGCTGCCCTTGAAGCTGTCCCAGAAACTCCAGCGGGTGCAGAATGCCACGGCGAGGCTCCTCACCGGGTCTCTGCCATGGGAGCATATTCACCCAGTGCTTTTCCAGCTGCATTGGCTCCCTGTGGAGTACAGGGTCAGGTTTAAGGTGCTGGTCTTGACCTTTAAAGCCCTATGTGGCCTAGGACCCTCGTACCAATGGGACCGCCTTTCCTGGTATGCCCCGCGGAGGACCTTAAGGTCCATAAATAGCAACACTCTAGACTTCCCGGGTGGGACGCGGGTGGCATTGTGGGTTAAACCACAGAGCCTAGGGCTTGCCGATCAGAAGGTCGGCAGTTCGAATCCCCGCAAGGGGGTGAGCTCCCGTTGCTTGGTCCCTGCTCCTGCCAACCTAGCACTTTGAAAGCACGTCAAAGTGCAAGTAGATAAATAGGTACCACTCCGGCGGGAAGGTAAATGGTGTTTCCGTGCGCTGCTCTGGTTTGCCAGAAGCGTCTTAGTCATGCTGGCCACATGACCCGGAAGCTGTACGCCCGCTCCCTCGGCCAGTAAAGTGAGATGAGCGCCGCAACCCCAGAGTCAGCCACAACTGGACCTAATGGTCAGGGGTCCCTTTACCTTTTAGACTTCCCGGGCCCTAAGGAAGTCAGATTAGCCTCAGCCAGGGCCAGGGCCTTTTCAACACTGGCTCCAGCCTGGTGGAACGCTCTGTCTCATAAGATTCTTTCCGCAGGGCCTGCAAGACAGAGCTGTTCTTTTTGCACAAAGCTTTGGCATAGTATATTGTATTTTAAAATGGGGTTTCAGAGTTTTTAGGGGTTTTTGAATGTTCTATGTAGATTTTCAGTTTCATTGTTCTGTATGGGACAATGACAATAAAGATATCGTATATCATCAGTCTGGAGGGGGTCCTAAATTTGGGATAACACCACCCTGGATCCTAGTCAGGGGGGCATGTTCTTATCTTCACCCCCTCCCCAGATCAAATCGCCTTCAAGGAGGCCATTTTGATTGCGAAAGACAGCCTGAGGAGGCCAGGTCTTGTGACAGTTGATTCTATCAGTTAATTATTTACCATGTAAAGAAACCCTCCCTTTTCCTCTCTCCTAAATCCACCCCCCAATCCATTTCACTGAGTTACCTGGACAAGAAGCTTTGGGAGAGAGTGGCGTGGAAGCAGTCAGCTGCAGGGCACCTGATTTTGCATGAAGAAGATCTCAGGTTTAATCCCAGAGGGTCAACAATGTCTAGGCAACACGATGGCCATGTACATACACAATAGACAATCTTTATAGAATTCCTTCAAACCATAACAAGTCCAAAATGAAATCTTTCATCTCAAAGTCTCTGAAAATCTTTAAATGAAGCAAGGTACCAGACTTTGTACGATGAAAGACAAGCTGTGAAGCTTTGTGTATTCAGCAAATATGATGTCCAACACTGAACAGTGATTCCGGATATTGACTACTGTTTCGCAGAATTCTTCGTCAGCGTGGTGGGAGGATATAGAATTGCTTCATAAACCCATCTTATTTCGAATGAATGTACGTAAATGAAAATATCCAATGCTGTGGAACAGTGCTCATGTAATAATGTAGTCACTGCTCTGTTGCGTATGTACACGGTCATCGTGTTGCCTAGACATTGCTGACGTTCTCTTTGCAACACTGGGGTTTGTTTGGTTACTTAATCCCAGAAGGGCGTGAAACTCTGGCGAGCTGCTGCCAGTCAGTGTAGGAGACAGTACTGACCTAGATAGACCAGTGGTCTGATTTAGTACAAGGCAGCTTCCTCTGGTCCTATGCGTGGCTCGCTCTCTCCATGCCACGTATAATTTTCCAAACCTTTATCATACCCCTCCGTTGTTATCATTTTCCCTTTGCACTAACTAACCTCAGATACTTTTGCCTTTCCTTGCATGCCCCAGGCTTTTGATCATATGGAAGTTGATCCATAACACCCCACCCATCTGGCTGGGTTCCCCCAGCCACTCTGGGCAGCTTCCATCACATATAAAAACATAAGAAAACGTCAAACATTATTATCGTTGTCATTGCTACATTTGTTATATGTATATTGTGGACGTGGGTGGCACTGTGGTCTAAACCACTGAGCCGCTTGGGCTTGCCGATCAGAAGGTCAGCGGTTCGAATCACCGTGACGGGGTGAGCTCCTGTTGTTCGATCCCTGCTCCTGCCAACCTAGCAGTTTGAAAGTGCACCAGTGCAAGTAGATAAATAGGTACCGCTCCGGCGGGAAGGCAAACAGCGTTTCCGTGCGCTGCTCTGGTTTACCAGAAGCGGCTTAGTCATGCTGGCCACCTGACCCAGAAGCTGTCTGCGGACAAATGCCAGCTCCCTCGGCCTATAGAGCAATATGAGTACCGCAACCCCAGAGTCGTCCACGACTGGACCTAACGGTCAGGGGTACCTTTACCTTTACCTCTCTCTCTCTAAATACTCTCAAAGCAACTTTGAGGTTGATTTCTAGGTCCCTGTTGCTTATTCAACACCAAACAGAAAGAGCTGTATTTGTTCCTGCACCTTGAAATAAAGACCGGGAGAGTGTCCCCTTCAAAATGCACAACAATTATCCCTCATCAAAAGCTCTTTTTTTTGCACAATGTGCTGTAACTCATAAAAACTCCAGACTACACTTCTCAATAAGGCGCTTTGGATTTTTCACCCTATAATACGTTTTGAGTCACCCTCAAGGAAGCATCCACATCGCCTGCACACTTGAGCTTTCAAAAAACACGATGGCATCACATCCGACCCTACTGGGGCCAGTGTGGTGTAGTGGTTAGGAGCAGTAGACTTGTAATCTGGTGAACCGGGTTCGTGTCTCCGCTCCTCCACATGCAGCTGCTGGGTGACCTTGGGCCAGTCACACTTCTATGAAGTCTCTCAGCCCCACTCACCTCACAGAGTGTTTGTTGTGGGGGAGGAAGGGAAAGGAGAATGTGAGCCGCTTTGAGACTTCTTCAGGTGGTGATAAAGCGGGATATCAAATCCAAACTCTTTCTTTCTTTTCTCTTACTTGGGGGGTTAATTTTGGCATGAGCCACGGTCAGATATGCTCCCCTGGCCAGTAATTGCCAATATACACAGCCGTGAATGAGAAAATGGGGTGTGTGCAGCCATCATCTCAAAGGGAATGGTCTCTTGGCCATTGATGCAGAAGATGGGGGGTGTTCAGAAGCAGGGCTTTCCCCCCCAGCTGGAACTTGGCAAAACTGGGTTCTGGCACCTCGCAGGTGGGTGATTGCCATTACAGTGGTACCTCAGAAGTCGAACGGAATCTGTTCCAGAAGTCCGTTCGACTTCCAAAACGTTTGGAAACCGAGGCGCAGCTTCCAATTGGCTGCAGGAGGCTCCTGCAATCAATCGGAAGCTGCAGAAGTTGTGTCAGATGTTTGGGTTCCAAAGAACGTTTGCAAACCGGAACACTCGCTTCTGGGTTGTGGCTTTCAGGAGCCAAAATGGACAAGTACCAAGGCGTTCGGGATCCAAGGTACAACTGTACGTTTCTGAGCACAATTGAAAGTGTTGGTGCTGACCTTTAAAGCCTTAAACGGCCTCGGCCCAGTATACCTGAAGGAGCATCTCCACCCCCATCGTTCAGCCTGGACACTGAGGTCCAGCTCCGAGGGCCTTCTGGCGGTTCCCTCACTACGAGAAGCAAAGTTACAGGGAACCAGGCAGAGGGCCTTCTCGGTAGTGGCACCCACCCTGTGGAACGCCCTCCTACCAGATGTCAAAGAGAAAAATAACTACCAAACTTTTTGAAGACATCTAAAGGCAGCCTAATGTTTAATAGGTTATTGTATTTTAGTGTTTTGTTGGAAGCCGCCCAGAGTGGCTGGGGGGACCCAGCCAGATGGGTGGGGTATAAACAATAAATTATTATTATTATTAATATTATTATTAGAAAACAAGGGAGGCATTCATGGTGAGTTCTGGCAGCTCTTTTTCTAGAGAAATAGTACTGCTCAACAACATATTTTTGGATGCAGGGGCATATACATTTCAGTTCCTCATTGAGGCCGAATGTGCAGATCTGTCTGTACAATCTTCCAACTCTATGATTCTGGGAACTACTAGTGAGCTGCTTTTAGTTGTCATATTCTATCAGCCTTCTTCAACCTGTTGCCCTTTGAGAAGGGCCACAGCTCAGCAGCAGAACATCATGCAGAAGGTTCTCAGTTTGGTAGCTGGCATCCCCAGGTAGGATTGGGAGTGAATAGACTCCTGTCTGAAATCCAGTCCGTGTAAACAATACCAAGCGATGATCTGATCTGGTTTAAGGAAGCTTTCCTATCTTCCTAGATGTTTCAGGATTGAGTGAATTCTCCACTCAGCTCACCAGGTGACCTTGGGCCATGAAGATCACCAGGTGACCTTGGGCCAGCCAGCCAGCTTAGCCTACCTCACAGGGTTGTACTGAAGGTGGAAGAGAACCACGCAGAGCATCTTGAGATCTTTGGAAGACAAAAGTTGTCTATAAATGTAAGAAATAAATACAGTGGTACCTCGGGTTAAGTACTTAATTCGTTCCAGAGGTCTGTTCTTAACCTGAAACTGTTCTTAACCTGAAGCACCACTTTAGCTAATGGGGCCTCCTGCTGCTGCCATGCCGCTGGAGCACAATTTCTGTTCTCATCCTGAAGCAAAGTTCTTAACCTGAGGTAATATTTCTGAGTTAGTGGAGTCTGTAACCTGAAGCCTATGTAACCTGAGGTACCACTGTAACCAGAACTCAAAAAAAGAGAGTTTTTCTTCCATTGACCATTTGGGCAAAAGGGACCCACAATCTTTTGAAGTGTAGTAATTTTCAAGGGTCAGGGGTCAGTCTTGATGGGATACTTTTCACCTTGGGACGCTTCAGATGGACTCCGGAAGGAGCAGCCTCTTGGCCTTCCAGAGACCATGAGACTCTGCGTTTCTGCTTGCGAGGCAGATGCGGTCCTGCGTGTGCATTTTGCAAGCAGGAAACTGACGCTGTGCACTCAGCAGCTTTTGTGTCTTCTGTTTCACAGAAGCAAGACGCCGGAACGTTTGCTAGCGTGCTGCTTTACAGAGAAGCAGCGAAGCACAATCCCCCTTTTGGATGTTCATCAGCTGCTTTCGGTTCCCCAAATGTGGTTTGACCGAGCGTTTGCTTCTTGTCAAGTTCCCCCCCAAAAAATTGTTGCAGGGGAGGTCAGAGATGTTTGGGTAGAATACAAGAACAAAAAACCAAACACCACACGCCGGCAAACATTTTTAACTACCGCAGGAGTAAAACAAGCATATGCATCACAAACAACAATTCCTCTTTCAAGCCATCTCCAACTAAGGCCGTGGAAACGCTATGCATTTAAAGTACATGTCTCCCCCCAAAGAATCCTAGGAACTGTAGTTTGTGAAGAGTGCTGGGAATCGTAGATTGGTGAGATCTGGGAAATGCCCATTTCCCAGAATTCTTTGGGGGAAGATTCAAAGACAATCCATGAAACTTTTAAACATTTCCGTGTAGTATAGCATAGTATCAAAGTAATTTTATTTTTAGAATATGGATAGATATCTTTTCAAAACGAGAGCAAGAGCATGCCTTCTTTGTGCCTAGTTTGTCTCAAACATGACCTAATATAAATGAGATTACCCAGCGAAAACAAGCTCACGCCTTTTGTTGGGTTTGCATACATACTTAAGGTACATATATAAGGGCTTGTTTATATTTTGGGAATGGTTCAGAGAATCAGAGAATCGTAGAGTTGGAAGGGACCCTGAGTTTTTCCTGATGTTTAGTTGGATTCATGTTCTTAAGTCACTGCATTGTTTTATACTTTTGGGGTGCCCCATGATCATATTATAAAAAAGTAGGGCTCTGTGCTATGAATCAAGCACTGCTGGGAGTCATTTCCTTTTTCCCAGTGTATTTCTTATAAATTAAAAAAAATTGGAGTGGCACAAGCACATTTTTGTTCTGAAAGTGTGGCCCAGAGAAAAAAATGTTTGAGAACCACTGCTCTGGCAGGACAGCTGTGTTGGTCTGTTGTCCGAAAACAAGCAAAGAGTCTGGAGCATCTTTTGTTACGGTGCCCTTCTGAAGGAGCGCCTCCACCTCCATTGTTCTGCCCGGACACTGAGGTCCAGCTTCAATGGCCTTCTGGCGGTTCCCTCCCTGCGAGAAATGAGGTTACAGGGAACCAGGCAGAGGGCCTTCTTGGTAGTGGCACCCACCCTGTGGAATGCCCTCCCACCAGATGTCAAAGAGAACAACAACTACAGTGGTACCTTGGGTTACATACGCTTCAGGTTACATACGCTTCAGGTTACAGACTCCTCTAACCCAGAAATAGTACCTCGGGTTAAGAACTTTGCTTCAGGATGAGAACAGAAATCGTGCTCCGGCGGCACAGCAGCAGCAGGAGGCCCCATTAGCTAAAGTGGTGCTTCAGGTTAAGAACAGTTTCAGGTTAAGAACACATCTCCAGAAAGAATTAAGTTCTTAACCTGAGGTATAATAATAATTTATTATTTATACCCCGCCCATTTGGCTGGGTTTCCCCAGCCACTCTGTTCGGCTTCCAACAAAATATTAAAATACAATAGTCTATTAAACATTAAAAGCTTCCCTAAACAGGGCTGCCTTCAGATGTCTTCTAAAAGTCTGGTACAGTGGTACCTGTGTTCTCATGCTGAAGCAAAGTTCTTAACCCGAGGTACTATTTCTTGGTTAGCGGAGTCTGTAACCTGAAGTGTCTGTAACCTGAGGTACCACTGTATTTCAACTATGGCTCCCATCAGCTGGCTGTCCACAAATGCTTGTGCCGTAATAACAACCCTGTATGCTGCTGGAATCCTGAGCATTCGTTGAATAGCCGCGATGGCCTGCACTGGGCCGTCTAAATGCCAAGATGCATGTGATCTGAGAGAGCCTGGCATTATGCAGAAGTGCACAACTTCAGGCGTCTTTTCGGTGTCTTCCCCTCCAGGCAGGAATTTCTGGCTCTTCCGCCAGCAGGTCCTGAAGCAGCAAGAGCAGCGCGCGATGCAGGAGGCGTATCTTCGCCTGAGACAGCTGCCTCGGTTCCTGGTCCCAGGGATGTGGGACGCTCCCCTCGAGAGCTTCATCCGCCAGCCCCTGGACCACTTCAACCGACAGGAGCAGCGCACCTACAACCAGGTACGAGGTGCTCGATGATCTGGCAACATCGATGGCGCTTACTTGGGTTTATTATTTCAACTCATGTGCAACCACTCGTTCTACGTGCCTTTTTTATAGTTTTGCTTTTCATCTTTTAGTTTTCTTTTAAAAAAATATATTTGATTTTCCAGATTAAAATTTTACATTCACATAACAGCATAAAATATAAAAACGAGATTCCAGAGAATCTCCTGGACTTCCCTTCTCCCTTTTGTGAGTCTTATTATTTGTCCTTTCCTTCTGCATCTTTTATAAAGGTTGTTTTCTGCTGCTCCAGAGAAGCGGACACGGAGCAATGGATCCAAACTACAAGAAAGAAGATTCCACCTAAACATTAGGAAGAACTTCCTGACAGTAAGAGCTGTTCGACAGTGGAATTTGCTGCCAAGGAGTGTGGTGGAGTCTCCTTCTTTGGAGGTCTTTAAGCAGAGGCTTGACAACCATATGTCAGGAGTGCTCTGATGGTGTTTCCTGCTTGGCAGGGGGTTGGACTCGATGGCCCTTGTGGTCTCTTCCAACTCTATGATTCTATGATTCTATGATTCTATGATTCTATAAGAATCCAAATTTTTGTATCTCCATTATATCCAAAGTTATATCATTACACTACAAGTGTTGTTCCAATCCCACTAACGATTTTAACTGTTTACAACGGTCCTTAAGATAAATTATAAATTTCCCCCATTCCTTAGAGTCAATGTGGTGTAGTGGTTAAGAGCGGTAGTCTCGTAATCTGGGGAACCGGGTTTGCGTCTCCGCTCCTCCACATGCAGCTGCTGGGTGACCTTGGGCCAGTCACACTTCTTTGAAGTCTCTCAGCCCCACTCACCTCACAGAGTGTTTGTTGTGGGGGAGGAAGGGAAAGGAGAATGTGAGCCGCTTTGAGACTCCTTCGGGGAGTGATAAAGCGGGATGTCAAATCCAAACTCTTCTTCTTATTAAAGTTTTGGTCCTCCTGATTTCTGATTCTTCCGGTCATTTTTGCCATTTTGCCATAGTCCACCAACTTGATCTGCCATTCTTCTCTGGTAGGGACTTTATCTTCTTTCCATCTCTCGGCTAATAGCATCCGCACATATATGTAAATAGTCTTTTCTGATCCCTTGGAATTTCAGCACCTAGAATTCCTAAAAGAAAAGCTTCGTTGTTTTTTTTAAAAAAAGTTATTTTAAACATTTTTTTCCAATTCATTATATATCTTTTCCCAGAATGCTTTTACTACCTTACACATCCACCACATCATTCAATTTTCACCTGCTGTGATGATTGTTCCCTTTGTTTTATATACATTATAAAATTATTATTATCATCATTATTGTTATGCTTTACATGTGCTGTCTGAATGTTGCCTTAAGGTTACCAAACGTCCCTGTTTCCCGGGGACAGTCCCCAGATTTACAAATCAGTCCCCATACAAAATCCATTGAAGTTGAAAAGTGTCCCCGGATTCATTGAAAAAAATCTGGTAACCTTACCTTAGGCAAGCCCACCCCCTCTGTAGAGTCATGCTTTGGGGAGGGGGAGTCCCTTTCACTCGTAGTGATATTCCTTCTCTTCTTTGTTGTTGTTTAGTCGTGTCCAACTCTTCGTGACCCCCTGGACCAGAGCACACCAGGCACTTCTGTCTTCCACTGCTTCCCGCAGTTTGGTCAAACTCATGCTGGTAGCTTCAAGAACACTATCCAACCATCTTGTCCTCTGTCATCCCCTTTTCCTTGTGCCCTCCATCTTTCCCAGCATCAGGGTCTTTTCCAGGGAGTCTTCTCTTCTCATGAGGTGGCCAAAGTATTGGAGTCTCAGCTTCAGGATCTGTCCTTCCAGTGAGCACTCAGGGCTGATTTCCTTCTGAATGGAGAGGTTTGATCTTTTTGCAGTCCATGGGACTCTCAAGATTCTCCTCCAGCACTGTAATTCAAAAGCATCAATTCTTCGGCTATCAGCCTTCTTTATGGTCCAGCTCTCACTTCCATACATCACTAGTGGGAAAACCATAGCTTTTACTATACAGACCTTTGTTGGCAAGGTGATGTTTCTGCTTTTTAAGATGCTGTCTAGGTTTGTCATTGCTTTTCTCCCAAGAAGCAGGCGTCTTTTAATTTCATGACTGCTGTCACCATCTGAAGTGATCATGGAGCCCAAGAAAGTAAAATCTCTCACTGCCTCCATTTCTTCCCCTTCTATTTGCCAGGAGGTGATAGGACCAGTGGCCATGATCTTCGTTTTTTTGATGTTGATGTTGATGTTTTGATGTCTCTTCTTTACCTCCCTAAAATTCACAGCGATTCTGGATTAACCAGGACTTTTGGCGACGCCCCGACGGACCGGTCTTCCTCTTCATCGGGGGCGAGTCTGCCTTGTCGGTGTTTGATGTGCTGGCAGGTGGGTGTCAGGCAACACCTCAGTTGCGGAGATTGGGGAACGAGGTCTCTTACATAGTCATTCATTCATTCATGGCATTTCAACCCCGCGTTTTTCTCCCAAGGTGGCACCTGTGGTTGTTATGTACTGAAGTTCTCACCCTGGGCCAGCAGGGGGATACTGTAGATAGTTCAGGTCCACATGTGCAAATAAGGGATCGAAAGTGACGTTCAGTGATTGGATAGTTACAGAAAGTTGTTACAGTTACGTTGTAATGGAGCTCTATATAAGCAGGCTGGCTGAACCCTTCAGTTCAGTTCTGTTCTGGCCTGTGAATAAACAAGAGCTGTTTGACGAATCGCTGTGTTGTCTGATATGTTCACCCACAACTTAACACTGGCGACGAGGATGGGATCGATGGACATCAGAGCACAGCCAGATGCGGCCACTCTCTGAGCTGAGCTGAATGACTGAGCTGAAACACTGAGCAAAATCACGGAGCAGGGTGAGAACTTCAGTACATAACAGTGGTTCTCTTCCTCCTCATTTAATCCCCTCAGCAACCCTGTGAGGTAGGCTGAGAGGCAGTGACTGGCCCAAGTGAGCTTCTTAGCTGAGCAGGGATTTGAACCCTGCACTCCCAGGTCCCAGCCCAACACTCTAACCACTACACCACACTGTTTTTGAGATGGGATTTGCCAGAGCTTCGCCTTCAACTGCATTTGCAGGGCCCAAGGCTCTGCCCTGGATTGACTGAAGGCATACGGAGCGGCCACGAGGACGTACAAAGTTCCTGCACCAAGGCTAGGATGGTTTTGTCGTCCCAAATTCCTGTGAATGGTGTCCATTCGTCTTTTGTCAACATTTAAGCTTTCATTCCCAGTTGCTGGCAATCACCGGTATGCAGAGTGCTGCTGTTCTCCTGTCCAGCTTGCAGGCTGCGTCCACACCGTAATAAGAATAAATAATAATTTTATTATTTGTGCTCCGCTCATTTGACTGGGTTTTCCCAGCCACTCTGGGCGATCATATATTTAAAACACTATGAAACCACTTTTAACAATCATGGTTCCCCCCCAAAAAAAAAACTTTGGGGGCTGTCATCTGTTAAAGGTGCTAAGAGTTGCCAGGAGAACTACAATTCCTAGCTCTTCCCTATGAAGAAAGTTGAAATGTTAAACCACTCTGAGAATTGTAGCTCCGGGAAGGCTTAGGGGTCTCCTATCCTCTGTAGTCTTTGAACCTGAAGGTCCCCATCTACACAATACATTTAAAGCAGTATCATATCACTTTAAACCAGAGTTTCCCAAACTCGGGTCTCCAGCTGTTTCTGGACTACAACTCCCATCAGCCCATAGTCAGCAGCACCAGCGGTCAGGGATGATGGGAGCTGTAGTCCAAAAACAGCTGGGGAAACCCTGCTTTAAACATTCAGGCCTTCCTTCTCCCAGAGAATCCTGGGAACTGTAGTTTGTTAAGGGTGCTTAGAGTTCTTAGGAGGCCCGCTATTCCCCTTCCACGGTTACAATTCCCAGAGTGGTTTCCCAGTCAGTCCCTCTTCCTAGGGAACTCTGTGAATTATAGCTCTGTGAGGGCAGCAGGCAGGATCTCCTATCCCTCTTAACGAACTACAGCTCCCAGAATTCTTTGCAGGAAGCCACAACTGCTTAAAGTGGTATCGCCGCGCTTTAAACGTATGGTGTGAAGGTGGCCAGAGTGAGACCTATCCCCTGTTTCTCTTTCCGGTTTTAGGACACCACGTAGAGCTGGCCCAGAAGTACGGAGCTCTGGTGTTGGCCCTCGAACACCGTTTCTATGGGGCCAGCATCAATCCCGATGGGCTGCAGGATCACAACCTTCAGTTCTTGTCCAGCCAGCAAGCGTGAGTTGGCACCTGTGACTCGTATTGCAAACCCTGCATGCGTTTCCATAATACCGTAACATTTTCTTTAAATATTTTACAAACGCTTCCATTCCTCCAGAAACGTTTCCTTCATTTTTAATCTCTAATTTTGGCTTGCTCTGTCATTTTTATAAGCCTTTGGCATCTTTTCGTTGGCATCTTGCCTCCTTCCCATTTTTGAGCGTATATCGTTCTTGCCGCTGTCGTGGCATGCATAAATAAATTGTCTTAAGTCGATCGCATCTGGTTGCAAGTTCTGCCGTCTCCTTTTGCAGCTTGTCTGACCTGGCTTCCTTCCACCACTTCGTCACCCAGAAATTCAACCTGACGTCCAACAACACCTGGATTTGCTTCGGAGGCTCCTATCCTGGCTCGCTGTCTGCCTGGTTCAGACTCAAGGTGGGACCACAAGATCTCCAGTAGAGGCCAATAGGAACAGGACAGTGCCAGAATTACTTATAAGCTAAACAAGCTATAGCTTAGGGCTCCACTCTCTTGGGGCCCCCCAAAAATTAAAGGGAAAAAAACACCTGGATGTACATTTCCAGAATATAAGATAAAAAACGAATAAAATAAAACCTACATACAGCAACAGTGTTTTGTGTTGTATAGGCTCCTAGGATGTAAGTCATGGGCCCCGTCAGCTAGCCTGCTCCCTAAAATATCACTGGTTTGCTCATTTCTATATATAGGGTGCCGACATTCTGCATGGGCTGGTTGCATGAGTAAACAAACAAATCCCTGGGTTGCAAAATATAAGTCAGCAATATCAAAAGCAACACGATGGCCAGAAACAATAACAATGTGAAAAACTTTATGGAATAATTGAAAACATCAAAACTAACAAACGGAAGTCTCTGAAAGTCCTTAAATGAATCACGGTGCCAGACTTTACCCGGCGGAGAGCAAATTGTGAGTAGATATAATGAAAAATATTCTGGAACAGTGCTCATGCAATCTCTTCGAAAAAAGATTGGTTAATGAAGAAATTACATATCTTTCTACTTAAGAGTGTTGAACTAATTGGCTGATGAAGAATTCAACAAAACAGTAGTTGTTATCTGGAAACACTGTTCAGCAGAGTTCAGAGTTGGACAGCAGAATTGGACATTTGCTGATTATACAAAGCTTCACAGCTTGCTCTCCATCTTCCGTGAACACAGTCTCAAAAGTGAGTCCGTAAGTGACTACAGAGGCCAATTCTGGATCCACACGTCCATTCTCTCTCTCTCTCTCTCTGTTCCAGTTTCCCCACCTGGTTTTTGCTGCTGTTGCTTCTTCTGCCCCCGTCAGAGCCCAGCTGGATTTCACAGGCTACCTTATGGTGAGTTCTTGGCAAAGAAACCAGGTGGTCTTTTTGAGTTTGGGGATGGCCCTCAGAGCTCCTTGAGGCCCTCTCAAATGATGACCACACTGGTACCGAATACCAAGAAAACTAGTGTTAATACGCCCAGGAACCTCACCAAAATGCTGGAGAGGGTACACCTCCACAGGCACATACCTCCACATGTGGTGGGAGTGCCCCAAAATCCAACTATTCTGGACAACAACCATACGAGAAATATGTAAAATAACCAAGCAAGTATTAGAAACCACCCCAGAATTGGCCTTACTAAACATCTTCCAAGGCAATAATGCCCACTTACACCACAAAGAACTCATAACCCACCTACTTTCAGCAGCCAGAAGCACCATAACCAGACACTGGAGAGACCTGTCAGGAGTAAGCATGGACCAATGGTACCAAATAGTATGGGAAATAGCCCTACTAGAAAAATTAACCAATAAACTGAAACTGACACGGGGACAAATAGAAGAAGACACCTTCACCCCAGTATGGCTCCCATTTATCACACACACAGCCCAACAAGACAATGACAAAAATCCACCAACAGCATACAAATCAATATGGCTAACCTGATCCAAAACACCCACCCACCCCACTCACACATGAAAAGAAAGACCACCACAGCCAACCACAGATGAACAGCCACACCTTAGGCCAACCCCAACCTCTCTCACCACCAAAGGAGCACAAGCGAACAGCAGAGAACCTGCACAAGCAACGCTGACACCAAACCACCACATTTATTAAATAAAATAGAAACATCGCCACCTGACCCCACCCCCACTCATCTTCCCCCCTGCCACCTCTTTCCCCCTATTCTTCCTACTGTGTCAACAAATGAAACTGATTTGTTAAAATGTTACATGGGGGAAAAATATGAGAGAAAGTCATTGCACACAGTTTTGTAAATTAAGAAAATCTTTAATACAAATACATTAAAAAAATAATAATGATGACCACACGATGGCCAAAAGTTTGCCCGTGGTTGAACTCAGCCTCGGTCAACCGGAAAGGCCTCCAGATATTTGGACTACAACTCCCATCAGCGCTGGCGGGGGCTGATGGGAGTTGTAGTCCAAATATCGCCAGTTTTGACTCGAAAGGAAATTATTCCTCCTCCCCCAAATAGCGAAGAAGAAAAAGCTGGAATTAATACCACAGTGTGAATCATCACATTCGAACGTAATGTTCCCACCATGCCTGAAACCCCATGCGACTTAACAACTTCGTCCTTATCCCCCCCCCACCTATCTCTCTTTTGCTTCTTCCTCTCCAGGTTGTTGCCGCAAGTCTGTCCAATCCAGTGGTCGGTGGTTCCAAAGAGGTGGGGTTTTTAATATTTTCCCAGATGACTCGTTTTTTGGCCGTGTGGCAAAGTGCAACCGTTAAAAGTGGTTCTGTAACGCTTTAAATGCATAGTGCGGACGCATCCCTGCTTTTTGCCGCCTGTCGTGTGCTCCCCCTGTGTTTCCTTTTTTAAAAAAGAAATATTTATTTGATTTCAGAAAAAATAAACTAATAATAATAATAATAATAAAAGTTTATTTGTATCCCACCCTCCCTGGCAGAGACTGGGCTCAGGGCGGCTAACATCAGATATATAACATTGGTATAAAATCAAACAATAATTAAATTACCTCCTAAAAACAAGTCAGGATCAAATAATAACAAAGTCGATTAAAAATCCATATAACGAGATTGCTCTGAATCTTAAGGCTTTCCCCCATCCCCTCCAGTTGTCAAGATTCACAACTGCATATCAGTCCATTATCCACATTTTTTATCCATCTAAATTGTCCATAGTTTTTGTTACTTTACAAGTGCGATTAAAATCGTGCCAGTGTTTTCATCTGCTTACAATGGTCTCCTAAATAAATTACAAAATTTCCCCATTCTTTTTTTCAAAGTTCCTGTCCTCACCTTCCTTTTTGCTTGCCTCGCAGTGCATGGAGGCCGTGGCTGACGGCTTCTCTGCTGTGGATGCCCTGGTGCAAGATGGAGCCCGGGCCAAGCTGGCAAAGGACTTCCGCTCCTGCCAGGAGTTGGAGGGCCCTGGCGACTGCGTGGAGCTGGTGTCCAACCTGGCTGACATCTTCATGCTGGCTGCGCAGTACAACAACGAATACATGGAGTGGAGCACCATCGCCAACTTTTGTCGTGTCATGACCAACAACAAGACTGGCTCTGCCTACCAGAGACTTATGGCTGCCAACAACGTAAGCCTGCGTCTCGGTGGGCAGGAGACCATTCTAGGGCCCGGACTGAGGAGCTGTGTCAATCCTTTTCCTTTGTTTAGGATGAGAGTGTGACTGGGCTGCAACTCCAGTGTGGTGTAGTGGTTAAAAGCGGTAGTCTTGTAATCTGGGGAACCGGGTTCGCGTCTCCGCTCCTCCACATGCAGCTGCTGGGTGACCTTGGGCCAGTCACACTTCTCTGAAGTCTCTCAGCCCCACTCACCTCACAGAGTGTTTGTTGTGGGGGAGGAAGGGAAAGGAGATTGTTAGCTGCTTTGAGACTCCTTCGGGGAGTGATAAAGCGGGATGTCAAATCCAAACTCTTCTTCTCTCAGTATTATTTATTATTAGTATTACTATCTGGACTCGCACCTTGGCAGCTGTTTTGTGCGGGCGCCCACGGCATGTTTATCGCAATATGAGCGTTTTTTAAACAACAACAACAAAAGGACTTTATTTTATTTCGTAAAGTTTATATACACTTGATTATAGTGGGGGGGAATCTAAAAGCGGTTTACAAAAAAGAATAGAATACAGTCATACCTCGGGTTACAGCCACTTCAGGCTGCGTTTTTTTGGGTTGCGGACCGCTGAAACCTGGAAGTACCAGAATGGGTTACTTCTGGGTTTTGGCGGTCGCGCATGCGCAGAAGTGCCGAATCGCAACCCGTGCAGACGCGGGTTGCGAACGCTGCTGGTTGCGAACATGCATCCCACATGGATCACGTTCGCAACCCGAGCGCCAACTGTAATAGAAATGTCTCCCCAAAACGTGCCAGAAAGTACCGTATTTATTGCTCTATAAACTCACTTTTTCCCTCCTAAAAAGTAAGGGGGAATGTGTGTGCGTCTTATGGAGCGAATGCAGGCTGCACAGCTATCCCAGAAGCCAGAACAGCAAGAGGGATTGCTGCTTTCACTGCGCAGCGATCCCTCTTGTTGTTCTGGCTTCTGAGATTCAGAATATTTTTTTTCTTGTTTTCCTCCTCCAAAAACTAGGTGCGTCTTGTGGTCTGGTGCGTCTTATAGAGCGAAAAATACGGCAAATGATAGGCTCAGAGCAAAACACATGTGTCCGGATAGGCTTGCCTAACCAAACAAACCAACAAAATGTTTTTAGTAGGCGCCAAAAAGAGTACAATGAAAGGTACCTGACTGATTTCACGATGCAGGGAGTTCCAAAGTGTGTCAAAGTTGCTGAGAGTTGCAAGGAGACCCCCTATTCCCCTCACCAAGCTACAATTCCCTAGCTCTTTCCTGTGAAGAGGGATTGACCATGAAACCACTCTGGAATTAATAATAATGATGATAATAATAATAATAACTGAATCACTATATCACAAGGTTCTGTGCAAAAATATTATAAAAAACATTAAACAATTTAAAAAGGAATAGATACATTAAAAATAACCCAGATGGAGACCCCTAGCATAGCTGGAAAAGCTTTTCAGGCCAAAAATGTCGTCAGTTGTTTCCTGTTGCGCCATCGCTGACCATTAGCTGAGCTGGGAGTCCTGGACTCGCAGCGGCGTCTGAAAGGCACTTCCTTGGCCACCTCTGGGTCTGTGCAACAGCCATTCTGGGACTGAAGCTCCTCTTATTTTCTTATATATTTAATGTATAGGTGTGGGTTTTTTTTGCACTAGCCAAAGGCCATGGCATCATCCAAAGAAGAAAAACGAAAACAGCAGTTGCTCCATAGACAGTAAAACCATGATCCAATCCACCTGAATTCCTTATTACACAGAATAAAATGTAATCCTCAAATAAAATGTGCAGATTTAGATCTCAAGAGTCCCCTTTGCAATTGACCGCGAGCCCACCCAGATCTTTCTTCCTAATCTTCCTAGCTGCCACCTTATAAGTCACGGAGTTATCACTCAGCAGCCAGTTCACCCTCTGGTTAGATTTGTTACCTTCGTGAAAAGGGGTTTTGTGAATCGGTTTCTTGGGTCCATATATAGTGGACGTTGTAGCAAGTGATGGCAAACGTTCTGTACATGTGGTTGCCCACGCAGGCAAAGTCTCTCTTCAAAAGGTATTCCGTTGTATCGCCCACCCAGGGCCGGATTTAGGTTTGATGAGGCCCTCAGCTACTGAAGGCAATGGGGCCCTTTATATGTCCAGCTGTCCTTTGTCAACAACAAATTGTTGCTGTTTTTTGTGTTGAATATATGCTACAATGGACGATTCAGTTGCGAATGTGATCTGTGCGGGATGCACATTCGCAACCCGCGGCGGTGCCTCTGCGCACGTGCCGGTTGCAATTTGGTGCTTCTGCGCATGCGCAAAGCGCGATTTAGCGCTTCTGTGCATGCACAACCGCCGAAACCCGGAAGTAACCCATTCCGGTACTTCCGGGTTTTGGCAGGCCTGTAACCCGAAAAAACACAAACTGAAGCGTCTGTAACCCGAGGTATGACTGTATATGGTAATTTATGGACCTAATAGGTATCTAAACCCATTTGCACATAACAAATAGGAACCTACACAACACAAAACACTGTTGCTGTATGTAGGTTTTATTTTATTTGTTTTTTATATTATATTTTGGAAATGTATATCCATGTTTTTCCCCTTTAAATTTTTGGGGGCCCCCAAGAGAGTGGGGCCCTAAGCTATAGCTTGTTTAGCTTATACGTAAAACCTCTCTTCTTTTCAAAAGGTGTATTTGGACGGCATGAACATGACATGCACACAGAACAATCACACAGAGGCCCTGAAGGAGCTGCGCAGCACATCCATCTCCACGACAGGCGTGGGCATCAGGCAATGGTACTTCCAGACATGTACAGAGTTCGGATACTGTAAGTGAGAGTTAACATTTTGCCCTCTGCTCTCCTCCTCCTCCACATATTATTATTATTATTATTATTATTCACCCTAAGGTCCTGGGATGGGTTATTTGTGTTGGTGAGGAGATGAGAGTTTGTTCATCTCAAATCAGACCTAATCTAAATGAGATTGCCTGGCAAAAAAGCGAGCTCACGCCTCTCATTGAACTTGCATACATACTTAAGGTACATAGGTAAGAGGCTTGTTTATAATTATATTTTGGGAATCCCTCACGTTCCTGTGCATCTGTTTCGCTTTATTCTGGCTGCCCCACGATCATATTATAAAGTAGTCGTGCTCTACGTTACAAATCAAGCACGTCTGGGAGCTGTTTCTTTTCGTTTTCCAACGTATTGAGAGAAGATTTGTTGTGGCGCAAGCAAATTGTTAATCTGAAAGTGTGGCCCAGAGGAAGAAGGTTTGAGAACCACTGACTTGGGGGCTGCCCCATAGAAGGCCCTGTCCTGGACCTCCACCGCTGAGCTTCTGAGTCCAACCAAGTGTGGGCTTTCCCATCTGCATTGTTTCCCGTGAACTTATTTTCTTTCTATCTATCTATCTATCTATCTATCTATCTATCTATCTATCTATCTATCTATCATCTACCTATCTATCTATTTATTTATAATATACATTTTTATTAATTTTTTTAACATATCAGTTCCAACAGTCATACAACATAACTTCTCATCTTATATAATATTTTGGACTTCCGTCAACTCCTCTGATGATTTTCCATTTTTTATCACTTATTCTGCATTTCTCACTTTCTGTATTACATATAATTATCCTTAACTAATAATTCTCTTCATAGTCTTTCTTGCAATATTTCAAATAATTCACCTTACAAAACTTCTTGCAATCCTACTAGCGCAATCATCACAGTTACTTTTCAAATAGTTCATATATTTACTCCAGTCTTCTAAGAATCTCTGATCCCGCTGGTTTCGAATCCTTCCTGTTAATTTATCTAATTCTGCGTAGTCCATCAACTTCATCCTCCATTCTTGAGTAATTCTTCTTGCTTCCATTTTTGTGCCAATAATATTCTTGCTGCTGTCATTGCGTATGAAAACAACTTACAATCCTGTCTGTTAATATCATCTCCTACAATGCCAAGTAAAAATGCTTCTGGTTTCTTAACAAATGTATATTTCAACATCTTTCTTGTTCCCCGTGAACTTAGTGGCCTCAGCCCTGCCTTTTGCGCTTTATTCCTCTTGCTCTAGACCAAACCTGTGACGATCCTGCCTGCCGTTTCTCTCGCTTCATGAACCTGACGACTGAGCTTGATACCTGCCGAGAGGTCTTCGGCATCCCCTCTCAGGCTGTCCAGGAGGCTGTGTCCTTCACCAACGACTACTATGGGGCCGATCGCCCCAAAGCCAGCCGCGTCCTCTTTGTGAATGGTACGGAGGGTGGGGAGATGTGGGGCCCTCCCAGACACCAGTGTGCAGCGCGTAGTTGCGAGAGAGGGAGAGACCCCCAGCTTGAAGCCTATGGAGAGCTCTGTTTTGTCAAACCAAATACAGTCATACCTCGGGTTGAAGTTGCTTCAGGTTGAGCGCTTTCGAGTTGCGCTCCGTGGTGACCCGGAAGTAATGGAATCGGTAACTTCCGGGTTTCGCTGCTTGCGCATGCGCAGACGCTCAAAATGACATCACGCGCATGAGCGGAAGCGGCGAATCGCGGCACGCGCAGACGCGGGTTGCGTTCGCTTCAGGATGCGAACGGGGCTCCGGAACGGATCCTGTTTGTATACAGCGGTACCACTGTATTTATGTGGCTGGTTGTGATTGCTGGTCAGCGAAGAGAAAAGTGCTCTACACATGCTCAGAGGCAGATTTCCCCCTTCACTGTGAGGGGTGTGTAGGGTTTCTCACTGTTTGTCTGTGGAACAGACTCTTTAACCAGGCTGATTGGCATCCAATACCTTTTTAAAATGTGTAGTGGAAAGGGGGGGCGGTATTGGGATGTTTTTGTTTTTATTATGTATTTTCTATTTTTTTATATTGTGATTTTATGTTGCAAACAACAACAACAGACTCCCTCAGGAGGTGATGAACTCTTCTTTCTTGGTGGTTTTTAAGCAGAGGTTGGGTGGTCATTTGCCATGCATGATGTTCATATATGATTTATGATCATGTGTGTTGAGATTCCTGCATCAGAGGAGGTTGGCCTATAGATGACCCTCTACAATCCTATGATTCCGTTTCTCCTCCTCCACTTCTGTGAGTTCCATTTTTGCACGGACAGAACAAGAGATAATAACAACGCAATTTCATTTCAAAATCTAAGCCAAGGGGGTCTGTCATCTGAGGCGGATATACGAATAAACCCATTGGGTTGCACCCAACTAAGTTTTACTCACAGTAGCCCCATTGAAATAAAAGGACCTAATTTAGTTGTGTTCATAAATTTCAATAGGTCTACTCTGAGTAGAGCCACAACACATTTTCCAGCGAGTTCATAGGAGCAGCGTAGGTCCCCCATCCTGGCATCAGAAGTTAGCTTCCGAGATCTGCCTATCCCATTGGATCACACTGGCGAATCAGTTTACTTTCTCTCCTCCTCGGTGATTGATCACTGCCTTCTCTCCCCAGGCGACATTGATCCTTGGCACGCCCTGAGTGTCCTCAAGAACCAGTCCCGCTCCGAACGGGCCATTTTAATCAACGGCACTTCCCACTGCGCCGACATGAGGACACCCAGCCCCCGGGACCCACTGGCCCTTGTCCATGCCAAAGAGGTGAGAGCGGCCGGGAGATTCTCACTTGAATGTTCTGGGGATAGGGGGTGGCATGGGGGGAAAAAATAAATTGGAATCCAGAACGTTTTTCAGGAAGTTCCACTTCTGGTCTCAGGCTGCAGGCAATGCAGGGAAGAATTAGAGTGCATAACCCTTTTAGGAAAGTTCTGTTTCCTCCTATGAAGATATAATAATAATAATAATAATAATAATAATAATAATAATAATTTATTATTTATACCCAGTCCATCTGGCTGGGTTTCCCCAGCCACTCTGGGCGGCTTCCAACCAAATATTAAAAACAATACAGCATCAGACGTTAAAAACTTCCCTAAACAGGGCCGCCTTCAGTTGTCTTTTAAAAGTAAAATAGTTGTTTATTGCCTTAACATCTGGTGGGAGGGCGTTCCAGAGGGAGGGTGCCACTACCGAGAAGGCCCTCTGCCTGATTCCCTGTAGCTTTGCTTCTCGCAGTGAGGGAACCACCAGAAGGCCCTTGGCACTGGATCTCAGTGTCCGGGCAGAACGATGGGGGTGGAGACACTCCTTCAGCTATACTGAACCGAGGCTGTTTAGGGCTTTAAAGGTCAGCACCAACACTTTGAATTTTGCTTGGAAACGTACTGGGAGCCAATGAAGATCTTTCAAGACCGGTGTTATATGGTCTCAGCAGCCACTCCCAGTCACCGGTCTAGCTGCCACATTCTGAATTAGTTGTAGTTTCCGGGTCACCTTCAAAGGTAGCCCCACAGAGAGCGCATTGCAGTAGTCCAAGTGGGAGACAACCAGAGCATGCACCACTCTGGCAAGGCAGTCCGCAGGCAGGTAGGGTCTCAGCCTCCATACCAGATGGAGCTGGCAGACATCTGCCCTGGACACAGATTAGCCTCTTGGTCTATGAACCTTGTAGTGGGGTAGGAGAGTTAAATATAATGCCAATATATTTTACATCAGGCAACCAATGCGCCCCTTAAGTTTCAGATAATACAAGTCTAAAAAGCCCCAGGCACAAATTTTCATGGCCCTCTAGCATCTGTGGTGGCTCATGTACCGGAAACAATATATTTATTGTTAACTCTGGAAATGTATGCTCGATTCTGACCCTCCTGATTTATATTTTGCTCCTGATGTACCGCATTTTTCGCTCTGTAAGACGCACCAGACCACAAGACGCACCTAGTTTTTGGAGGAGGAAAACAAGAAAAAAAATATTCTGAATCTCAGAAGCCAGAACAGCAAGAGGGATCGCTGCGCAGTGAAAGCAGCAATCCCTCTTGCTGTTCTGGCTTCTGGGATAGCTGCGCAGCCTGCATTCGCTCCATAAGACGCACACACATTTCCCCTTACTTTTTAGGAGGGGAAAAGTGAGTCTTATAGAGCAAAAAATACGGTATATTTTGCTCCCCACAAATGTCTGCTTGTTAGGGTCTTGTTTTAAATGTTTTTGTTTTTAATTAATGTGCAAAGTACCTTGAGATGGTGGTTAAAAGGTGGTTAATAAATCAACGGCAGTAATTAAAATGAAAACAATTGTCCCTGAATTAGGAGCACAGCCTATAAATCAGGATTCTAGTTAGGAGCTTGGCCAACCTTGGCTTTATTTTCTCTCCCTCCCCACTCCCTCCATACAGCAAATCTCCTTGCAGGTTGATGAGTGGCTGAAGTTAGCAAGAAAGATAAATCAAGGCAGCTGAGGGGCCAAATGAGAAGATGCTTCGCCAGCTCAAACCGCCGACGCCTCTCCTTCGAGAAAGACTGCTTGCTCTTGCCTTGCCTTAGAGACTCACAAAACATCTTTGCATCACCTGGGAAATAACTATGTGGCACAAATGACTGTGTTTTTTTTTTAAAAAAAAACTGCTTCAATTTCCAAATACAGATTTATTTATTTTTAATACCCTTGATTCTTCACTGTTGTTGATATGACGACGATGATCTGTCGATGGAGCTGGATTTCATAGCGGGTGGAAGATGGAGTGTCAATAAGGATGCCAATGTATTTTTTCTTTTCTTTTACTGGTTTTTGCTCCTTTGCTGTCTGGCTTGTGGGATGGCGAAGCTTTTCACATCGCTGTATCTCCGTGGAAAGAGAAAAATGTCTGCTTCGTTTCTGTGCGGCAGACTGTGGGTTAAAGGCTGTTTGTCCCAGGGGCAGGGCAGAAAGTTTGCGGTGAAAGGTAGAAACCCGGGAGCTGTAAAACCCTCCTTGGTGGAGGTCTGCTGGAATCCGCTTCCCAAAGCAGTAGAAAACGTCTTTTCTAAGCAGAGTTTAATAGAACCTAATCATGACTTGGTACGGGGACACGGGTGGCACTGTGGTCTAAACCACAGAGCCTAGGATTTGCCGATCAGAAGGTCCCTGCGACGGAGTGAGCTCCCATTGCTCGGTCCCTGCTCCTGCCAACCTAGCAATTCAAAAGCACGTCAAAGTGCAAGTAGATAACTAGCTTCCGGGTCATGTGGCCAGCATGACTAAGCCGCTTCTGGCGCACCAGAGCAGCGTACGGAAACGCCGTTTACCTTCCCGCCGGTGTGGTACCTATTTATCTACTTGCACTTTGACGTGCTTTTGGACTGCTAGGTTGGCAGGAGCAGAGACCGAGCAACGGGAGCTCACACTGTCGCGGGGATTCGAACCACCAACCTTCTGATCGGTAAGTCCTAGGCTCTGTGGTTTAACCCACAGCGCCACCCAGGTCCCTTATTCAGCATACATCAGGACAAAAGGAAACATGTCCGATCTCCTTTGTGTCCAAAGCTAGCAGCTAAAGCAAAAGCTATACACAAACGGAAGTTCCCAGCAAGCTGTGCTGGAGTGTAAACAGACAGGTGACATACAACAATTCCACACGTCTGTTCTTAAGGTGGAACGGAATATCCCAACTGTTATCACTAGAAAGCATTCCAGCCCCCCTGAACCCGGCAATCATTGGAAGTAGGAGAGCAAAAGGCTTGGAGACAGATGGCCCTAAGTGGGGGGGGGGTGCTGTTGATGAATGAGGAAGTAGGAGAAAAGGGGGGGTGGAGATTTACCAGGAGCAACACCATTACTCCAAGAGGCTGCATTTCTAAGCCTCTCTCTGTGAATATTGAATAAACATCATTGGTAAGAACTTTCCTTTCTCTTGTCCATTCCTGTCAACCTACTGTAGGGGGTTGTTTCCTCTGAAGCCTGACACCGACTGGCGAGGAAACCACCCCAGAGCCCAAAGAGGATGTCCTCTTTGGGCTCTGATGAGGGTCTCCTCATGAGCCAGGAGGCCTCTCCAGGGTGCTCCATTTCCGGGTTCTTTCAGGGTGCTTCGTTCCTAGCACTGCGTGTGTCGCATGCAAATGGAGCTTGTATAAATGGGGAGAAGCCTACGCAGCAAAAGGGAAGATTATTTTGAAAATCACTGGGTTGTATTGCAATGTAGCACTGTGTGAACGTATCAGTGCGAGGGTTTCTGCTTCCGCAAGAGAATGTTTCTCCTCCTATCTTCTTCTTTGGCGATCCCTCGTAGCCGAGTAAGATGGTCTTCCACAAACATGGTGAGTTCATAAGTGATTGTGGAGGCCGATTCTGGATCCACACGTCCTCCCACAGTGGAGACATAGGTTTCCAGGCGGAAGTTGATCACGCAAAGGGTTTGCCAAGCATGCTGTCCTCTTAGCACATTTCTCCCTTTTGTCCTGAGTTTGAGTGCGGGAGGAGAAGTGAGGAAGAGTCCTTGTGTTGTAAGCCAGAAAATAGCTTATCTCCTGAGTTTACACCAATAAAACTCAGAAATGTAAGGAGTTAGGAGTCCAACGTTGTTTATTGCAAAGCAATAGGTTACAGTCGGATCGTTCCACAAAACTGCAACCCTACCCAGTGGTCCAGGCAGTAGTATTTATAAAATTTCAAACAAAGCATTTCAATTTTCACCAATCATATACATCATTACCTCATTTCATGTTTAATACACATGTGCAATAAGCACTGGCAATTTCTGCTGATTAAGTTCTGATTCCCACCGTGTTCTGTTACATTGCGTTAGTGTGCATGTTGGGAACCTCTGTTACAGGTAGCCATTTGCACCATGTACCAACTTGTGTTTTAGCTTTGTGCTGTATCTTTGTGATTCACATATTAGCTGTATTTCTGCTCCAACGGGGGCGGGGGGCAACTTGCAAAATCATCAGTTTCATAAAGCAACAGGTTACCATAATTTCTCTATTAGAAGCGAACTCAAGGATTTACAGGGGTACACATTATCACATTTATTGTGGCCCTTTGGGCCGCCACCACATTCCCCCCTTTCAAGCTTAAAGGTACAAGATTACTTGCACCATTCAGCTTGACCCTCAGGTAACCCATCTTGACCCTCCTGAGGCAGTTGGTGGTATTGCAAAAATAACTGCTTTGGGGCTATATTGGAAAGCATGTTAGAAACCAAGTGACAGACTAAGGCAAGCAGACAAGGCACAAATACAATCAAGGCAAGGACCGCTAGGAAAAACATGGATGCTCCTTTTGCTAAGTCTGCCATCCATCCGGTCCCAAACAGATTAGACCAGCAATTGCTTAACGGGTTAGTATTCCAGGCTTGTACTGGCACATGGGCTACTTTCCAAATATCTGTGGTAAGGGCACGAATCGCACAGGGACTGACCGAGCGGGCGGCAGGGTCTGCAAGGTTCGCGGGCAGGATTAACGAGCCCAGTGGGCCGTATCCGGCCTGCGGGCCTTAGTTTGATGACCTCTGGCATAGAACAACCAGCCTCCGGTGTGTGGTTGTAGCAGAGGGCCGTTGTCTTGTTGCCAGTGTCCTAACCCACACCAGGGCAGGAGTTTTGCCGGTGCAAAGTCAGTATTAAGTCAGAGTCTGGGTCCTAAGCACATGTCTAGGTGCCTACAGACCTTTTTATGCGAAAATGGTAAATCCAATTACCCTACTGATGTGCTCTGCAATGCAATAATGCCACCTCCTTCGGGGCCCACCCAAAAAGTTGAGAATCTCAGGGCACTCGTTCTTCCAATGACCTTCCTTCTTGCATAGGGCGCACTGACTGCGTCCCAGTCTCTCCCCTTTTCTCCTGGGGTTCCATGTTCCCCCACATCCTCACGATCTGGGGCTCCTACTGCAATTGCTGCTGCTAACAGCCCCACCTTTTCCTGCATCCTATTATTCACTTGCCTCCCTCATTCCACGTCACGTACACCTCCATTGCCACATCCAACAAATGTGCTATGCCTTTTCCTGCCTCTTGTTTAAGTCGTTCTATGATACGCAGGGAGGGCATAGCTGGCAACCTTCCCTTTTTTTGTGGGAAATTCCCTTATTCCAGCACTGCTGCCCACTGCTATCCCGGATTGTTATATATCCCGTAGACTGTCCCTGGGGCAGGTGAGGCTGCTGATCCCTTATTTTCAAATCTGAAAATTGACAGCTATGAGGGAGGGGCTCTTTGGCCTTTTGGCATTTTGCTGTGTGGCAGGTGCCCAAGACAAAATACACAAAGCAGTGAGAAACTTGTAGGTCAGGCCTTTTCAGAAGGCCTATAGCCGTTACAGAAAGCTCATATCTAGGCAGCATAATTCAGTGAAAAACCTGCCAATAAAGCACTCAATATATATAAAAAAAGTTTGTTAGAGAAGACCTCTCAGCCCCCAGCTCTCCCCCCCCTTCTAAGGCAGAGGACCTGAGCAACAGCCCAGGCCTACCCACTTTTTTCTGGGAGATAAGGCCTGGGAATTAAAAAAAAATAAAAATGCAAGGAACAAGCAGGAAAATAAAAATAAAATAAAATTATAACTGCTAGCAAGGGAGCACACAGTTCTTTCCCCAACAAAATGTACCTTACACCCTCACACAGGGTCACAGTGTCCCCTGCACCCCCTCGCCAGGCCGGGCCACAGCTGTCAATTTACAGATTTGAAAATAAGGGACCAGCAGCTTCGAAAAGAAGGGATCAGCAGCCAAAATAAGGGATTTTAGTCAACCAGCTGAAATACAAAGTTAAAAGGGACTAGATAATTTGGGAGAGCAGCGCCGGTTTTTGGCCCTTCGTTTCCAGAGGTTGCTGCTCAAGACACCAGCCGATGAAACACTGCAATTAAATAACTACAAGCAGCAACCACTTTTCGCGCAAAACCAAAGCTACGAAGATGCTGCTGCAGTTCTGTATCTTTTCTCTCGTGCTCCATCTGCAGCGCTCAGTTCCATCAGGCGGGGCGGGAGGAAGGGGGGGAAATAGCGCCCGAAGTAAACCCGCAGATCAGACCATCTATGCTAGTCTACCACTACAAATCTGTGGGAGAAGCGCTTGCGGTCCTTCCTCCGCTTTCCCCCTCTATGCTTAGCCCTTGGAACACCTGCCCACGCCTCCGCCTCCTCCTCTTCCTCCTCTCTCTGAACTGCTTTCTCTATGGTTGCCCTCGCTCTCCTCTCAAGGCTCCTCACCAATTCATAGGCCGTGCCAGGCTGCCCATCTCATCTGGGTCCTTTGGCGGCGCAGCCGCAGTACAGCCTAGCGGGAGTGGTGGCAGCGCAGGGCAGAGGGGAGGCCCCAGGCAGAGATGCTCAGGCGGCCACGAGGAGGATGGCGGCGGAAGAGCCTGAGGCTCTCGCCAGTCCCGGCGGGGAGGGTCTCCCGGGGGCTGAGGCTGGTGAGAGGAGGCCGGGCCGGGCAGCCAAGCAACACAGTTGGAGCCTCCCTCCTCCCTGGCCGGCAGGGAGGGAGGGAGAGGAGCTGCTTCCTTTGAAACCCGGGAAATTTAAGGGGCATCATCAATAAGGGGCAGCAGCGGGACACGGCGCTGGGATAAGGGAGTTTCCCGCCAAATAAGGGACGCTTGACAGCTATGGGCCGGGCCCATATAAAATCTAAGGCCCAAACTGAAAAAACCCCTTGCCCGCAGCCAGTACAGCCTCCTCCCTCAAGGGGCTGGGCGAACAGGAGTCAACAGCCGCAAAGGGATCAGAAGGCATGCTCCCATGCAAAAGAGGCAAAAAGACCAAAAGCCATTCTCCCATGCCAAGGAGAGAAAAGGATCCACAGCCATCAAAACAAAACAAAACAAAAAGGTGCAACTTGCCATGAGGCCTAAGGCGCAACTTACATAGACCAGAAGTGAGAAAAACAAAGCCAAAGGTGCACCTTGCCATAGGCCTACGGTGCAACTTACATAGACCAGAAGTAAGAAAACCAAAGGTGCACCTTGCCATAGGCCTACGGTGCAACTTACATAGACCAGAAGTGAGAAAACCAAAACCAAAGGTGCACCTTGCCTTAGGCCTAAGGTGCAACTTACATAGACCAGAAGTGAGAAAACCAAAACCAAAGGTGCACCTTGCCTTAGGCCTAAGGTGCAACTTACATAGACCAGAAGTGAGAAAACCAAAACCAAAGGTGCAACTTGATGAATACTGCCCAATGGCTGCCCCATTGTCTCTAGAGGCAGGGTTATAAAGTCACCACTTCTAAATCTTGGGACTGAAGGTGCATTCACAGATACAGGTTCGTTGCTTGGCGACTGGAGCACCAGATCACGGTTTGCATGTGAGTAGGGATGGATCAGAGTTGGCCGTGGCTCCCCCAATTTTCAGATGGTCATTTCGAAAGCGGCTGCCGAGTGGACATTCGTGGCTGCGCTGGTGGTGTCTCGTACGTGGCCTTGCTCGTCCACAAGCACCTCCTCCTTCCAAAAGGTATCCATCTCCAGCTGCAACTCCTTCAGGTCCTGGATCTCCAACGCGAGGGTGTAGAGATGGCGGAAAAGCGCCTGGTCAGCCCACCGCAATCTCAGCTGCATGGCAAAGAAAGCAATCATTTTCATTCTCTATCGATGTCCTGGCGATATAAGCACGATAAGAGCTGTATACACGCCATGCCTTTAAAGCAATCTGCCCCCACAAAGAATCATGGGAAGTGTAGTTTAAGCCTCTTGCAGAGCTGCAGGCCCCAGCACCCTGAACAAACTACAGATCCCAGGATTCTTGGGGAGGACGTTCTTTAAATGTGTTTGCAAATGTGTGTTGTGCACATAGCCTGGAGAAGTTTGTGTTTTGCGCTCTCATTTATTTATTTTTTTGTATTTTTATGTTGTGAACCACCCTGTGATCTTCGGATGAAGGGTGGTAAAGGTAAAGGGACCCCTGACCATTAGGTCCAGTCGTGACCCACTCTGGGGTTGCAGCGCTCATCTCGCTTTATTGGCCGAGGGAGCCAGTGTACAGCTTCCGGGTCATGCGGCCAGCATAACTAAGCTGCTTCTGGTGAACCAGAGCAGCGCACGGAAATGCCATTTACCTTCCCGCTGGAGCGGTACCTATTTATCTACTTGCACTTTGACGTGCTTTCAAACTGCTAGGTTGGCAGGAGCAGGGACCGAGCAACGGGAGCTCACGCCATCGTGGGGATTCGAACCGCGACCTTCTGATCGGCAAGTCCTAGGCTCTGTGGTTTAACCCACAGTGCCACCCACGTCCCCATGAAGGGCGGTACAGTGGTACCTCGGGTTACATATGCTTCAGGTTACAGACTCCGCTAACCCAGAAATATTACCTCGGGTTAAGAACTTTGCTTCAGGATGAGAACAGAAATCATGCTCTGACGGTGTGGCGACAGCAGGAGGCCCCATTAGCTAAAGTGGTGCTTCAGGTTAAGAACAGTTTCAGGTTAAGAACGGACCTCCAGAATGAATTAAGTACTTAACCTGAGGTACCACTGTATATACATTTAATAAACAACAACAACACAGTGTCCTCCAGATCTTGTTGGACTCCATAAGAACAGCCTGTTCAATCAGTGCACTAGCTAGTCCACCACCTTGTTCTCAACAGTGGCGTCCCAGGCGCCAATGGGAAGCTCTTACGCAGGACCATCATGGACAAGGACCCAAGAGTTGTGGTCCAACACTCTTAAATTTAAGAGTTTTGGAATGACGCAGTTAAAAATGCCGTCGCCATTTTGGGAGGCACTGTCGGAGCTCTTGAGTCTGGGAGGAGAAAGAGAGAAACAGAGTTGTTTACATATCGTGGACTAACTCCTCAGTGGGATTTAAGAGTGACAACTGCCTAATTTATGATGGGAAGAGCGATGTTATCTACGAAGGAGATGATATATGGAAACCATCTGAACTTAGATTGGAAGAACGGGAAATTCACACAGGATTATTATATTTGCTTATCGGCTTAAGGAGACTAACAGAAGAGATCGTAAAGGAAAAAGAGAAATTATATGAACAAGATATGATGTGGAAACACCAAGATAAGATTGGATAGAACTATGAACTCTGTTTGGACTGATTGGGACTGATTTGGACATTAATGCAGTAATAAGAAGATGATTTGAATCCCCCTTTGGATCTTGAAGTATGGGCTCCCCCAACAAAATTTAAAAATTTGGCTTTGTAATTTGGAATTTATGTGATGTGATTTAATTTGATGTGATTGGCCAGTTAATAAAAATTATTTAAAAAAAATAAATAAATCAGGGGGTTGGACACCAAAAAAAAAAAAAAAAAAAAGAGTTGTGGTCCAACAGACATCTCCTGGCTTAAAGAGGGCCTCACCATTTCACCGTGCACCCAGGCAATCTTGTCTTGGAGGCCGGGGCAGCTCCCCTCAAGCTCTTGGGCTGCTTCCTGCTCTCCTTCCCCAGGCAGAGAAAATGAAGGCAAACTGAGCTCTCGAAACACTTTAGGCAAGGGGGGCAAGCCTTTGAAGGGAGACTCCTCTTCGTTGCTCCAGGGCCAGCTGTCCATTGGGAGGTTCTCTGCTCCCGGTTCATGACTCTCCCTGGAAAGTGGAAAAGACCCTGGTTAGTTTCCCCTGACCAGCTCCTCTCCCTGCTGATCTCGCAGAACCAGGAGAGACATGAAAAGGGCGGAGGAGAAGTTAGCATCATGCTGGTGCAGTCTCTGAAGAAACATCATGCTTCATATGCAGCAGCGCAAGCAGACGCCTTCTTCTGCCCCAGCTGCAACAAAACATGTCTCTCCCGCATCGGTCTCTACAGCCACAGCAGGCGCTGCAACTGTCCAACAGCTTGACCTCACCCTCCATGGCGCACTATTCCATGGTCTCCTGTGACAGACGGATGCCAGCAACCAACAAGCTTAAATCCGCAGGTCCTTTCTTTGTAAGATAAAAAGCTCCAACCCGAACTGAAGGCAGAAAAACTAAATGCAGAGTTCCAGTCCCCTCCAGGACTTAAAGAAGTAGTCCCAACAGCGTGGCACCAGATACTGCTCCAAATGTCTGCCGCAAAATGCAAACAAACAACAAACAACAGCTGTGTGTCTTCCAAACCTTTGTTGGTCAGCAACAGAGGCCATTGGTGCTCATAGACCTGGCATGTGGATGCCCCATACAAACTGGGAGAGCGAAGCATAACAATTCCACACTAAAGTTGTGCCTTTCCTCAGGCACCCTGGATTCCCAGGACCATTTTCAAGCTATAATTCTAAGGCACTGGAGGCTCATCCAATCAGGTGAATGGGGTACTGCCTCACCAACCTCAGCTGGCCCTCAGCCAGACCCCAACCTTCCTACCTTCTTTATTACAATCTTTAGTCTCAGTCTTTAGTCTCAGTGTTGCCCCTTGTAGAATTCAGCTGCAAGCCAGGGACCCAAAGTAGAATTAGTTGGTTCTGCCTGTTGTCTCTGGCGCCACCTGCTGTTGACCTCCCTGCCTTTCACCCTATTAGTCCAAATGGACATCAACCTTAATTAATCAAAATTAAACATCAACCTGTTTAATTTCCCATAGATTGAAAAACCCTTAGGCTGAAGGGTTTTTCAATCTATGGGAAATTAAACAGTTAAAACTATGTCAGGTAAATCAGCTGCCTGTTCTACAGGTCTGCTTGTTTGCCGACTGGGGTTGGCCGTTCCAACCTGTCCCATCGTTCACTCACCTTACCAGCCTCAAGTCGGCCTTCATCCTGGTGCTCCTTAGAGGGAGGTCTTCAGAGGGAGATGTAAAAAATAATAATCTTGATGGTAGAATGGCAGAAGATGCCTTCAAGGTAGACAGGAAGCTGCCTAGGAGCGACGGTGGAAGCTTGAGGGTGCTGGGTGAATGCCGGCTGGTGCGTTGAAACAAAAGGAATGTGACTAGCTAGTTCTGCTTCTGATTATTCCTCAAGATCCCTCAGCTCTGAGAGTATATGCAAAGCGGGATCAGGTGAGTGTGACACCTGAGCAGGTAAACATGGGGACTTGGAAGCCCCGACCCATTAACTCCTTTCTTAAGTGGTTCGGGGGATCTTTGAAGCTCTTTATCTCCTTGCATTCCACAGCAGTCGCTGACACCAGAAATGCCACCCGAAAAAGCGAGAAGAGAGGCTTGGAAGAAACAGGCCCAGCTCTGCAAGTGACCAGCTGGGCTGTCAGTGCAAAGTCCGGGGTGCAGCTGGTGACGGAGCCTATTCATACGCCCTTGTTTTCTCTTTCTGCCCCACAAGGAACAGAAAGTCCTGTCAGGGCACTAGGCGGTGAGAGCGCAAGACACGCCCTCACAATCCAGAACACACAGATACTGTACACACACACAGACAGGAGAAGGAAGTAACACATCATCACACATAATTAACTGAAAGTAATTCCCTGCCACAGGATGTGATGATGCCAGAGGGCTAGATAGAGATGTTTGCTTTTAAGGTCAAGGTAGACTCAGAGGGCGTGAGTCGACTGTTAGTCATTGCATGATGGAGTGCTCCCATTCTCTCCTTACCTGATCTTTTTTGACCCCACCAAAACACCCACATTCACAGCACACAATTAAAGCACTATGATACTGCTTTAAACTGCCATGGCTTCCCCCAAAGGATCCTGGGATCCGTCGTTTGCTGAGAGTTATTAGGAGAGCCCCCCACCCTATTCTCCTCTGAGTTCCCACTGAGTTCTAGAGTTAAACCACTCTAGAAACCGGAATAAGGGAGCTCTGTAGCTCTCCTAACAACTCTCAGCACCCTTAACAAACTACAGCAAACTCCCAGGATTTTTTGAGGGAAGCCATGACTCTTTGAAATTACGTCATAGTGCTTTTTAATGGCATGACTGTGCCCACAGTAAGAGTGGCTGAAATAATGATCTCTTCCCCTCCCCTTGATTTTTTTATATATATATATATATATATATATATATATATATATATATAAGATCTCTTCCCCTCCCCTTGATATATATATATATATATATATATATATATATTCTGCGAACCTCCGTGGGTTCCCTTAAGTTTGCAGAAACCTCTTGCACCTCTCTCTTGCGGGTATTTAAGTATGAGCACCTGAAAGATTTGTTAAGATTAGTATTAGTATACAGGTAAACAGGCCAGATCACACCATACATTTAGAGCAGTTAACATATTACTTTAAACAACCATGGCTCCCCTCCAGGAAAACTTGGGAACTGTCGTTTGTTATGGGTGCTGAGATTTGTTAGGAGAGCTACAATTTCCAGAGCTCCCTGTAGAGACGGATTGATTCATAAATGAATGATAATTGTAGCTCTTTGAGGGGGGAAGTAGAGTCTCCTAACAACTCGGCACCCATAACAAACTACAGTTCCCATGATTCTTTCAGGGAAGCGTAACAGTGCTCTGAATGTGTCCTGCAGATGTGGCCTGCTGTCTCTGAGAACAGATGCTGGAAAATGACACGTAAGGGCAGGTGGTTGTCTCTCTGTACAACCTACTTGCAAGCTTCCCAGAGATATCTGCCTACTGCTTTTGAAAGCAGAATGATGGGTGCTTTACGTTTGATCCCGCAGGCCTCTCCTGTGGAGCCCAAGGAAGTATTAAGGAAAAGTTGTTCTTAAGACAGTAGCTGGGCAAAGAAATGGTGGGGATGGTACATATAGAATAAGTAGAGAAGAAGAACATACGTTTAGGAACAGTGGAAAATGTTTATTGAATATATGGTGGGAAATTGTGTACACTTGAAAACGTTGGCAGCACTAAGATAAATTCAACAGTGTAAATAAGTTTTGATGCATGGAATAACGGAATACTGGTTTAGTTTTTGTAAAATATGCAGGGGTTTATGATGTGCAAAGTGAACTATGGAAAGAAAAGAAGGGAAGTCATTGATACTTGAGTAAAGGTAAAGGTATCCCTGACCATTAGGTCCAGTCGCAGACAACTCTGGGGTTGCGGCGCTCATCTCGCTTTATTGGCCGAGGGAGCCGGCGTACAGCTTCCGGGTCATGTGGCCAGCATGACTAAGCCGCTTCTGGCGAACCAGAGCAGAGCACAGAAATATGCCATTTACCTTCCCACTGGAGCGGTACCTATTTATCTACTTGCACCTTGACGTGCTTTCGAACTGCTAGGTTGGCAGGAGCTGGGACCGAGCAACGGGAGCTCACCCTGTCACAGGGATTCGAACCGCCAACCTTCTGATTGGCAAGCCCTAGGCTCTGTGGTTTAGACCACAGTGCCACCCACGTCTCTCCATTGATATTTTAAGGATTTTTAAATGATTATTCTAAACTGTAAAACAAAAAATTTTATGATAGATAGATAGAGGAAACGGTGGGGATGGTAATATTATTTCTCACTCTGACCTGGAGAAACCAGAAACTCAATGCAGGTTTTGCTTGTGAGCATGTGCTGAATGCCTTCCTTTTATTACACCAACTTGCACCCACCCATACAGTGCCTCTGATCACATGCAGAGTGCTTCAAAGAGGCATATTTAAAACAATCTTTGTTAACGACAATCCCTTTGGACATTTGCAGACATTTCCAAAACCTCATTCTTTATTTAAATCACCACGATCTTGCAGAAATTAGATAAATCAATGTCGAAAACGACATATGAATTTTCAGCCTGGTTTCAATCTTCCTGTCGTGGCACCTGGTCAAAAGAATGAAATCCTGGCTAAGCCAGTAAAACCTTGTCTTGCTGTCAACCAGGGAAGGAGCTTTTAACATGCTCAACACCTGGTCAAATGAATTTTATCTGATACCACCACATCGATTTGGACAGGTCTTGCCCTCTTTCCTTAAAAGGAGCTCATCTCCTCCGCCTTGAGAACAAATAGAGTAAATACATATCCAATTCCACGTAAGGGCAAGAAATCGACCGGAGACTTCATTTGCCGCCTTTGAGCATGCCCAGAATATAGGGCGCATGCTCAGTAGCATTGAAACTGGATCCTAGACGGCATTTCCGCCCTCCTTCAAGTGCCCGTACCGAATGTCACATGACTTGTCCAAGATGGCTGCGCCCATGTTGGTAAGTGACCTGGTGGAGGTGCATGGGTTTTTCTTCTTGGCAATCTTGTCTTGGCCATGTTAGCAGCGGAGCTGGAAGGACCGGGGGTGGGGAGTCGGAAGCGAGGAAGTGTTTACTTTCACATGGCCGGCATGGAGAAGAGAATGTGCTGTTGTTGCTGCTTTCCATGTGGGTGCTGGGGAAATGGATGTTTTCCCCCCCAAGACTAATCTCTGCTGTGGCCGGTTGTCACCTTTTCTACGGGCTCTTCGCCCGCGCCGTTAGCAGCAACTTGGCAGACAGAAATTAAGCAAGGGGCGCTTATTCCTACTGTTGAATTTCTCCGCAAGCAAAGCTTCCATTTGGAGGAGTTTATCAGCAGCAAGACATAAAAAAGTGGGAACCGGCAACACTCTTTGCATCTCCTGGGGGAAGATGATGAGTGCTCACAACTACTTTGGTTACCATGGTTGCCAACTTCTTATTATACCAGAGCTGCTGTGCTTTAACAGCTGTGACAAAAGAGATAATTTAGTAGCTGGAAACTTTCCCCATTACTGCATCTCTCTGCTGGTGATAGTTTCACCTGTTGCATTTTTGCCTGACACCTGCTACTGCTAAAAGCACAGGAGCCTTGCTAGGAAGATGTCAGCAGCACATTCTCCCATCCCAGCAGAAAGGGTTCCTTAGCTGATGCTGCTCTTTCCCTTTCTCTCTCCTTTTGTACAGTCACTCATGGGGTCAGTTGCTCATATAATAGAGAAATGTGTGCTCATATAATAGAGAAATGTATTTCTGAGTAGCCGAGTTCATAAGTGTCTAGTCTTTATTGTGTTTTGGCTAAACCGAAACACCTACAGCTCCCTGGGTTTGCACTTGTTTTCATTACAGTGGTACCTTGGGTTACAGATGCTTCAGGTTACAGACTCCGCTAACCCAGAAATAGTACCTCGGGTTAAGAACTTTGCTTCAGGATGAGAACAGAAATTATGCAGCGGCAGCGGGAGACCCCATTAGCTAAAGTGGTACCTCAGGTTAAGAACAGTTTCAGGTTAAGAACAGACCTCTGGAATGAATTAAGTGCTTAACCCGAGGTACCACTGTAATGTGGATTCCAAAAACAGTGTTTGCTGTATGACCAGCTGGTGGTGCTATACATCAACAAAAGATGCTGCTTCTGTGTTTTGACTATTCTATTCTGTACAGCATTCGTAATATGTAATTTTATAATGTTGGGTTGCTGTTTTGCCTGGCAGGGCTCTTGTGCTGTTAGCAACTGCATGGCAAACAGAAAATGTGTAGAAGGAGTTTTTGCCTTCACTGTTGTTTCCTTGCCAGGAAACCAGTCACCTGCTGGATTTCTGACCTTACCCAGGGTTGTGCACTAATTAAAAGGGTTACAGCTCAGTCCTGGCTATGTCTACTCCAGTGTAAACCCTGCTGAATTTAATGGGGCATGCTCCCAGGAAAGCACGGTTAGGATTGCAGCCTAATCCCATTTAGCTGAGAGTAAGCCCGGTAGAATTTAACGGAGCTTGTATCTGAGTAGACACTGTTAAGCTTGTACTGTGAACAGGAGACTTCCCTTGCTCACTGTGCAAAGTGGCAGCATGGAGAGCACCTCAGCAGCACAGCAGAGGTCTCACCTCTGCAAATATCCAGAGGAATCTGGTTGCTTGCTGTTAAAAATAGAACATTAACCTAGATCAGGCACCCCCGACCTGCGGCCCTCCAGATGTTTTGGCCTACAACTTCCATGATCCCTTGCTAACAGGACCAGTGGTCAGGGACGATGGGAATTGTAGTCCAAAACATCTGGAAGCCCGAAGGTTGGGGATGCCTGACCTAGATGGACTACGCGTTCCGATCCAGTTGGCTTTCTCTTTTGTTCTTATGGCTGCAGAAAGTGTGAGAGGTAACTCTGAAACTGCTGCTGTGCCATTTCCCTCCCGTGATTCATAAGGCAACATCCTAATTGCTTAACTAGTCTGAGATTTTTTGAAGCGGATGCAGCCAGCCTTGCTGCTGTGCCAGAGGGCAACTTGTAAACAGGACTTTTCTTTTCCCTTGCTTGTGATTGATTTGGTTGTCAGCTAGACGGGCTGGGAAGAAATGTGGTCTGTTGGTTTCCCTCTTTAACATTTCCTTTCCTGTTTCTCTGCTTGAGAGCAATTGAGCCCTTAATACATCTGTTTGGCACCTTGGATTGCAAATTCCTTCCTGGGTTTTGTCTCTTATGAGCAGTGTGTTGTCTGCAGACATTAGCAGATGGGGATGTTCACTTGCCACAAAGTTCTTTTTCTTTTTCTAGTCTGGCCGGTTTAGCAACCCTAGTTTGACAGATCTGGATGTAACAGCTCCAGATCTGAATCAATATGGTGAAACAATATGGGCTCACCAGGAGGACCAACTGTTGCTTGTGCATATAAAATGGGAATTGTGGCATATTTCTGTGGGTGGGTGTAGAAGGAGGCAAAGAAAGGATGGGGGGGGGCAGCAGATCTAAATAGACTGGAGACCAGCACAAGAGCCCTGCTGGATCATACAAAGATATTTATTTATTCATACATACATACATACATACATACATACGTACCCTGCCTTTCCCCCCTGATGGGACTCAAGGCAGCTTACATATAAAAATAAGAACCACTAAAACATAAGTGAAAAAAGCCCACTCATTAAAAAACAGTTGAACATTGATAGAAGTAAGCATAAATACATATATGTAATCTCCTGCAGCCAATCAGAAGCTGCACCTTGGTTTTCGGTTTCAGGAGTCAAACGAACTTCCAGAACAGATTAAGTTCGAGAACCAATATTCCACTGTACATGGTTAAAAAAGTAGGGAAGAGGCTGTCCAGATGTTGTTAGACTCCAGCTCCTATCAGCCCCAGGCAACGTGAGCAATGGCCAAGGATGATGGCAGTGGGGCTGGGTGATAGATCATACCAAAGCGGATTGAAGTCCATATTGTGATATCTGTTTCATAATATTTGACCTGGTGATATACTGCAAATCATGGTGTGTGTGATATAGATCAGTGTGTGTGTGATATATATCAGTACAGTGGTACCTCGGGTTAAGAACTTAATTCATTCTGGAGGTCCGTTCTTAACCTGAAACTGTTCTTAACCTGAAGAACCGCTTCAGCTAATGGGGCCTCCCACTGCTGCTGCGCCACAGGAGCACGATTTCTGTTCTCATCCTGAAGCAAAGTTCTTAACCCGAGGTACTATTTCTGGGTTAGCAGAGTCTGTAACCTGAAGCGTATGTAACCCTAGATACCACTGTATATCGCAATGTTTAGCTGGTGATATATTGCGATGTTGAAAACCACATATCGCCCAGTCCTAGATGGGAGTTGGAGCCCACCAGCATATATAGAGCAGAATATATAAGTGCCAAAAATTATGCGGGAGAGTTATATTGCAGAATGAGTTAACAAGCGGCTGGACCTGGAAAAGTGGAAGAACGGTGGCCTAAAAAGGATTTATTGTGTTAATGTGGGAAATGGTCACGTTACATTTCCAACCTCCCGTTGGAGATGCAAGAAGGAATGACACAAGGAAACTGCAATATTTCGACAAAATGTGTCTTCCTTTCCAAATAAAACTCTCTCTCTCTCTCTCCCACCCCTACCCCTGGTTTGTTCTTTCTCCAGTTCCAACACAGCAGAGGCTTCATCTTATTATGCTACACCAGCCTCCGGTATAGGAGCAAATCAACTCTCCCCACTCCAGGTCCCGTGAAAAGCAAGTTTCTCCAGTACCTCTGCGACCGCTTCTATGACATCGAAACCATTGTAGACTTTGGCAAGAGGCTAAGGCTATGGAACGCACAAAGGAAAAACAGGTATATGCCCCTGCCTCGTGTTTTTCAGGAATGTTTCTGTTGGGAATCTGAGGTGAGAAACCCACGTGGCAGAAGTTGTCCCCAGTTCCAGTCACCACACAGAGGCAGCTTAAGGTCCAAGACAGTTTACTGCTGCAGAAGATAAGACTTCAGTAATACAGTTCTGGGTGCTGATGTATATGTACAGTTTGTAGGCTTTGCAGATACAGATACAGGCAACTCCCCACTTACGCACATTCAAGGCCTAAGGCCTCTCCCGGTATGCCCCATTGAGGACCTTAAGGTCCATAAATAGCAACACCCTAGAGGTCCCGAGCCCTAAGGAAGTTAGATTAGCCTCAACCAGAGCCAGGGCCTTTTCAACACTGGCCCCAGCCTGGTGGAATGCTCTATCTCATGAGACCAGGGCCCTGCAGGATCTGATTTCTTTCCGCAGGGCCTGCAAGACAGAGTTGTTCCGCCAGGCCTTTGGCTTGGAATCAATTTGATTCCCCGTCTTTCTTTTTTTCTTTCTCCTCCTGTGATGAGGCTGTGTTTTAATGTTGTATTTAACCTTGTTTTTAAGTTGTATTTCAATCAACTTGTTTTTATTATTGGTTGTTAGCCTTGGCTGGGAAGGGCGGGGTATAAATAAAATTTTATTATTATTATTATTATTATTATTATTATTATTATTATTATTATTATTAAGGCACGTGTGTGACCACAGATGTGTGCACCATTTTCGGCCCCGGAAGGGGGCAGGGTGAAGCGCATCATGCCAACACACACGTTGCCTTGGAACACAACCTCTGCGCAAATTACAGATATATACAAGCACAAAGTATTTCTGTTGCTCCAGCAATTAAGGCGTAACAGACTCCAGCTCACAGACAGACTCGCTGACTGACTAATGAGCTGATATGCCTTAATCACTTATGGCAATGGCTCAGTGCTGCCTATGCAGCAACTGGCTTCGCTGACCTTGCACATGTTGCCTTACCTCCTACATGGGGTGGTTTTGCCCATGAAGAAAATTAACCCCTTCCTCCATGTCCAGTTCCTCCAACAGTTTCTAGACCAGAGGTGACCCTCTAGGCATTGCTGGGCTCCCAGCTCCCACCAGCCCCAGCCAACATGGGCAAAGGGAAGGGATGATGGGAGTTGTAGTCCGACAGCCTGCCTGGGGATCCTTGGATCTGTACTGTTTTCACACACTAGCAACACATCCTGTAGAATTCTATCTGTGATACTTCAGCTGCACAATCAGAATGGATTTCAGGAACCAAAAAGTCATACTGTATTGAAAAAATACGACTCTTGAGCCCTCTGGCCCCAGAATGCGAACCAAGCGTTCCATTTTGGTAACTGTAACCCCGGTTTAAGGAGCCATTTGGCACCTAGCTTATAAATAATAATAATTTTTTATTTACAGTGGTGCCTCGCAAGACGAAAAGAATCCGTTCCGCGAGTCTCTTCGTCTTGCGGCAACATGAGCAGAACGCAACCCGCATCTGCGCATGCACAGGTCGCGATTCACCGCTTCTGTGCATGCGTGTGACATCATTTTGCACGTCTGTGCATGCGCAAGCGGCAAAACCCGGAAGTAACCCTTTCTGGTACTTCCAGGTTGCCGCAGGACGCAACCTGAAAACACGCAACCTGAAGCAAACGTAACAAGAGGTATGACTGTACAGTGGTACCTCAGGTTAAGTACTTAATTCGTTCCGGAGGTCCGGACTTAACCTGAAACTGTTCTTAACCTGAAGCACCACTTTAGCTAATGGGGCCTCCTGCTGCTGCTGCTGCGCCGCCGGAGCACGATTTCTGTTCTCATCCTGAAGTAAAGTTCTTAACCTGAAGCACTATTTCTGGGTTAGCGGAGTGTGTAACCTGAAGTGTATGTAACCTGAGGTACCACTGTATATCAGATTTTCCAACCTTGCTTACGTCTCAGTGCTGCCCTTGGAGAGCTCAGTGCGGAGGAAGATGGAGGCAAAGTTGGAAAGGAAAGAGCGATTGTAAAATGAGCGTCATAAAGTGAGCTTCCTACCGTCAGAGTAGCTTTAGACCACGTTTGTTTGTTTTGTTTTAATGCCCTCCTTTAATGTGGGATCGGGTGAACGACAAAGAGCCGGTTACAAGTGATTTGAATGACTAACATGTCCCAACTTGACCCTCAGGTACAACATCCAGGCGAAGAACTATTTCGGGGAAAATATCGCAGCTGCCGTCTTTGTCCTGGCTTTGAAGGGAAGCATTAGGTATGTCAAACGTGCCCCGGCCAAAGCACTGCATTGTGGGAGTTACCTGAGGATCTTCTCAGAGACTCTTGATCCCCTGAGGGCCTCTATAGATTCCCTCTTGGTGTTTTCTTTGATGTTCTTTCCAGTTTTATAGCCCAAGGCAGCTAGAATAAAACTGGGAGGGCAGCTTGTTCTGCCAGTTTTCTGTGGGAGCCATTTTGTTGATCCCAGTCACTCGTGCATTTAAAACCACCTCTAGAAAAACCCCTCAGGAAAGGAGAGAGAAAAGGCTTTTAAACAAATGTAGCTATTGTTTGCTGAGCTTCTTGTCATACAAAAATACATACAATGTATTTCAAAGCATAGATAAAAATACGTTGCCCTTTTTTTGTTGTTCAATAAATTTATCAATGAATCAATTTTATTTATTTATTGATAGTTATTCAGAGATATACAGAAATACATACCCATTGTAAAGTATCTTTTTATATAATATGCTGAGATAAAACAGAGATAAAAAAGAGCAAAGTCAGAAAGAAGAAAGTATAAGAAAAGGAGAAATCTAAAGAAGAGAAAGCAAGAGAAAAGGAAAAGAAAGAAAAAACTAATGAAAGATACAGTAGAAAAAAGGAGTTCTGACTCTCTACAGCTACATATGATTTTTATTCTTTAAGATCCAACCATTCTCTCTTCTATAAAATAGTACTTTTTTTCAGTCTTAAAATCCTACTATTAGAAGTTCATTTTCTCTTTCAGGCAGAAAACCCCTAAGAAATTTTCAATCCTTAACAAAAGTTAGTAGTGATTTTTTTCTAATTAAACATGTTAGCTTAGCCATCTCAGCCAAGTCCAATAATTTTATCAGTCATTCTTCTATAGTGGGTCTTTCCATCTTTTCGCGTGTTGTAGTCTCGTCGCAGTAATCATATATTGGAGTAATTGTCCATAATCCTTTTCTAACTGTATTTCAGTTAGCCCTAAAAGAAAGAGCTCTGGCTTCAGTTGGATATTAACTGGTAAAAATATGTTGCAGTAGAAGCGTATTAGCATAAAAACACATGCGATTAAAAAAAAATGCACAAAGGAAGCCTCCATATCAGTAGCAGAAAAACTTGGCAGCACAGCTAACAGCAAACCCTATTGCCTAAGGCAGTCAAAGACCTCTGAGAAAAGGTTAAGTTTTTACCTGGTGCTACCTGCCAAGGAGCCAGGTGGAAATCACTAGGTAGAGCATGCCTGGATAGAGTGGGTGGCGCTGTGGTCTAAACCACAGAACCTCTTGGGCTTGCCGATCAGAAGGTCGGCGGTTCGAATCCCCGCGACAGGGTGAGCTCCCGTTGCTCGGTACCTGCTTCTGCCAACCTAGCAGTTCGAAAGCACGTCAAAGTGCAAGTAGATAAATAGGTACCACTCTGGCGGGAAGGTAAACGGCTTTCCGTGCACTGCTCTGGTTTGCCAGAAGCGGCTTAGTCATGCTGGCCACATGACCTGGAAGCTGTACGCCGGCTCCATTGGCCAATAAAGCGAGATGAGCACCGCAACCCCAGAGTCGGCCACGACTGGACCTAACGGTCAGGGGTCCCTTTACCTTTACCTGCCAAGGAGCCAGGTGGAAATCACTAGGTAGAACATGCCATAATGGGGACCAGAAAAGGCCCTTTTCCCTTGCCAGCATTCTCTGAGCTTCTCTCAGAGTTAGAACCTGTTAAGCGTCCGAACCTAAGAACGGTCTTACAAAAAACGCCAGCACCCAAATTCTGTAGAGAGAAAAAGCCAGATTCTGAAATGATGATGATGATGATGATGATGAAGAAGAAGAAGAAGAAGAAGAAGTTATTTATATCCTGCTCTCCCCAGCTGAAGCCGGGCTCAGAGCGGCTAACAACAGTAAAAATAACACAATTTACGTACATAAAATCACAACCAATTTATTGAAATACATTGTAAAATCAATTCAATTCTAAAATCAATTCAGAGTCAAATTAATGGCAACCATTGGGCTAGAGTTCTATGTGGATTACTGAAGGACGGGGTCAGACTGTGCCTTGGCCAAAGGCCTGGTGGAACAGCTCCGTCTTGCAGGCCCTGCGGAAAGATGTCAAGTCCCGCAGGGCCCTAGTCTCTTGTGACAGAGCGTTCCACCAAGTCGGGGCCACAGCCGAAAAAGCCCTGGCTCTGGTTGAGGCCAGCCTATCCTCCCTGTGGCCCGGGACCTCCAAGATGTTTTTGTTTGGAGACCATAAGGTCCTCCATGGAACATACTGCGCTGAGCCCGGGACTGCAGGCAAAAGCGAAAGCCTGCATTCGCCCCATAGGACGCACACACATTTCCCCTTCATTTTTGGAGGGGAAAAAGTGCGTCCTATAGGGCGAAAAATACAGTAATCCTGCCAATTTTACACCCCTCGCGCACACACGCCATCTGCTTCCTGCCTTTTGCTGAAGCTGCCCCGTGAGAGAACCATCTACAAGAACGGGTTGTGTCAAATCAACAAAGCAGCATGGTTTTTGTTTCAGGCTCCGGGGCAAAACGGAATGGGAGGACCAGAAGGGCGGCTTGGTTTTCCTACAAGACAAAGACACCTGCTTGGAAGGAGCCAACCTCAGTGGCTCCATCATCAACTATGACGGCCTGGATAATCTGGGTAATAAGACGTTGTGCTTTTGAGTGTCCAGAGGGCTTCCAGGTGGCCGGACCTGTGTTGTCCTCGCTGCAGGAATAGGCAGCTGGAGGCTCTGGGTTCAAATGTATCCGTCCTCCTACCCCCACAGCGGTTTCAAGCAGTTGTTAAATAGTAGGGGGAGGAGACAGGGGGCTGTTAATGAAATCTGCAAGCCTCCCCCCACCCGAATTCCCCAATTTTAGTTAAATCCCCCACACCTTCGTAGCCTTCTTTTTAAAAAAAGTGGCTAAAGGGGTCATCACAGAAGATAAGGAATCTGGGCCTCCTCTGTCCCTCTCTCCAAAGACACCCCTTCCCCTTACTGATCTTACCACTTTCTCCTGGTCCCCATCTGCACAATACATTAAATGTACTCTTACGCCACTTTAAGCAGCCATGGTTCCCCCCAAAGAATTCTGGGAGCTGTAGTTTGTTAAGGGTGCTGAGAGTTGTAAGGAGATCCCATTCCCTTCTCAGAGCTACACTTTACAGAGTGGTTTAACAATCGGTCCCTCTTCTCAGTGAGCTCTGGAAAAGCGCTGCAGGAAGAAGCCTTTCCTTTTTAGCTGTCCTGGATCTTCAAAAATGCAGCCGCAGTGTTCTAGTTCTAGTGTGGCAGAGAGACGGAGCAAAACTTTTCCCCTCACACTTTATCCAGGCCATGTGTAGTTTTATAAACTTCGGTTGTGTCACCTCGCCGTTTCTCCAAACTGAGAAGCCCCGGGCACTGCAAACTTTCCTCCTAGGGAAATTGTTCCATCCTCCTTGATCGTTCCCGGTTGCGCTTTTCTGAACCTTTTCCAACTCTGCAATATCCTTTTTGAAGTGACACAATAAAGAGTTGTACATTGGCATTATTTGTCCCGTTTGCACCAGCCCAACCCCTTAGCAAGGCACAAGCAGGGCGAGTTTTTCAGGCGAGGTTGATCAGAACCACACATGGTATTCTAAGTGCAGTTGCAACATAGGTTTGTATGATGGTTGCTGTCTAACAGGAAAATTCAATAATACTATTAATAATTTTATAATTAATACCCTGCTCAATTGGCTGGGTTTCTCCAGCTACTCTGGGCTGCTTCCAACACATAGAAACATAATAAAACATCAAATGTTAAAAAACATTCCCTGAACAAGGCTGCCTTTGGATTTCTTCCTAAAGTTTTGTAGTTCTTTATCTCCTTGACATCTGATGGGAGGGCGTTCCACAAGGCGGGTGCCACTACAGATGCAGCTTCACATCTTGTAGTGAGGGAACCACCACTCAGAGCTGGACCTCAGTGTCCGGGCTGGACGATGGGGTGGAGACGCTCCTTCAGGTATACTGGGCCGAGGTCATTTAGGGCTTTAAAAGTCAGCACCAACACTTTGAATTATGCTCGGAAACATATGGGAAGCCAGTGAAGATCCTTTAGGTCCGGTGTTATATGGTCACCAGTCTAACTGCCGCGTTCTGGATTAGTTGTAGTTTCCAGGTCACCTTCAAAGGTAGCCCCACGTAGAGCGCATCGCAGTAGTCCAAGTGGGAGATAACCAGAGCATGTACCACTCTGGCAAGACAGTGCGCAGGCAGGCAGGGTCTTATACTAGATGGAGCTGGTAGACAGCTGCCCTGGACACAGAACTGACCTGCAGTAGCCAGTGATTTTTTTCTGGTGATACACAATCATATGGGTGGAGGGGTGGTGTAGAAAAGGAAACGGCAATGTATCATCAAATATCTATCATGCATCTGATAGAATTGGGTTCTGGGCAACACTTCTCCCCTCCCCCTCACTGCCCCTCCACATTAAATTTGTTAGGTGCTACAGTGCTGCTAGGACGTGGGTGGCGCTATGGGTTAAACCACAGAGCCTAGGACTTGCCGATCAGAAGGTCGGCGGTTCAAATCCCCGCGACGGGGTGAACTCCCGTTGCTCAGTCCCTGCTCCTGCCAACCTAGCAGTTCGAAAGCACGTCAAAGTGCAAGTAGATAAATAGGTACCGCTCCGGCGGGAAGGTAAACGACGTTTCTGTGCACTGCTCTGGTTCGCCAGAAACGGCTTAGTCCTGCTGGCCACATGACCCAGAAGCTGTACGCCGGCTCCCTCGGCCAGTAAAGCAAGATGAGTGCCCCAACCCCGGAGTCGGCCACGACTGGACCTAATGGTCAGGGGTGCCTTCACCTTTACAGTGCTGCTATGTTTTTACTTTTATCTGTAAGCCGCCTTAAGTCCCTCTCAGAGAAGAAGGCAGGATATAAATAAATACATCATCATAATAGGGTTGCAGAGTTCTGATTTGTATCTCTTTTTAGCACTGAGCACACACCTGTTTGGACCATGTTACATGCCGGCAGGCATTGCACGGGGGTTAGGCTAGATGCAGATTGGCCACAGCTAGTTTACAAACCTGCTTTTCCTTCCCGCCCTCCCTCCCGCAGTCAACCAAAGAAACCTGAAGCAGCTGGACCTCAGCAGGTGCCCCTACATCGACGACTGGAGTCTGAGCCGCCTTCACAACTTTGCAGACACCCTGCAGGAGCTTTCGCTGGCTGGGTGCCCGCAGGTCACAGAGAGGGGGCTGGCCTGCCTCCACCAGCTCGAGTGAGTACCAGTCAGTTGAAGGGGGTCCGAGTCGCGTTGCCTAGCAAGCAGGGGCTAGGAGTCTCCAGGGAACTCTTGCCTGAGAGCAGAATCCAGATACAAAGTCAGAGGTCCACTCTAGAGGTCAGGGAATGCAGACGATCACAGAGCCCAAGGGTCAAATGAAAGGTAGGGCCAGGAACCACAGGCGTTGCTTCCAGCACCTGACTGCTGCTGAGAGCTGTGCTTAAGAAGGCTGAAGCCAGCTGGTTCTCATCAGCGCCTTCTCTTCCGTGTCCTCGAAGGCTGATCAGCTGCAGGGGGAGTCCCAATGCATTCTCTTCCTTCAGGTGTAGCGTTCCCAAAGCAAGGAAGGATTGGACTCTGATTAATAAAATACACACGAAGCTTGACCAGCAAGACTCTGGGAGGAGTGTGTAATAATTCCTCTCCACCCCTCGGCCCAGGTCGTTTTATTCACAAAAGAACTTTTTACACAGTGTTCCTAAGAACCAATCAGATTTCCTCTGAGCATTTCAAAAACCGCACGTGGGACAAAGTCAGATCAGAAGAAATTCTTTTAACTACAAAGAAACGATTTCCTACTCAAGCATGCATATGTAGTTCAGAGTAAATAAAATAGGAATAAAAGGAGGAATGCATTCAGCAAAACCCCAGAGGTCATAAACAGGAGAGGCAGTATTTACTATCTCCTTGTGAACTCTCTTCCTGGCCCTTAATATCTATCTAAAGATTAAACTACATCAAAGCTACCTTCTATCTTTATGACCCAGGATGCCTGATGAACAACTGGCCTGTGTTTTAGAATGCTTATACGTCCCTGTCAGGTGTGGAGAAAGCAAATGGCAGAGGTGGAGAGGCTTGTGGGATTCGATCAGAAACCATTGTCAATGAATCAAACCCAGTCAACGCAATGCTTTCATCGCGGACACAATGGCTTGCTTCATTTTTCATAATTCCTCATAGCAATCCCATCTGACCCCCACACTCTGGATATTTGCACCCCTACATTCAGGCTGCAGTTCAACAGGAGAAGCTGACCCCTGGCTCGTGACAGAGGGGCTTGTACTGGCAAAATTTGTAAATGCTGGAGGCCATCACAGCAGCCCCTGAAACCACTTTCCCAAAAATTCAGACCCAGTGGATTTGCAGACTTCCTCTGTGCCAGTCTACCGCTGGGGCTGATGGGAGTTGTAGTGCACCTGGTTGGGGGGCACCTGGTTGGCAATGGCAGCTCTGTGCTAACCTGCCAGAGAGAGAGCTGTGAAACTTGAAAGCCTTGCCATCACCTCATTTGCCTTGCCCGGAGCAAGAAAGAGCAGGTTGTTGTCTAAGTGCTCCAGCAGGCAATGGCCTGGCTCACAATAATCTCAAGAATCCTTAGTTAAAATAAACGATGGCTTGATGTGCTAGTGCACTGACTTGCAAGCACTTCGCACAAACACACACCCTCTCTCTCTCATGCACACAAGAACACACTCCTGTTACTGCTGGGAAGCAAGCCATGGTCTGGTTTGTCATAATGCTCAGTCCAGACATGGTTTGTTTCCCCCACAAAGCAGAAGTGCCACGCCACTAACAAATCTGGGATCGAGAGAAACAAGCCACAAGTTATGAAAATCCAGTACAGTCATACTGTATAAATATGCTTCAGGTTGAGCGCTTTCGGGTTGCGCTCCATGGCGACCCGGAAGTAACGGAGCGTGTTACTTCCGGGTTTCACTGCTCGCGCATGCGCAGACAGTAAAAATGATGTCATGCGCGGAAGCGATGAAACGCGTCCCGCGCATGCGCAGACTCGCTGTCGCATCTTATGTTCCATTCGGGATGCGAACAGGGCTCCGGAACGGATCCCATTCGCATCCCGAGGTACCACTGTAATTCAGCCAGCTAGCCCTGGTGATCATCTAATGTTTATTGGATGGATTTCCCCTCTAAATTGATTTTTGATTTTATTGTTATTTACGCTTTTTACCGTATTTTATGCTGGGGTTTTTTGTAGCATCATTTAAGTGTTTTAAATTTGTTGTTAAGTGCCCTGAGCCTGTTTTCCTGAACCGGGAAGGGCGGGGTATAAATAAAATTATTATTATTATTATTATTATTATTATTATTATTATTAATTTATTATGTTTACATTCTATGTGTACTTAATATTATGGAATAATACTATTCAAAATTTCAATTAAATATGCATCCTTCCATTGTTGTAATATATTCATTCAATGTTCTTTAATCCTCCTTCCACAGAGTAATGGATTAAAACTGGTACACATGAAACACACACACACACACACACACACACACACACACACACACTTGTTTTTCATGTGTACCAGTTTTAATCCATTCCTCTGACTTTGTGGAAGCACGTTTGGTGCTGAAACCTTGCAAGGAACACTTCGGATCCTAGTTGTCTAAATACTCTCCTGCCTTTAGCTGCTCAGCTCACATTTGCCCTTGATCTGAAGAATGGAGGCAGCAATGTTTGCTGAATACCAGTTACCGGAAACCACAGGAGGGAAAGAGGGGTCCTGTGTTCGAGTACTGCTTGGTGGTTTCCCACCGGAGGCCCAGGATAGCCCCTGTGAGAATGGGAGGCTGGACTAGATGTGCCCCCTGGCCTGATCCCGCAGGCTCTTCTTACAGATGGAAAACTAGTGGTCTTCCAGGAGTTGTTGGACTATGGTTCCCAAGGGTTGCAAAGGATGATGGGAGTTGTAGTCCGGAAGCGTTTGGAAGGTTTGCCGGTCCCTGATCTAAACCATGTGGACCGAAAGGCGAGGGAAGCACTTTAAAGGTTTTAACCTTTAAACCCCTATACTGCCTAGGTCCCTCGTACCTACGGGACCGCCTCTCCTGGTATGTCCCACGGAGGACCTTACGGTCTTCAAACAAAAACATCTTGGAGATCCCAGGCCACAGGGAGCTTAGGCTGGCCTCAACCAGAGCCAGGGCTTTTTCGGCCGTGGCCCCAATCTGGTGGAACGCTCTGTCACAAGAGACTAGGGCCCTGCGGGACTTGACATCTTTCCACAGGGCCTGCAAGACAGAGATGTTCCATCAGGCCTTTGGCCAAGGCACAGCATGACCCCCTCCTTCTGTAATCCTCATAGCACTCTAGCCCAATGGTTGCCAGTAATTTGATTTTGAATTGATTTTAGAATGAATTGATTTTAGAATTCATTTCAAATGATTGATTGTGATTTTATGTGAACTGTGTTGCTTTTATTGTTGTTGGCTGCTCTGAGCCTGGCTTCGGCTGGGGCGGGCGGGATATAAATAAAAAAATATTATTATTATTATTATTTATTATTAAAGCTGCTATGAGTCAGGCAGAGACAACTAGGGAATCAGGACAATCTGGAAGAGGTTCAGGTCATGGAGCATCTTCCTTGATTTGCAACCCTGAGTCAGGACAGGGTGTGGCCGTTGCAGATGAGCTGTTCCTTTAGGCTCCCTGCCACCCACAGTGTCGCCAGTTTTCCAAAGGTGATTTCCCCTTTCGGTTGTTTCGGGCCGGCTGTTCAGGACTGCCCCGTGATCCTGAATAGCAGGAACTTCAGGAGCCAGAAAAGGAAACGTTTCTCCCCACAACCTGCCATTAGCTTATGGAATTCCCTGCCACTAAAATTCCACCAGCTTGGGTATTTGTTTATTCATTTATTTTTAAAAGGATTAAGCAACGTTTATGGAGCAGCCAAGCTGCCGAGGGCTGTTAGCCATCACAGCTAAATGGAACCTCCACGTTCAGAGGCACTGTATCTTCGCAACCTTCATAATTCTCTGTTTTAGTAATACTCCAGAAAGCTAGCCGATCTGGTTTGTTGAATTTGTGCGTTGCTCATAAGTCCCAAAGCGATTTACAAGGACCAAACAAGTAATACAGTAGAAAATACAAAAAACGTATTTTTAAAGAATATAATCAGAGTAAACACAAAGCAGTCTAAAAAAAAGTGCATGGGGGTGGATCATGTAAGTTAACCTGAAGCCCCGCAGATTAAAAGCAGGACTAGCTAAATGAACCTTGGGTTGATTGGTTAAATTTGCCTCTAGTATTTTTTTTAAAATGGGAGTGGGCAGTTCTTCTTCAGCCCAGTGGACACATGTCCTTATGGGTGGTAAAGGTAAAGGGACCCCTGACCATTAGGTCCAGTCGTGACCGACTCTGGGGTTGCGGTGCTCATCTTGCTTTACTGGCCGAGGGAGCCGGGGTACAGCTTCCAGGTCATGTGGCCAGCATGACTAAGCCGCTTCTGGCGAACCAGACCAGCGCACAGAAACACCGTTTACCTTCCCGCCAGAGCGGTACCTATTTATCTACTTGCACTTTGACGTGCTTTCGAACTGCTAGGTTGGCAGGAGCAGGGACCGAGCAACGGGAGCTCACCCCATCGCGGGGATTCAAACCGCCAACCTTCCAATTGGCAAGCCCTAGGCTCTGTGGTTTAACCCACAGCGCCACCCTTATGGGTGGGGGCAGAGGCACAAAGTGGGCAGGGCAGCAGATGGGGCTTTCACCTTTGCACAACAGGGCTACATTCCGGCCATGTACAAAATAGACATTTCTGCAACGCCCCTGTCCATCCAGCCACATGAGAGGCACTCGTAGGACTTATTTCAGCTAATGAACATCACCTGAGGAAGAGCGATGGAGTAGCACTGGTAGAAGACCTGTCACGACCCAGGAAGCATCTCAAGGGATTCTGTATTCAGTCCCTGAGTGTGAGTCCCTAGTTTAGGCTTCTGTTTACGAAATTTAAATTTCTCTCCTCACTGCAGAAGGTCCTGAAGTGGCTTCCAACCCAAATAAAAACACGATGGCAATAAAAATAATAATCAAATAAACTTGTTGAAATCACACTGAAGTATATTCAAGGATTCAATGTCATAAAAGGGTTTATCCCCGATATTACCCCTCTACCTAGCCTACGGTGAACCAGGAAACAAACCATTCAATCATGGTTCATAACCGTGAACAATCTTCTGCACCCGTATTTTGAAAGAAACGACGTCCTTGCATTGAGACATGATGTGTGTGTGTCACGGCTTAGAGGAGGCCTTGCCGTTCTGTCCTAAGATTACATTTGCCGTCTTGCATAAGGGGTAAGATTAGTTTTCATAAAGGCTAAATTAGTATTTGGCTCAGCTAATTGGGGGCACTGTTTTACGCAACCAAGATGCGGTTAACTGATTGCTGCAACTGATTAATTGGCCACACACCAGAGCCCTCATTAAAATCCCCCCTGATTAATCCATTAAGGCTTTGGGTGTTTAATCTACCGTCGAGTGGTGTTGTTGTTGCTGAGTCATTTAGTCGTGTCCGACTCTTCGTGACCCCCTGGACCAGAGCACGCCAGGCACTCCTGTCTTCCACTGCCTCCCACAGTTTGGTCAAACTCATGCTGGGAGCTTCGAGAACACTGTCCCACCATCTCGCCCTCTGTCGTCCCCTTCTCCTTGTGCCCTCCATCTTTCCCAACACCAGGGTCTTTTCCAGGGAGTCTTCTCTTCTCATGAGGTGGCCAAAGTACTGGAGCCTCAGCTTCAGGATCTGTCCTTCCAGTGAGCATTCAGGGCTGATTTCCTTCAGAATGGATAGGTTTGATCTTCTTGCAGTCCATGGGACTCTCAAGAGCAGGCATCCCCAACCTGTGGCCATCCAGATGTTTTGGCCTACAACTCCCATGATCCCTAGCTAACAGAACCAGTGGTCAGGGATGATGGGAATTGTAGTCCAAAACATCTTGGGGATGCCTGCTCAAGAGTCTCCTCCAGCACCACAATTCAAAAGCATCAATTCTTTGGCGACCAGCCGCCTTTATGGTCCAGCTCTCACTTCCATACATCAGTACAACTCTGCTGAAATAATAATAATAATAATAATAATAATAATAATAATAATAATAAATTTTATTTATATCCCGCCCTCCCCAGCCGAAGCCGAGCTCAGGGCGACTAACAACAATAAAATAGTACATTCTAAAATCATTTCATTATGAAATTAATTCAACTCAAATTGATGGCAACCATTAGGCTAAAGTTCTGTGAAAGGAGGGAGTCAGGGAGAGAGGGAGTCAGGCTGTGCCCTGACCAAAGGCCTGGTGGAACAGCTCTGTCTTGCAGGCCCTGCGGAAAGATGTCAAGTCCCGCAGGGCCCTAGTCTCTTGTGACAGAGCGTTCCACCAGATTGGAGCCACAGCCAAAAAAGCCCTGGCTCTAGTTGAGGCCAGCCTAACTTCTCTGTGGCCTGGGACCTTCAGGATGTTTTTGTTTGAAGACCGTAAGTTCCTCTGTGGGACATACCAGGAGAGGCGGTCCCATAGGTACGAGGGTCCTAGGCTGTATAGGGCTTGAAAGCCATCCTTGCTTTTTTTTTTTTTTTTTTTTGCTCTCTATTGGTAAAAATGTGCAAAGTGATCATTGCCACGAGCATTGCACATGGGCAGGAGGCAGTGCAAATGGCTTTATGAACTCTCCCTCCCTCTTGTCCTTTCAGGAATCTCAGGTTCTTGGATGTCTCTGACCTGCCCTCCGTCCGCCACAAAGAACTGGTTCGGATCCTGCTGGAGGAGATGCTGCCTCAGTGTCACATTGTGGGGATGAACTATCCCGAGGGGGTGGACCTGCCCTTGGACTCTGACAAACACGGAGGCGAAATAGAGGAGGAGCACCAGGGAGGTGCTGGAAGCCAGAAAAAGAGAGAAGTCTCCATTTGAATGGGGAGGGCCGCGTCTCAGAGACTCTTCCTCCCCACCACCAACCATGCAAATCGGAGCGTTCCCCCAAAGGCGCCACAAAGACAACAAAAGACGTGGTTGCTCTAAAGCAGCAATGGGGAATCTGTAGATTTCCAGGTGCTACTTGACTCCAATTCCCATCAGCCCCGGCCAGCTTGGTTGGTGTTGAGGCATGATAGGACTTGGAGTCCAACAACACAGTTTCCCCACCCTTGTTCTAAAGAATGCCTGCCCTACGGTTATTTCACCTTCCCTATGTTCCTCCACATAATAAACAGACCCTCCATATTTTGGCAGTGTGTACCTCTGAGCTTTTATTGTTCCCTTTTTAAAACACAGTGGTACCTCGGGTTACATACGCTTCGGGTTACAGACTCCGCTAACCCAGAAATAGTACCTCGGGTTAAGAACTTTGCTTCAGGATGAGAACAGAAATCGTGCTCTGGTGATGCGGCAGCAGCAGGAGACCCCATTAGCTAAAGTGGTGCTTCAGGTTAAGAACAGTTTCAGGTTAAGAACGGACCTCCGGAACGAATTAAGTACTTAACCCGAGGTACCAGTGTAGTTTGGTGAGCACAGAACCAGAGTTGTTGTTGCAGGCACCTGTCTGTCTCAAGAGACAATGGAGTGCGCCTCCGGGGGTGAAGTCAAACGGCTCTGTTAGCAGCACTGAAGTGACCTCCCTGGGGCGCAAGCCTGGGCAGTGTGGATGGAGGTCCGGGGCTGCTCAGTTGATAAGACCCCCCTCTCAGCCTCTCTGATGCGGTCCAACGGAAAGCTGAGCAAGATGTTGGGCACCAGCTTGGCTGCAGGAGTTGACGGAAGGAGGCATACAAGGCACCATCCAACCGCCTTAGGGACAACTTCAGATTTGTGTAGGGTTTACTCCAGAGCCTTCTCTTCTCCCATAGATATCCTGCAAGGCACCAGAGGGTTAGGAGCAGAGTTTCCCTTCTCCTTGATGGGCCACCTTCCCAGGCTGACGAGCCCCATCTGCACTTAGAACGAAAGCAGCTTTTGGTATAAAATAGCATGGGTGTCCTGAACTTGCGGACGTGGGTGGCGCTGTAGGTTACACCACAGAGCCTAGGGCTTGCCGATCGGAAGGTCGGTGGTTCAAATCCCCACAACGGGGTGAGCTCCCGTTGCTTGGTCCCAGCTCCTGCTAACCTAGCAGTTCCAAAGCACGTCAGAGTGCAAGTAGATAAATAGGTACAGCTCTGGCGGGAAGGTAAACGGCGTTTCCGTGCACTGCTCTGGTTCGCCAGAAGCGGCTTAGTCATGCTGGCCACTTGACCCGGAAGCTGTACGCCGGCTCCCTCGGCCAATAAAGCAAGATGAGCGCCACAACCCCAGAGTCATCCGCGACTGGACTTAATTGTCAGGGGTCCCTCTACCTTTTACCTGAACTTTCAGGCCCCTAGCAACCAATAGTTCAGTTAATTGATCTATTGCATCCTTCTCCAACTGGTGCTGTTCTAGATGTTTTGGACAACAGCTGTTGTGCTGGTTTGGACTGATGGTGTTATTGCGATCTGAAATGTCTGATGGGCACCAGGATGCGAGAGGCTGACTTATTATCGCATGCTATTTCTAACAGACCAACCTGCCCCAAAATGCAGAGCATAAAGGCAACCAGCCTTCCCCATCATTATGGGTATGTCCGTAGCAAAAGGAAGAACAAAGAAACAGTGGGGTCACTCAGAGGTGAAGATGGTGAAATGCAAACAGGGGACACAGAAAGGGCTGAACTCCTCAATGCCTTCTTTGCCTCAGTCTTCTCCGATAAAGAAAACAATGCCCGACCTGAAGAATTTGGAGCAAATGATTCAGCAGAGGAAACACAGCCCAGAATAACTAAGGAGATAGTACAAGAATACTTGGCTAGTTTAGATGTATTCAAGTCTCCAGGGCCAGACGAACTGCATCCAAGAGTATTAAAAGAACTGGCAGATGTGATCTCAGAACCACTGGCAGTCATCTTTGAGAATTCCTGGAGAACAGGTGAAGTCCCGGCAGACTGAAGGAGGGCAAATGTTGTCCCTATTTTCAAAAAGGGGGAAAGAGAGGACCCAAATAATTATCACCCAGTCAGTCTGACATCAATACTAGGGAAGATTCTGGAGCAGATCATTAAGCAAACAGTCTGTGAGCACCTAGAAAGGAATGCTGTGATCACCAATAGTCAGCATGGATTTCTGAAAAATAAAGTCATGTCAGACTAACCTGATCTCGTTTTTTGACAGAATTACAAGCCTGGTAGATGAAGGGAACGCAGTGGATGTAGCCTACCTTGATTTCAGCAAGGCATTCGACAAGGTGCCCCATGATATTCTTGTAAAGAAGCTGGTAAAATGCGGTCTTGACTATGCTACCACTCAGTGGATTTGTAACTGGCAGACTGACCGAACCCAAGCGGGGCTCATCAATGGTTCCTCTTCATCCTGGAGAAGAGTGACTAGTGGGGTGCCACAGGGTTCTGTCTTGGGCCCGGTCTTATTCAACATCTTTATCAACGACTTGGATGATGGACTCAAGGGCATCCTGATCAAATTTGCAGATGACACCTGTCAGGGGTTCAGGGACAGAGGCACTGGGAGGGGTGGCTAACACCCCAGAGGACAGGATCACACTTCAAAACGACCTTGACAGATTAGAGAACTGGGCCAAAACAAACAAGATGAACTTTAACAGGGAGAAATGTAAAGTATTGCACTTGGGCAAAAAAATGAGAGGCACAAATACAAGATGGGTGACACCTGGCTTGAGAGCAGTACATGTGAAAAGGATCTAGGAGTCTTGGTTGACCACAAACTTGACATGAGCCAACAGTGTGACGCGGCAGCTAAAAAGCCAATGCAATTCTGGGCTGCATCAATAGGAGTATAGCATCTAGATCAAGGGAAGTAATAGTGCCACTGTATTCTGCTCTGGTCAGACCTCACCTGGAGTACTGTGTCCAGTTCTGGGCACCACAGTTCAAGAAGGACACTGACAAACTGGAACGTGTCCAGAGGAGGGCAACCAAAATGGTCAAAGGCCTGGAAACGATGCCTTATGAGGGACGGCTATGGGAGCTGGGCATGTTTAGCCTGGAGAAGAGGAGGTTAAGGGGTGATATGATAGCCATGTTCAAATATATAAAAGGATGTCATATAGAGGAGGGAGAAAGGTTGTTTTCTGCTGCTCCAGAGAAGCGGACAAGGAGCAATGGATCCAAACTACGTACAAGAAAGAAGATTCCACCTAAACATTAGGAAGAACTTCCTGACAGTAAGAGCTGTTCGACAGTGGAATTTGCTGCCAAGGAGTGTGGTGGAGTCTCCTTCTTTGGAGGTCTTTAAGCAGAGGCTTGACAACTATATGTCAGGAGTGCTCTGATGGTGTTTCCTGCTTGGCAGGGGGTTGGACTCGATGGCCCTTGTGGTCTATTCCAACTCTAGGATTCTAGGATTCTATGATCTCTCAGCACCTGGCATTTAGAGGTAGACTGCCTTTGAAGAGGGAGGCTCCACTAAGCCTTTCTGACATTGGAAGGGGGTCCTGCAACATGGCTGCGTCCAAAATGAACTGGAGTTGTCCGGTAACAATGAAAGTGGCATCACAGGCATCCCTCTGGTGTCCACACCGACTTTGGAAGGCGGCCTTGTTGAATCTGTGTCAGGAATACAGTTTGCGTGGTGAAGAAGAAGAAAGGGACTTTGTTTCCTGTTTTGTCCTCCTGTGCAGCAATGTGTACACATCCTCGCTTGCCGGTCCTGCTCATCCTCACAGGTTTGTTTGTTTTCTGACTGCGCTCAAATCCGTCACTTGCACCCGTTGCCAGAGGCACCACCCGCCATTTGCCCCCTTACGGCACGTCTGCCAGTTTGCCTCTTGTTGATGGCGCTTGGCCTTAGAGCCTCAGATGCTGAGCACCTGAGCTGTGCGGTTGGCAGGCTGTTGACGAAAACACAGAGATATTTTTGCAAGTAAGAACAAGCCTTGCGGTGGCGGCAGGCCTGCGGGATTTACACACTCACAGAAGAGGCCTTGTTGCAGCAGCTGCAGACAAGGAAGATGCTTTCTCCCTGTTGGCTAAATAAATCATTTAAAGCAGGCCTTACGCACTCCAGTGTTGAAAGGGTTCTTGGATACAAGAAGTATTGACTTGCCTGCTGGATGCCCAAGTGCACTTGAAGAGACAGGGAGGCTTTTAAACTGAATATGCATTTGGGAACCCCTTTTCTGAACCTTTTTGCCTTATACCTGCACAGTGGCCACGCTCCTGCTGCAACCCACCTGGGATCAGGCCGCAACCTGCCAATTGAAGGCCAGGGGTCTAGCAGATGGCATTGGACTTTCCTGCCAACTTCCGGTGCGGCTGCCAGGAAAAAGGTAAAGGGACCCCTGACCGTTAGGTCCAGTCGCGGACGACTCTGGGGTTGCGGCGCTCATCTCGCTTTACTGGCCGAGGGAGCCGGTGTACAGCTTCCGGGTCATGTGGCCAGCATGACTAAGCCGCTTCTGGCGAACCAGAGCAGCGCACAGAAACGCCGTTTACTTTCCTGCCAGAGCGGTACCTATTTATCTACTTGCACTTTGACATGCTTTCCAACTGCTAGGTGGGTAGGAGCTGGGACCGAACAACGGGAGCTCACCCTGTCACGGGGATTCGAACCGCCAACCTTCTGATCGGCAAGTCCTAGGCTCTGTGGTTTAGACCACAGCGCCACCCATGTATTGGCAATTCTAAAGCAAAAACAGGGAACCTCGGGCTTCAGGAGCGAAATACGCCCCACCAGCAGCAGAGTGTTTTTGTGTCAGGAATGGATCAGTAATAAATCACACGGGATAAGTGAACTCTCTATTAGGAGAAACAAGGTCTGCGCAGAAGTGCTAGCCCTACTGAGCACAGCAACTCTTCTCGGCAGGTCCTGTGGCACTTGTGGAGACTGAAGGCCTTCCGTCAGCTGCCTAAGTCTCCTCCCCAGGTCCTTCCCAAGCAATCTGAGACTATGCCGGTGTGCCTGATTTTGATCCTCTCATTTCAGCCCTCTTCTGGTCCTGGGAGACCAGCAGAAGGAGAGCTCGCTGTGGCAGGAGGGGGAGACACCCTGTCTTCTTCACCAGCTGGTCTTCCTGCACAAAGGTCAAAAGTCAACCGTTTAGGGCGGTGCAGGAAGTGACGTCCCCCCCCCGGCACTGAGCAGGGGGCACAAAATTGAGAAGATCCATTTCGGGGTGCCAATTTTTTGGCCTCACACACATATTACAAAACGTTACCCCAGTGCACCCGTTTTTGCCCCGCCTGCTTTTGTCCGTGGCCCCACCCACCCCTGACATGGCCCCGCCCCTGAAAGGGAATATGGCACCCAGGGTGAAAAGGGTCCCAGTTCTCGAGTTATTTCAACAAAGGTTTGCCTCCTCCTTATCCTAACACAGCAAAGCTCGCCTTGCATTGCCTGTTTCTCCTACAGTCCCCGACACACAAGTGAAGTCTTTTTTCTGATCTAAGCCCACCAGCGATTTCCAGAAGCGAGATCTGCCGCCATCATTTCCTGCGCAGGCTCTCAGCCACTGGAGTTAATTTCCTCTGTGAAGCATAGCAGTGTGTGTGTGTGTGTGTGTATCTTCTGTTGCCTTCTGTTCATCCCTGTGCTGTACCAGAAATACAGTACTGTGCATCGTGCGTGTCCAGCGCCCTTGGCTTTCCAGTATTTGTCAGAAAAAAGTCCATTCCCATTGGCTTCCTTCTTGCTGAGCGTTTGTTTCTTACTTGTGATGATTAATCCACAGTGGCCAACTTCTCTCTCCCTGCCTCCCATGAAAAGCCATTACACAATTTAAATTAAATTTCAGACCGGGCCTCTCTTGCTCTCTTTAGTCTGTGTTTCCTGTTTGCCATGGGCCATTAATGACCCAATGGATCCATTGTAAAAGGCCCAGAGAGGGCTGAGAAATGTGACTGTGAGTGACGTCAGTAGTAGCAGAACAGAACGTGTAATGTGGTTTCTTGCTTGCCTCATCTCCGGGTCTTGGGTTTGGCCTCAGAGACCTCCTGAGGACCCTGACGAAAACCCAGCTTGCCCCGTGCCCGGTTACAGAATCATAGAATTGTAGACTTGGAATCAGGGGTGCCAAATTGAATAACAAAATATCGTTGCCCTCGCCCCACATAATCGATCGCATGAGGCAGTGCACACACACACACCATTTGAATGGGAATGCCCATCAACTTTGTGGGGGCCCAGCCCCCTCAAATCTTCTATTGTGGGGGCTGAAGCCCCTACTGTTAAGTTGTGGGTGAACATATCAGACGACACAGCAATTCTTCAAACAGCACTTGTTTATTCACAGGCCAGGACAGAACTGAACTGAAGGGTTCAGTCAGCCTGCTTATATAGAGCTCCAGTACAACGTAACTGTATCAACTTTCTAAAACTATCCAATCACTGAACGTCACTTTCGATCCCTTATTTGCATAACTAGCTACAGTATCCCCCTGCTGGCCCAGGGTGAGAACTTCAGTACATAACACCTACGGCCCCTGGGAGTTGGCTCCCATGCTTGCAAGGGACCCTGAGGGTCATCTAGTGCAACCCCCTGCAATGCAGAAATCTTTTGCCCAACATGGGACTCGAACCCACAACCCTAAGATTAAGAGTCTCATGCTCTGCCGACTGAGCTAGACCCTGAACTCGGGCTTTGGCGAGTCTGAAGCCTAAAGCCTGAGCCTGCGTAGACGCATGTGTGTGTGTGTGTGTGTGTGTGTGTGTGTGTCTAGCCTTGTGGAGAGCAAGCTTTCAGTACCTCCGTTCATTCTGCTGTCCGCACTCTCCCCTCCTTCAGTTTGGGTTTCTTCCTACCTAGGCCTCTCCCTTTTCAGAGTAGCCTTGGTATGAGAAAATCCAGACAATAGAGCAAAGGCAAGTCACAGGAAGTTCTCTATCTTCATTAAACGACAGCACGGACGAGACCTTAGCTGGAGGCAACAACCCTCTGCGTGTCAACAAGACCGCCATAAACGAGGAGGAAACTTCTGTCTCTCTCTGCCCAACTTGAGGTCTGCTCCCTTTCCTGTTACCTCTTATGGAACGAGCAGGCGCAGGATTGTCACACCATTTTATTTTTAACCGCTGGTGTCCCCCCCCCCCCCAATTCAGTTGCAAACTCGCCTTATCGCCTCCTCGCGTTCTTTGTGGTTGCTGTCGCACGAAAGTGTGACTCAGGCCTGGAGCAAAGTATGTGTCTCCCTTGACATCTATGCGCCTCAACTCCTTCTCCCTCAGCCTGGTTTGTCCTCCCACGGAAGAGATAGAGCTGTTTGCTTAGACAGGGCTCCCGGCTTGTGGGGGTTCCTTCAAGCCCAAGATAGCATTTTTCCTAAAGCTGCTTTTTTTGCATATATGTGTTTGTGCGTGGGTTTTTTTTCCTGCCCCCTCCATGATCAGACATTCCTGCTGCTGCCTCTGGCCACGTGGGATGGGTGTTGAGCTGTGGTCTAAACCACTGAGCCTCTTGGGCTTGCCGATCAGAAGGTCGGCAGTTCGAATCCTCGTGACAGAGTGAGCTCCCGTTGCTCTGTCCCAGCGTCTGCCAACCTAGCAGTTCGAAAGCACACCAGTGCAAGTAGATAAATAGATACCACCACGACAGGAAGGTAAACGGCGTTTCCGTGCACTCTGGTTTCCGTCACGGTGTCCTATTGCACCAGAAGCAGTTTAGTCCTGCTGGCCACATGACCCGGAAAGCTGTCTGTGGACAAACACCAGCTCCCTCGGCCTGAAAGCAAGATGAGCGCCGCAACCCCAGTCGCCTTTGACTGGACTTAACCATCCAGGGGTCCTTTACCTTTTTACCATCAAGGCAGGACTTCAGGGTCCTCACTCAGCAGAAGGGCCCCACCCATTCGGGTTGCCACCCGTCCCTAGAAAAACGTGATCGCCCCATTTTTTGGACGAAAGTGTCCCCTGTCCCATTTGGACTTCAAACAGGACACCATATTTCCTGTTTTTGAGATTGGCCGGCCCAAAACAACAATACAGAGAAGGGGGAAGGAGTGGCGTTCTCTCCCTCCCTCGCCCCCTGGAGGTCATATGTGGGGAACCCCCCCTCCGCAAAGTGGGGGGAGGATTTGGTGTGTGTGTGCCCCCCAATCCCCACCCCTCTCCGGTCTGCCCCTTCTTTTGCCTGACATGTCCCGTATTTTGCCCGACCAAAGGTGACAACCTTACGCCCAGTGATTGCCTCCACCACATTTTGAATCAACCAGAAGTGGGAAGGAGGAGGGCCATTTGGGCAGGGCCTCAGGCTCAACAGGAGCCTCAGGTTTATAATAAATAATAATAATAATACATTTTTATTTCTTTTTAGGGTCTTCTCGGTAGTGGCGCCCGCCCTGTGGAACGCCCTCCCTTCAGATGTGAAGGAAATAAGCAGCTATCTTCTTTTTAAAAGACATCTGAAGGCAGCCCTGTTTAGGGAAGTTTTTAATATTTAATGCTGTATTGTTTTTAACACTTGATTGGAAGCCGCCTAGAGTGGCTGGGGAAACTCAGCCAGATGGGCGGGGTATAAATAAATTATTATTATTATTATTATTATTATTATTATTATTATTATTATTATACCCCGCCCTTCCAGGTTCAAAAACTGGGCTCAGGGCGGCAAACAACAAATTTAAAACACTTTAAAACACTTAATTATAAAAGCAGCATAAAATACAGTATAAAAACATGAATAACAGTAAATTCAAAAATCAAAAATCAATTAGATAATCCCCAGGGCTAGCTGGCTGAATTGGTCCTACTTGGGCCAGCGAGGAGGCCAGGGGAGAATTAGCTGTGGGGTTTAGAGACGTGTTAATTTTTTCTTCTTTCTTTTGCATTTGATCATAGAATCGTAGAGCTGGCAGGGTCTCTGAGGGTCATCTGGTCCAACACCCTACAATGCAGAAATCTCAACTAAAGCACCCAGGACAGATGGTCGTGCAACCTCTGCTTAAAAACCTCCAAGGAAGGAAAGTCCACAACTTTCCCGAGGGAGTCTGTTCCACCGTCAAACAGCTCTTACTGTCAGAAGGTTCTTCCTGATGTTTAGCTGGAATTTCCTTTCTTGCATCTTGGATCCATTGGTTTGAGTCCTAGCCTCTGGAGCAGGAGAAAACCAGCTTGCTCCATCTTCCGTGGGACAGCCCCAACTTGCTTTCATGCACACGGGACCAAAATGTGTCACGATCTTAGTAATAATAATAAATTTTATTTATACACTGCCCTCCCCAGCCAAGACTGGGCTCAGGAAGCCTAACACCAGGTAAAAACAATTGATTAAAATACAACATAAAAACAAGATTTAGTACAACATTAAAATGCAGCCTCATTTCAGGAGGAACTCAAATCAAAAACATTTCAGGGATGAAAACGTCAAATCTTCACCAAGGCCAACTATCCAGACTGTCCTACATGGGCCAGAAAAAAGCCAGGGAAGTCCCCAAATAGGAGTTCCATCACAGAAGGAGAAAGAAAAAAGGAAAAAGGGATCAAGTTGATTCCAAGCCAAAGGCCAGGTGGAACAATTCTGTCTTACAGGCCCTGCAGAAAGAAATCAGATCCTGCAGGGCCCTGGTCTCATGAGACAGAGCGTTCCACCAGGCCCGGGGCCAGTGTTGAAAAGGCCCTGCCTCTGGTTGAGGCTAATCTGACTTCCTTAGGGCCCGGGACCTTTAGGGTGTTGCTATTTATGGACCTTAAGGTCCTCCATGGGGCATACTGGGAGAGGCAGTCCTGTAGGTACGAGGGTCCTAGGCCGTGAAGGGCTTTAAAGGTCAAAACCAGCACCTTAAATATGACCCTGTACTCCATATTGCAGCTTTAGGGGTGCTCTGCAGAGTTTAAGAGATGTGATTTGGTAAAAGGGCATTCTTTGAGCACCGGTGCGAGGGCTGCTGCGCTGGCATAAGGTTGAGAGTAACAGAGGCATGATATGAAATGTGTTGCAACAGCTGGACCAGTGGAAGCTTGCTGGGGCAAGAGGTTGCACAGAGCGGGCAGGATCAGACCTACAGCAGAAGAGTGCCGAGAGCCATCGCGACTTCCCATGACTTCTCTTGCACAACTGGCACACTGCTAAGTGATTTCAAATCAGCACAACATTGAATTCCTTCCATAATTTTTGGCTTCACTGGCTGCCAAGTGCTTTTTCCTCATCTGCCTGCTATGTAAGCAATGGCACTCATCCCCTGAACATCAGCAGGAGAGAGAGTGTTTGGCTTGTTGTTTTAAAGTTATAAAACAGCAGAATTAGGTGGGAAGGAGATAGCAGAGTCAACAAGTGCCCAACGACCTGTAAAATTTGATGAGTGGATGTCTACCCTTGTGGGTAGAATGGATGGTTTGGTCTAGAACTTTTCTCCCTGACATGCTAGATATTTTTTGCTTTCAGGGAGTGTTTCCCCTTCATTTCCCCCCATAGAAGGTTACAGTGGTACCTCCGGTTGCAAACGGGATCCGTTCCGGAGGTCCGGCTGCATCCCGAGGAATTTGCAACTGGAGGACCGCTTCTGCGCATGCGCGCACTGCGAAACCCGGAAAAATACTTCCGGTTTGCTGCGTTCGCATCCTGAAGTTTACGTATCCAGAGGGATATGTAAGCGGAGGTACGACTGTATTTTAAAATGTCGATCTCCCACCTGCAGCACTCTTAATAGGATCACCATGGGTCCTACTTTGTAGAGTAAAGGTAAAGGGACCCCTGACCATTAGGTCCAGTCGTGACCGACTCTGGGGTTGCGGTGCTCATCTCGCTTTAATGGCCGAGGGAGCTGGCCTACAGCTTCTGGGTCATGTGGTCAGCATGACTAAGCCGCTTCTGGCGAACCAGAGCAGCGCACGGAAACGCCATTTACCTTCCCGCTGGAGCGGTACCTATTTATCTACTTGTACTTTGAGGGGCTTTTGAACTGCTAGGTTGGCAGGAGCAGGGACCGAGCAATGGGAGCTCACCCCCGTCGCGGGGATTCGAACCGCCGACCTTCCGATTGGCAAGTCCTAGGCTCTGTGGTTTAACCCACAGCGCCACCTGCGTCCCACTTTGTAGAGTACAGTCCTCTGTTTGAAGGTGTCCTCTGTTTGAAGGGCCGTCTGGTTCACCTGAAAGACATTTCAAGTTAAACAAGAGAGAGATGGATGTGTGTATGGCTTCAAGTTCCCCATCTACGCTGAGCCCCTAGGGTTGTAGATTGAAGCTCAGAGCCTTCCCACTACGGCATCACACTTGTATTTTAAGCTGTAGCCATCATTTCGAAATATGCATCTATCAGATAAATTGGCGTATGCAAAACGTATGCAGATCAGTGTCCTCTCTTATTCTGGCCGGGCATTTCTGCAGGGGTTTTTTGGGAATGGAGTCACCGCCGTGTTGCAGTCCTCCGCCCTTTCGTTCGGCTACCTGCGTAGGCAAGGCCTGAGACGTCTTCCTGATAGGAATCTGTCCCTTGGGTGAGCCATGGGAGACCAGCCCTGGTGACTGAACACATGGGAAAAGAGGATGGCAGTTGCCTGTTGCCAGGAAGCCGTTCCGCGCTTGCGTAAGGATTCCACAAACGAGTGGAATTGCATTGTATTTTGCAATATCGGGCAATGACTGCTGATACTGCTTGAGAAATCTGGAGGTGAGGCTGCTGCCATCTCTCACCGCATCCCAGCGGAAGCCTTGGCTCACCTCCTCTGACGCTTGCCCAAGTGGAAGAAGAAACCCAATCTCAGAGCCGATCACGCAGATCGGTGCCAGAATTCTCCCACCCACAGCCTCCACAAGTCTATGCCAACATTCTCCAACCTGGAGATGTTTTAGAGTACAAGAAAAGGCTGTCATTGGCAGGAGCTTCTCTGGATATTTTAAGCAGTTTTATGTGAGATTAATGAATATATGATGCTCTCTTATGCTGTGTCATAACGTTGGTCCATCAAGTCAAGGGCTTATCTGCTGTGACTGGCAGGGGTCTTTGGAGTCTCAGGCAGATGTTTTTCCTCTGATATTTGGGGTCCTTTTAGCAGGGTATACACGGCATGCAGGCTACCACAAAGCTATGATACAAATAGCAAATATTTCCTACCTCCATCACTTCCCCTGGTTCCCATGGTTCATGTCGGCTATCAATTTCAGGTATCATGATGGACACGCTGGGCAACCTGACTCTACTATCCAAGATTTTATTAAGCATTAAGACAGATATTCCAAAATGTAGTGTAAAGGTAAAGGTAAAGGGATCCCTGACCGACGTACAGCTTCCAGGTTGTGTGGCCAGGGAGCCGACGTACAGCTTCCGGGTCGTGTGGCCAGCATGACTAAGCCGCTTCTGGCGAACCAGAGCAGCGCACGGAAACGCCGTTTACCTTCCCGCTGGAGCGGTACCTATTTATCTACTTGCACTTTGACATGCTTTTGAACTGCTAGGTTGGCAGGAGCAGGGACCGAGCAACAGGAGCTCACCCTGTCGCAGGGATTCGAACTGCCAACCTTCCGATCGGCAAGTCCTAGGCTCTGTGGTTTAACCTACAGTGCCACCCGCGTCCCTAAAATGTAGTGTAGTCTAGTGTAAAAGCAGATGGCATTTTTACCTTCTGCACAGTAAACCACAGATAAGATAAACAGTGGTTTAATCATAGAATCATGGCAGGGGGTTGGGCTAGATGACCCTTGGCTTCGCTTCCAACTCTGCAATTCTCTGATTCTATGACAAATCTCTCTCTCTCTCTCCCTAACCCCCCTAGATACCCACCCCAGGCTCTTCTGTAATGCACAGAGGTCAGCTCAATTAAGCAACCCAGGTGAGCAAACGGAAGCGGTGTTTCAGCTAACACATAATTAACCTGTTGCCAACTCCAAACAGATAAAGGTCACACACGCACGCACAACACCTCTTGTTTTCTTTTCGGCTGAAACTGCTTCAGAAATGCAACTTGACCAAATAATAATAATAATGCCAGCTAAGTTCGCCTCCTGTTTGCAACTGAGAAGAAAAAGTTGCCGTGTTTTTTTTGCACACAGGAAACTGCTGAATTCCTAAAATAAAGGTGCCAATTTTGAAGGTATTTTTAAAAAGGTGGGGCGGGTGAGAGAGCCAACCCCGGCAAAGGAAAACTCAGAATTTTCCTCATCTGTCTTTGCCTTATAGGGTTTTTGAAAAGGCTCTTTAAAAACGCCGGTACTGGACCTAGGTAACAAGGGCTCCTGTCACACTTGTTTAGATAACTTTGAGCACCCACTTGATTTTACAGATCTTGTTCTTCAGCTGTTTGGGAGGAAGAGGGACAACAGCCAGAAATAACCTTCAAACTCTTGCAATGCACATGCCAACAGACTGAACTTGTTTTGCGCAAACAGTCCTCTTTGCCTGGGGTCTTTCCCACATCCTTCACGGTAACCTCCAGCTCTAACCATTAGCACGCTCTTCTTCCACCATCCCCCTCTCTGGAAATTTCCACGCAGTGTCCTTCTAAAGCAGGGGTCAGCAAACTTTTTCAGTAGAGGGCCGCTCCACTGTCCCTCAGACCTTGAGGGGGGCCGGACTATATTATGGGGAAAAAAATGAATGAATTCCTATGCCCCACAAATAACCCAGAGATACATTTCAAATAAAAAGACACATTCTACTCATGTAAAAACACGCTGATTCCCGGACCATCCGTGGGCTGGATTGAGAAGGCGATTGGGCCGCATCCGGCCCCCGGGCCTTAAGTTGCCTACCCCTGTTCTAAGGGGTGATGAACTTACACAGCGGCTGAGTCTCAGGATCAGCCCAAACCCTTGAACGGATTTGTTACTAGAGCACGACTGTTTGTTTGTTCCAATAAGGTATTGCTGTCAATTATTTGTCATTCCATCTAATAGCAAGCTCAGGTGACTGAGTGCTGGTCCATTCCGCTGCAGTTCGGTTCATGAAACGAAATTGCGTTCTCCATTTTGCCGTATGCTGTGTTGAAATTGTTTGCATGTAAATGTCCTATTGTTCCACAGCGTTTATTTAAACACAAAGGAAATACAATGCAAATGACGCGAGGGGACATCATCAATTGCATATTGTTTGTGGACGGAACAATTGCATTTGCCGGCTCGATTTACGATCTGGTGATGAGATGAATAAGCGAACATCGGGCATTTCTGCTAACGCTTCCGTCAGAATTCTGCAGCATCCCTAGTGGTTGCTGCGTATGCAGGGAAAACTCTCTAGAACATTGTAGGAATTTTAAGAGATATTTTATCAGGTAGCCCCAAACAAGAAGGATCCTGCCGTTTTGTTTAAAGATGCCCACCTGGTTTTCCATCGCAGTCTTCCTGCCCCATGAACCAAGCAATGATGGAGGTGACAGGTTCAATGATCTTAAAGTTTGATTAGGTGGCCATTGTAACTAATGGAATAATAGGCATCTGTTCTAGGCTTAGTGGAACCTTGACCTGGAGAAATATCAGGGTGGGGATGTACTGCAACATTTTGTTGCAGGCTGTACAGTGGTACCTCGGGTTCCATACGCTTCAGGTTACATACGCTTCAGGTTACAGACTCCACTAACCCAGAAATAGTACCTCGGGTTAAGAACTTTGCTTCAAGATGAGAACAGAAATCGTGTTCTGGCAGCAGGAAGCCCCATTAGTTAAAGTGGTGCTTCAGGTTAAGAACAGTTTCAGGTTAAGAACGGACCTCCAGAATGAATTAAGTACTTAACCCGAGGTACCACTGTACTTGTAAAATACCTACTGCTGTGCTCAGTGCTATTTTTATAGAAAAAGAGGTGCTGGAATGTACCATGAAAGCCTCCCTTGTTCTCTTATAATGGCAATGGCGCCCACCTGAGAGGTGCCAGAAACGAGTTCCAGTGAGTTCCCGCTGGGAAGAAAAAAAGCTCTGGTTTTGCTAGATATTGAGCAGAGTTTTAAATTTTGTTGTTGTTGTTTAGTCGTTTAGTCATGTCCGACTCTTCGTGACCCCCTGGACCAGAGCACGCCAGGCACTCCTGTCTTCCACTGCCTCCCGCAGTTTGGTCAAACTCTTGCTGGTAGCTTCGAGAACACTATCCAACCATCTCGTCCTCTGTCGTCCCCTTCTCCTTGTGCCCTCCATCTTTCCCAACATCAGGGTCTTTTCCAAGGAGTCTTCTCTTCTCATGAGGTGGCCAAAGTATTGGAGCCTCAGCTTCAGGATCTGTCCTTCCAGTGAGCACTCAGGGCTGATTTCCTTCAGAATGGAGAGGTTTGATCTTCTTGCCGTCTATGGGCCTCTCAAGAGTCTCCTCCAGCACCATAATTCAAAAGCATCAATTCTTCGGCGATCAGCCTTCTTTATGGTCCAGCTCTCACTTCCATACATCACTACTGGGAAAACCATGGCTTTAACTATACGGACCTTTGTTGGCAAGCTATTTAAAAGAGTTTTAAATAGCTACTTCTAAAGCTTTGCAAAAGTTGGTTCTCCTTTCTCGCATGTCAGAAATTTGGGGTATCTGTGGACGACGGGAGGAGTGCGTGCAAAACGAAGCGGGCTTGCAACTTTTCTCGAAAGTTTTTTTAAAATTTTATTTGAAAGTGTCAAGGGTAATTACAACTGGCGTGTGAGCAAAACAAGTCGGAACGGAGGTTATATAAAAAAAGAGCCCCTGGTTATGAATCGAAGGTCAAACCTCCATAAAATCAGTAGCTGAGCTGAAGGCGATGTAAACAGACTTGTTGGATTAGGAGGTCCTTCCAAAAATATTATAAATTTCTCGGGGAGATTTGTGGAGGAAGAATCTTAACTGGTTTTGCACATTCTGGAGCGACCCCGTCATAAGGGGGTCATAAACCAAAAACCTTTATAGCTAAGCACCTAGCTCAGCCATCGTCTATTGGAATTTGCGTACAAAGGACACCTAGGTATAAACACGACCAAGCGGATTAAATTGCCAAACTGAAATGTGCAATTTAAAGATCAAAGAGAGGATAGTTGTGGCCTTTCCTTTCCCCCAATGCCACTCTCTAGCAATTTTGTGGACTCTGCTGTCACCGGCTTATCTTGATCAGCAGGGAGAAAACTCAGATTGCAACCAGCTGAACACCCCAAACGAGGCAATAATTATGGGGCTGAGTAACTGTTTATGCAAATCTCTGTTTCGGCATCAACCCCCTCCGTTGTGTTTCACGATCTTGCTTTCGGTCAGGTGCTTGAGAAATTCCATATTTTCGAATTGTCGGCTAAACATAAGCTGTGTGGACAGAATACATTTAAAGCACACACAGCCGCCCCCCCCCAATCATTCTGGGAACTGTAGTTTGTTAAGGGTGCTGGGAATTTAGATCTGTGATGGGGAAACTACAGATTCCCAGTATTCTTGGGCGGCGGGGGGAGAATGTGCTTTAAATGTATGGCGTACATAGAATTTGGCATGGGAGGGCGCTCTATAGCGGTGCTGGGAGACCTGTTTCTTTTGGGATAGCTCATTTGGTAGAGCAGGAGGCTCTTAATCTGAAGGTTGTGGGTTCGAGTCTCACACACCTGCATTGCAAGGAGTTGGACTGGATGACTTGCATGGTCCCTTCGAACTCTACGTGATTCTAAGAGCGGAGACCCTTGGGAACTTTGCTCTTTCTCTTTCTCTCCTATTTTTTTTAATCCCTCTTTCTACTCTAACACCTACCCTTTGAACTCTTCCATCCCACCAGAGACTATTAGCAGGGAGAGAGAGTGTACACTTGCCAGAGGTCCAAGCCAATGACTTCCAAAGTGCTTTTCCAATGAGGCTGAGGGCCTCAGATAACTGTAGCTTGTCAGAGTAATCCCCCTTCTCCTTAACACTTAGTGGTGGCCTCAGAATGGTTTTTTTCTGCCATATCTCCAACGCCATCCCTTCTGCCATACAAGACACACCGCCCACTCCTTGCTTCAGACGGCCTCGCAAATATTTATCTCGCTGCCCAGGCTTCGCCCCACCCTTTATTTCCCCGAATTATCACCAATTTCCTTTTTTTTATAAAGCAGTTTTACGAAACACTTTTTAACGTCGTGTTTTTGCACACGGCTTAGAGGTGGCTTTTTTTCTTAAAAAAAAGTTGCGCTTTACAACTGTTTTCGAATAAATACGTTATTTGTTTCCAAAAAATTATACCCTGCTTGATTGGGGGTTTTTTATATTTAAAAACACCCCCCCAAAAAAACCCCAAAATCTCAAAATGGTTTATATGCCTACTGTGTCTCTCTTGAGGGAACTTCCTTCCATGATATAACATTTTATTATTATTATTTATTAAATTTGTATAACTCCCTATACCCATAGATCTCAGGGTGGTTCACAACAATATAAACACCACAAAATGCATAATAATAATCAGAACAGAAACAAACCAGTAACAAAACCTTCCACAACACATTTAAAAGGGCATTGGGTGTCAATCAACCCAAGGCCTGACTGAAGAGAAATGTTTTCGCCTGGAGCCTAAAGACATGTAATGAAGACGCCAGGCGGGACTCCCTTGGGGAGAGCATCCCACAAGAGGGGAGCCACCACAGAAAAGGCCCTGCCTTGTGTTGACAGCCTCTGGACCTCTCATGGAGGTGGCACATGAAGAAAGGCCTCAGGTGATGATTGCCGGGTCCGGGACAGTTTATATGGGGAGAGGCGGTCCTTGAGGTATTGTGATCCTGCGCAGTTTAAGGCTCTATAGGTCAAAACCTATATGGAGGCAGTGAGAGATTTTACTTTCTTGGGCTCCATGATCACTGCAGATGGTGACAGCAGTCACGAAATTAAAAGACGCCTGCTTCTTGGGAGAAAAGCAATGACAAACCTAGACAGCATCTTAAAAAGCAGAGCCATCACTTTGCCAAAAAAGGTCCGTATAGTTAAAGCTATGGTTTTCCCAGTAGTGATGTATGGAAGTGAGAGCTGGACCATAAAGAAGGCTGATCGCCGAAGAATTGATGCTTTTGAATTATGGTGCTGGAGGAGACTCTTGAGAGTCCCATGGACTGCAAGAAGATCAAACCTATCCATTCTGCAGGAAATCAGCCCTGAGTGCTCACTGGAAGGACAGATCCTGAAGCTGAGGCTCCAATACTTTGGCCACCTCATGAGAAGAGAAGACTCCTTGGAAAAGACCCTGATGTTGGGAAAGATGGAGGGCACAAGGAGAAGGGGACGACAGAGGACCAGCTGGTTGGACAGTGTTCTCGAAGCTACCAGCATGAGTTTGACCAAACTGCGGGAGGCAGTGGAAGACAGGAGTGCCTGGCGTGCTCTGGTCCAGGGGGTCACGAAGAGTCGGACACAACTAAACAACAACAACAAGGTCAAAACCAGCACTTTGAATTGGGGCTGGAAACTGGCAGCCAGAGCAGTCGGGCCGAGATCGGTGTCATATGCCCGAAACCGTCTTGCCTCGTTGAGCAACCTGGCCGCCAAATCTTGCGCCGGCTGGAGTTTCTGAACTGTCTTCAGAGGCCACAAGTAAAAGCATTCCTACAGAACTTGATCTCCTTGACCCGGAGGGCCCACACCTCCGGAAAGCCCCTCAGGCACTCAGAAATCTCCCCATGCTTCTTCTGCACCTCCAAGCCCGAAATCCTGAGAATTGCTACCGCAGAGAGGCGATGTGGTGCTACACCAGTTGAACTCTCAGCCAGTTATGCAACCGTTTCAAGGCGTGCTAGGTGGCCGAGAGAGGAAGGAATACCTGCCCTGTGTGTTTTCCGAAACTGGTTGTGGATGCCCCAGGCCACATCCTGATGTGTGTTTTCTGAAAGTCCCTTAGTTGCCTAAGATGCCTGGTCTTATCTCCTGACTTCATTCCTCAGGTGGGCCCACCCAGTGCTTTCCAATAATAATAATAATAATAATAATAATAATTTTTTATTTATATCCCGCCCTCCCCAGGCAAAGCTGGGCTAAATGTTTTGGGGTACAGTGGTACCTCGGGTTAAGAACTTAATTCGTTCCGGAGGTCCGTTCTTAACCTGAAACTGTTCTTAACCTGAAGCACTACTTTAGCTAATGGGGCCTCCTGCTGCTGCCGCGCCGCCGGAGCACGATTTCTGTTCTCATCCTGAAGCAAAGTTCTTAACCTGAAGCACTATTTCTGGGTTAGCGGTACCTTGGGTTACATACGCTTCAGGTTACATATGCTTCAGGTTATAGATTCCGCTAAGTACTTAACCCGAGGTACCACTGTACTCTCATTTTCCCTACTCATATTGAAATACTGCCCTTCAATGAGACCAAACTTAAGATTCACAAAATTTTTAGGGGTATGCGTACCCCTTCGTACCCCCTGGAAAAAAGCTCTGGGTCCAGCTGCCTCAACCTTTCCCTCCAAATTTGCTTTTCTGAGCTGCCAAGCGAGTCCTTAAGCAAATGATTCCCTCCCACAGCCCTGCCGGCAGCATGAATATTTGATGGGAGATGAAATATTAAGACACTTTAAAAAAACAACAACCAGAAAATGAAATGCCCCACCCTTTCGCCTTCCTTCCAGTGGTTTTCTGCTCTGGGAAGAAGCACCTTGTTTTTTTGCTCTCTGCTTCACCTTTCTTTCCTCTCCCCAAGAGAGGCGGCTTGTGTCTGTGAATGGTTTTGGCTTTGCAGAAATTTTAAAAAAAAAAAAAAGTGGGAGGTTTCGCTTCTGCTTCGGGTGTCAGGATGTGTGTCTCTAGTGTATGTGTGCGATGAGAGAGACACCCATAACGCCTGGAGCAATAGCAGAGGAGGGAGAGAGCGGAGGAAGAGAGAGATGAAGACAGTCTAACTTCAAGCAGAGAAGAGGAGAGAAGGACAATAGGAGCCTCCCCATTCTCACAAGGCCTTCAGGTGAGACCTGGGTCTGTTCTGGGCAATGGTGCCTCTTCTGTGAAATCCTGCATGTGCGTTTACCTGGGAGCAAGCTGAACACAGTGGGACTGGCTCCCAAGCAAGCACGCCAGGCATTTTTGCAGAGCAGTCCTGTGTCTACTTGCTAGGTAGCAAGTACCATCCAGCAGAGAAATGTTCGGTTTTTTCTCCTGAGCAAAGACGCTCAGCATCACACGGTGTGAGCCTGGGGGGCAGGACTGTAGCATGGCTGAAATTGGGTGCACTCTTCCCACCTCGGATCAAATCTATGCTTCCAGGTGCCATAAGAAAGCTGCAGAGATAGCGGAGGATAGTGCGCACCCCGGAAACGATCTCTTTCAGCTTTTGCCTTCTGGAAGAAGGTACAGGGTTATAAAGACCAGGACTAGCCGCCTGAGAAACAGTTTCTATCCAAATGCGATTTTGGTTTTAAATGCAGTGTAAGGAGTCACTATGGGAGTATATTGTATTTAAAAATGGGGTATCAGAGTTTTTAGGATGTTAACCAGGTTAGCTGGGATAGCAGGCTTGTTGGTTTTTGAATGTCTGATGTAGATTTTTTCCAATTTCGTTGTTCTGTATGGGACAATGACAATAAAGATTATCGTATCGTATCGTATCGAAACAACTTTTATATGAGAGGACACAGCTGAAGGAAAGGCAGAGCTTTTGAGAGTTGTTCTTTTTTGGGGGGGTTGTTGTTACCAATGTGCTTTGTTTGGGGGAGGGGGGGCTGGAGGGGGGAGAGTTTGCTCGGTGTGTTGCTTTTACTTCCTGGTGCCTTTTACGACAGGTGGAAATAAACGATGGGGCAATAGGAGATCTCTAGGATAAAATGCATTAGCTAAAAAAATCTGCAAGTGCTGTAATTCAGCCCATGGCTCCGGCGTTTGTCTTCCTCATGCGATTTACGATATTGAATTATTGAGTTGAAAAAGCAGGATTAGAGGTGGAAAGTGGGTTGGCTTTTTTTTTTGTTTGTTTAAGTGTGAAATTAAATTGCAGTCGCGGCGGATGGGAAAACAAGAGGAAAGCAAAAAAAGGGACAAAAATAGAGAAAGATACATCCTTGCCAGGGGTTGGACTAGATGACCGTGCGGGTGCCTTCCAATGCTGCTATTTCTGTGAATCTGCTATCGCATGCCTAGAGACTCCCCACAAATGTGGGAAGATTTAGGTGACCTGCGAACCTCTGAGTGTTTTTTTTTTTTTAATATTGTGGGTGCGCATAAGTTAAACCATGGAGGAGTTTTCCTTAGCAGGAGGGAAATGGTATAAAGTTGTGAAGTTTTCCTCCGCAGCTTGAGTGCGTTGCCCACAACTTTTGTGCCCTGAGAGAGGTGGCTTGTGGGAGAAGACCGGGATAGTTATGGGTTACCTTTTGTTGGTTCAGCATCTTCTCTCAAAGATGCAACGCTGCACTGGGGATGTTAGGTACCCCTGAAGCTCCATGTTACGCATTTGCCGGTGTGGGCTGCACGAACCCCAAACCCCTCACATCATCCCCCCAACATTACCAAGGGCAGAGGGCTATGAACCCCATGGCCTAAGGTGGTGTTGGGGGGGGGTGTCCATCACCTGCCCCTTTTCAAAATAAACGGCAGCCAAGCAACACGTGTTTGTTTTGAGGCCTGTAAATCCTCTCAGAAGCCTTGCGTGCCTCTTATTTCTCTTCTCCTCTTGCTTTTCTTATGATCTGTAATTCTTGCTTTCTTTCTCTTAACTCTATCCATATTTATGCTTTGCTTTTCGAAGTTCCCTATCTCCCTTCTGTGTGTGGAAAAAAGGATTACGATATAATTACGATACTAGAGGACTTTGCTTTTCCTTATTCTTTTTCTACCTCTTCAGTTTCTTCTTCTGCTTCTTCTCGCTTCTTTCCAAATGATCTTCTTTAGATTGGTTTGGTTTTATTGTATTTTAGGTTGAAAAGTCTCAGTAAACATTATTCTAAAGAGAGAGAGAGAGAGAGAGAGAGAGAGAGAGACGCCTTGCGTGCCTCTCGCTGACATCATGCGGAGGTTTGGAATTCCCACACACGGCTGGGCATGTGTCTTATCATGCCCTGTGCCAGATAAACCTGCCATGTGCGGAAAAGCATTGCTGGGAATTTTATGGAAAACTCTTCCTGGAACAGTGATATGTAGGGTACTTGCAAAAGGTGCGTAGCAATCAATGCATTCCGTACCCTGTCCTACCCTTGCTGGGCCAGACAGGTCCAGACATTGTGTTTAGCATTATGCGCATCATGCTTGAACCTGGCCACTGAAGTATCCCGCTCCCTAAGCAGAAGAACCGCTTTCAGAAACTGTGTCTTTCCATTTCATTCCAGCCTGCCAGGACAGAAGCGATGCCTCCTTTTTAAATCTGTTGTTGACCAGAGGTCCAGAGCCTCTGGCATCTTCTGATTTGCCCCTGCAAGTTGCATTAGCCTAACTTCTGTTGTCTATTCTCCGACAACCTCTGTGTTAGATTACTGTAGATCATTATACACATAGCTGTCAACTTTCGGATTTGAAAATAAGGGATCAGCAGCCTCACCTGTCCCAGAGACGGGATATCTGACAATCTGGGATAGCAGCGGGAAACAGCGGGAAACGGCACTGAAATAAGGGAATTTCCCGCAAAAAAAGGGAAGGTTGACAGCTATAATTTTACATGGGGCAGCCTTTGAAGATGGTTCAGAATCAGCAGCTGGTGCAGAATTCAGCAGCTGGATTGCTGACTGGGGCAAAACAGTCTCAACTTATAACAATAACAGCAGCAGCAGCAGCAGCAACAACAACAACGACCTATAACATGAATCCTGGCATAACAGTATTGGCTCGTTCTTATTCTTGTTTTTGTACTTGCTCTGAACGTTTCTGTAAGTTGCTTTGAGTTCGCCTTTCCAAAAAAAAGCACCTCATAAATACAATAAATAATGATACTAATCTGCAGTCATGCCTGCCCCCAAGCAGGGTTCAGTGCACAGCCCTTTGCTATTCCAGGCTATCAGGCTGGCCCAGCTATGGGGGGAGAATAGCGGCCAGCCCGTGGTGGCTTCTGGCTTGTATGGACGCCAGGCATACAAAATGTTTGGATCTTTTCTTTCGCGGTTGGTGTCCTCTTGAGGCAGGGCCGGCCCAAGTCCATTTTGCTGGCTGAGGTAGAGGGCAGACTGCCTTTCCCCCTATGAAGCAACCCGGACCTTGAGACCATCTTATGAGGCCTTTCTCTGTGTGAACCCCCTCCATGAGAGGTCTCGAGGGTGGCAACACGAGATCAGGGCCTTTTCTGTGGTGGCTCCCTACTTGTGGAATACTCTCCCCAGGGAGGCTTGCCTGGTGCCCTCATTACACATCTTTAGGCCCCAGGCGAAAATGTTTCTCTTGAACCAGGCCTTTGGCGGATTAGCGAACTATGGCCTTTTAAATGTGTCTGTGGGTTAGGGAGGCAGTTGGTTTGTTTTGGTTTTGCTTCATTATGTATTTTGTGCTTTCATTTTGTGTTTTTAGGTAGTGAGCCGCCTTGTGATCTTCAGATGGAGGGCAGTATACAGCCCAGTTTGAAATGATGTGCTGCAAGGTGCCTTGGAGATTATAACGTCAAAAGGCAAGAGTGAAATATAATCCATTTATTGATTGATTTGATTGATTTTATTTCTGTGCTGTTTGTCATTCACAATAAATAGCAATAACGTAATGGAACATCATGAGCCCGACACAAATCGTATAGAATTAACAAATCGCCAGTAAAACAATTACAGTCTATAATGCACTGTGTACAAAACAACTCAGAAAATAAGCCGAATTACAAAAGGCATATTATGGGATTCACACAGTAGTACAGTCTTTAAAATCTCTAAAACAACATCAGCAACCAAAAAAATAAACTTAGCACTGTTGGATTCACCTACCCACCTCATGATTCATAATCTTCCACTCAGTTCAGCTCATTAAAAGACTTATATACATAATTCCTGTGGCAGCAATTCCTTCCTGAAGGCTCCTAGTAGGAGGCAGGTGGAAAAAGCCATTGCCTGATGGCCAGCACAAAGTCTCCCTCCTCTCACAGTCCTTCCTCTGGAAACAGCTCCCTTATTGATCTAAAGTTTGTGCTGCTGCAGTTTCACCTAATTTGGCATTTGAATTGTGTTGCTTAAGAGTTGCATAGAGGGCTGGGAGGGTGAAAGGTGGACTCCATCTTATGCATGTCTACTCAGAGGTAAGTTCCGCTCAGCTCAGTGGGACAACATGTGCGCAACATTGCAGCCTCGTGAATGTAAATAATAAAGGAGATTCACATATGAATGACTGCAAGGATGCAATGTTAGGACAGGAGCTTTTTTCAGTAGGAGTTTCTCTGTGACTGATGGCACGAAACCATCCCTTGCCTATTATTTTGTCTTGGTGTTCTTCCTGCCAGAAGGGACTCCTAAAAAGAACCGCCTTCTTCTGATTATCCTAGACCTTGTTGCCAGTTGTGCTTTGCCCAGGTATTGCAAAGCTAGTTCGTGAATTTTCATGAGGGTGGGTGGGGATCACAGCTATTGCAAGACGGAGAGCTGCAAACTCAGCCTTTCATATTTTTAACAGTTTGGCAGGTGCTAAGCACCACAGGAGTGCAAAACCAGATGCCCGCTGTTACTGCCTCTTACGGCTCAGTCTGAGGTGGTAGAAAGACCTCAGCCTCCTCTGGGAAATCCTTCCAGGTATCGATCAGCCTGGAGGGCTCAGTTGCTTAGAGCAGGGGTCGGCAAGGCTTGCCGGACATGGGCCGGATCACTCCCATGGAGATCCTCCGTGGGCCAGGCCGGCACAGCGTGACACCGGAAATCACGTCTGCACATGTTCGTGGCTCCAGAAATTGCTTCTGTGCATGCCCAGACGCTGAAAAATCTCCAGTGTCTGGGCATAAAGGTAAAGGGACCCCTGACTATTAGGTCCAGCACTCATCTCGCTTTATTGGCCGAGGGAGCTTCCAGGTCGTGTGGCCAGCATGACTGAGCCGCTTCTGGCGAACCAGAGCAGTGCACGGAAACGCCCTTTACCTTCCCGCCAGAGCGGTACCTATTTATCTACTTGCACTTTGACGTGCTTTCGAAGTGCTAGGTTCGCAAGAGCAGGGACCAAGCAACGGGAGCTCACCCCATTGTTGGGATTCGAACCACCGACCTTCTGATCAGCAAGTCCTAGGCTCTGTGGTTTAACCCACAGCGCCATCCGTGTCCCTTTTTAGTGTCTGGGCATGCGCAGAAGCAATTTCCAGTATCTGGGCATGCACAGAAGCGATTTCCAGAGCCACGGAAGAGAGTCCCCGCACCGCGTTGCACCAATTTAGCGCAGCGTGCAAGGACTCGCCGAGCGGGCGGCTCGGTTTGGGGGCAGCTCATGGGCCGGTTAAGCGACCCTCATGGGCCGCTTCCAGCCCATGGGCCTTAGGTTGCCGACCTGTGGCTTAGAGTGTGGTGCAGATATAACGCCAAGGTTGCAGGTTCGGGACAGCTGCGTGTTCCTATATTGCAGGGAAGAGATGATCCTTCCAACTGTATGACCGGGGCCTTCTGGTTGATGTACGGCTGTAACCAGCCGGGGGTGGATGGGTAGGGGTTAATTGAGAAAAATCCTCTTGTGGGATTCAGCTTCCTGTTGATTTGGTTGGAGATGGATTTTCTGCAAGCCCTGCCAGGAGAAGAAAGGGAAATGTCAGCTCCTTCTTCACATTAGGGCACTAAATGGGCACTTAGCAACGCAGGGTGAGGCCAAATCACATGGGCTGACGCAGAGCTTGATTCAGTATTTCCTAAACACCCTGCGCCTTTTTTTCTGAATTAACATTGGATGCACACATTTAATTCTTATGCTGAGAAGAGTTTCTTACATAGGCATTTTGTGTTCCTCTTTATTTAGAGCATACGGAGGCACAAACCACTTCCTCAGAGGATGTCTGTGTCTTTGTGTCTGCTCATAATTAAGCCAAATTGAGTCTGGTGGAGTTCACTTCCACATAGGACATCGGTTTGCAGCCTAATTTATTATTGTGGTTTTCTTAAAATGAGCAAATGTCTGTGTTGTGGCTGTAGGCATCCTGCCCATGTTTTCTCAAAAGCAAATTCTACTTGATGTGAACAGGGGCAAGGCAAATAAGTGGCCTTGTCTCTATGTAGGAGAAGAAGCTACAGTTAGAACTGGATTTGGAACAACTGATTGGTTCAAAATTGGGAAAGGAGTACGACAAGGCTGTATATTGTCTCCCTGCTTATTTAACATATATGCAGAATTCATCATGCGAAAGGCTGGGCTGGATGAATCCCAAGCCGGAATTAAGATTGCCGGAAGAAATATCAACAACCTCAGATATGCAGATGACACAACCTTGATGGCAGAAAGTGAGGAGGAATTAAAGAACCTTTTAATGAGGGTGAAAGAGGAGAGTGCAAAATATGGTCTGAAGCTCAACATCAATAAAACGAAGATCATGGCCACTGGGCCCATCACCTCCTGCCAAATAGAAGGGGAAGAAATGGAGGCAGTGAGAGATTTTACTTTCTTGGGCTCCATGATCATTGCAGATGGTGACAGCAGTCACGAAATTAAGAGACGCCTGCTCCTTGGAAGAAAGGCGATGGCAAACCTAGACAGTATCTTAAAAAGCAGAGACATCACCTTGCCAACAAAGGTCCGTATGGTTAAAGCCATGGTTTTCCCAGTAGTGATGTATGGAGGTGAGAGCTGGACCATAAAGAAGGCTGATCGCCGAAGAATTGATGCTTTTGAATTCTGGTGCTGGAGGAGACTCTTGAGAGTCCCATGGACTGCAAGAAGATCAAACCTATCCATTCTTCAGGAAATCAGCCCTGAGTGCTCACTGGAAGGACAGATCCTGAAGCTGAGACTCCAATGCTTTGGCCACCTCATGAGAAGAGAAGACTCCCTGGAAAAGACCCTGATGTTGGGAAAGATGGAGGGCACAAGGAGAAGGGGACGACAGAGGGCGAGATGGTTGGACGGTGTTCTCGAAGCTACAAACATGAGTCTGACCAAACTGCGGGAGGCAGTGGAAAACAGGAGTGCCTGGCGTTCTCTGGTCCAGGGGGTCACGAAGAGTCGGACACGACTAAACAACAGCAACAAATATGTTGCCTTCCCCCCTAGTTCCTCAAACATAACCAATTTATTTGAGCCAGACAGCAGGTCATTATCGATGTCATTAAGGTGGCAATAGACCCAGGGGGTGGGGGGTATTCTTTAAGTATTTAGCCCTCGGAATTTCATATAACTTACAGTACAACTTAGAATGAACAGTGTCCTCAACTGACTGACATCCACAGATATGGATTCTCTGGGGATGTTTTTCTATCAAACTTCCAGGAATTTGGTTTTCATTGTCTGGAACCTCAAGGTTACAAATGCCATGCGAAGGGCAAGGGGAAATAATCTGAACCAGACAATGAAATTCAATCAAATATATTAAATATAGGCCTGGCTTTATTTCAACTCATTTTGTGGCACGTGACAAGTTGGCCTCTGTCCCTTCGCTGTAAAACGGAGACTATATGACTGATCTGTCGTGAAGGCAAACGAAATAAAAGCTTGGAAAATGCTTATTGGTTCCTACATTCAGGGGCTGGGAAGGGAGCCAGGCAGCTAGTCCTCATTAACTTGAAGATAAGCTGGCAATAAACCCTGAAACAAACTAATGAAACATATTGTGTTCCAACTAGAATGGGAAATATGTCAAATGTTGGGTAGATTGCTGATGTGGCCCATGTTTACCCAGCAGATCGCCCATGTTGAAGATCTGGGTTGGGGTTTTATCCTGACTAGATGGAATCATAGAATTGTAAAATTGGAAGGGATCTGAGGGTCATCTATTCCAACCCCATGCTGTGAAGGAATGTCATTCTGTCAAGAAGTACTATGTCTTTGCAGACGCTCCAAGGGTCCCTATTTTCCAGGGATGCGGGTGGCGCTGTGGGTTAAACCACAGAGTCTAGGACTTGCCGATCAGAAGGTCGGTGGTTCGAATCCCTGTGATGGGGTGAGCTCCTGTTGCTCGGTCCCTGCTCCTGCCAACCTAGCAGTTCGAAAGCACAACAGTGCAAGTAGATAAATAGGTACCACTCCGGTGGGAAGGTAAACAGCGTTTCCGTGCGCTGCTCTGGTTCGCCATGCTGGCCACAAGACCCGGAAGCTGTACGCCGGCTCCCTCGGCCAATAAAGCGAGATGAGCACCGCAACCCCAGAGTCGTCCACAACTGGACCTAATGGTCAGGGGTCCCTGTACCTTTACTATGTCTTTGCAGACGCTCCAAGGGTCCCTATTTCCCAGGGACAGTCCTGGATTTACAGAAGCCGTCCCGGTTTCTGATTTCATCCTGGAATGTCCCACTTTTCCTTAGGACGTCCCTATTTTCAGCGGAGAAATGATGGAGTTATGTGACCCCCGAACCAAGGAGATAAGTCACTATACAACCTTTAGAAGACACCTGAAGGCAGCCCCGTATAGGGAAGTTTTTAAAAAAAATGTTTAATGTTTTATTATGTTTATATGTGTTGGAAGCCACCCAGAGTGGCTTGGGCAGCACAGTCAGATGGGCAAGGTATAAATAATAACATCGTTATGGAGCAGGAAATCACTATTTCCATCAGAGAAATGTTGGAGGGAATGTCTTTGAATGTCAGTTGCTGAGAATGGCTAGAGCGTGGGTAGGCAAACTAAGGCCCGGGGGCCGAATCCGGCCCAATCGCCTTCTAAATCCGGCCCATGGACGGTCCAGGAATCAGCGTGTTTTTACATGAGTAGAATGTGTGCTTTTATTTAAAATGCATCTCTGGGTTATTTTGGGGGCATAGGAATTCGTTCATTCCCCCCCTCCCCAAATATAGCCCGGCCCCCCACAAGGTCTGAGGGACAGTGGACCGGCCCCCTGATGAAAAAGTTTGCTGACCCCTGCCTCTGGAAGGAGGACTGCTGTTTTCCTCAGGTCCTGGTTTTGTCATTTGCATTGGTAAAGGTAAAGGGACCCCTGACCGTTAGGTCCAGTCGTGGCCGACCCTGGGGTTGCGGCGCTCATCTCGCTTTATTGGCCGAAAGAGCTGGTGTGCAGCTTCCGGGTCATGTGGCCAGCATGATTAAGCCGCTTCTGGCGAACCAGAGCAGCACACAGAAACGCCGTTTACCTTCCCACCAGAGTGGTACCTATTTATCTACTTGTACTTCGTGCTTTCGAACTGCTAGGTTGGCAGGAGCAGGGACTGAGCAACGGGAGCTCACCCCGTCACGGGGATTCGAACCGCTGACCTTCTGATCAGCAAGCCCTAGGCTCTGTGGTTTAACCCACAGCGCCACTTGCGTCCCTGTCATACGCATAGGATCTGCCATTTTGGGAATAGGATGCTGGCTCAGGTGGGACTCTGGCCTGATCCAGCCGGCCACTTCTTAGGTCCTTATCTTCCCTCTCTCTTCCTCCAGCTCCTTGCACAGGGGGCAGAGAAGGAAGAATTGCATTAGCTTCTAGCCTGTGGCTTCCCTTACCCTTTGAACCCATCCCAGCAACTGGGGTGGAAAAGTTTTTAACTACAGGGAGGAGATTTTTCTCTCTCCTCCGCCTCCAGCCATTGCCAAGGGGGAGCGGCAGATGCCCTTTTCAGAGATGCCAAGCGCACTGTTTTGTCTCCTGGCCTGCGCGACTGTTTAGTTTTGCCACCCAGGCAGAATTTAAATTTATCCCCTTGGCCGGTGGCCAGGATCGGCCGGTAGAAAGCCATGGCAGGAGGGGGAGATCCAGCAGCATTGTGTGTGCATGTGCTTGTCACATGAGGCACATCTATGCACTGGAACTCCACCGGAGAGCGGCTCCGTGCGTGCACCACGTGAAAAAGGGCCGCGTGCGACGGAAACCGGCGTCTTTCCTCCCAGGGGAACAGGCCTTGGCACACCAGGGACAACTGCCTCTTGGCGCCAGGGCTTGTGAGCGCAGCAAGCCTGCTAAAGTCACAAACGGGAAACCTCTAAGTGCAGGAAAACTGTGCCAAAGAACACCAGGTCTATAAAACCTGCAGTAATGAAAAGGTAAGTACATAAGGGACTGTCCGTTTGTTGACCTGTAATATACTGTCACATTCTGGTGTGCTGGATGCAAGCACATCCTCACTCTTTTTTTAAAAAAAAATAATAATTATTTCTAAAATTACAAACATCAAATTCAACATCCACATTCATTTTCTAACAAAAACCTATTACATAATTAACTAAATTAAAATATACCTAACGACTCTAAACTTCTCTTTGCTGTATACAAATATAACACAGTTAGAAATTTTATATTAAAGCTTTTATATTATAAACAATATTTCAAATTCCACTATACCCCCCCTTCCCCTTCACCCATGTGTGATCTCTTTCCCCCCCTTCTTCTTCTTCTTCCGTCTTGTTCTGTTGTTATAATTTAATCATTGTTCAGCTGATTCTTTTATTATTTCCTTGCTTACCCCTGCACGTTTTACACGCCATCTATTAATATTCCAGTTCCGAAACCATATTTTTTCATATATTCCTTCACTCCCTCCCACTCTTTAATTATTCTCTGATTTGAATGGCCTCTAATAGTTGCCGTCATCTTTGCCATTTCCACAAACTCACAGAGTTTACTTTGCCATTCTAGTAATGATGGTGTTTTCTCCCCCTTCCAGTTCTTTGCGATCAGTATTCTGGCCACTGCTGTTGCGTAAAGGAATACATTTTTCTTATCTCTGTCATTTGATATTATGCCTAACAAAAAAGCCTCTGGCTTTTTGGCAAACGAAATCTTGAATAATTTTTTCAGATCCTCATATACCTCGTTCCAAAATGTCCTTACAATTTTGCATCCCCACCATCACATCCTCACTCTTAAGGGTCACAGGCCAAAAAGAAAAGAAAAAAAGAAAAGAGGCCATCCTGGAAAATGATGCGTTGCAGGGGGTTGGTCTAGATGACCGCTGGGGATCCCTTCCGACTCTGCAAATCTATAATTCTATGGTTCTAAGAAGCAGAGACCTTGCAAAGATACTGCACTACTGTGATGAAAACAGCAGTTTCTGGGCCATTGCACAGAATGAGCCAGGAAGGAAATGGCTAAAATCTTTTAGAAGGGACCCATCTTTCACATCATGGAGCGTTTATGGCTAGGTTTACCATGCCCAGAAGGAAGAGGTGTAGGAAGGGATTGTACTGCTTCATGCTACTGCTTTCAAATGCTTCTCCATTTTTTATTTTTTATTTAACTCCTTGCAAGCTGAGAACTAGCAGATCAGGAAAAAGGGTTCTCAGTCCTTTTGACAGCTGTGTGCTGTGGTTCGTTGTTGTTTTTTTAATTGACCGTACACTATTAACGTAGAGCAGGGGTGGCTAAAATTTTGCGACCCGAAGGCCGTTTGCATCATTTGCCAACCCCTCCGGGGCCGCACGCCAGCCGTGGATACGGCCACAGCGCTCAGATCAGCAGAGAAGTTTTAATTTCACTCTCCGCCTCTCCCTGTATGAACCCTGCACTCATCACCCAAGGGCCTTCCTTGTGTGCCTCCTCCACGGGAGGTCCAGAGGGTGGCAACACAAGAACGGGGCCTTTTCTGCGGTGGCTCCCTGTTTGTGGGATGCTGTTGCCAGGGTGGCTGGCCTGGCTCCTTCATTCCATATCTTTAGGCGCCAGGGAAAATCTTTCCTCTTCAACCACACTTTGGGCTGATTAAACAATCTATGGATTATTAAATGTGTCCAGGCCCCCCGCGGTTATAAATAATAATTTAAATTATAAATAATGCTCCAAGACAGGATTTTCTGCCACCTGAAATTTTCAAGACTGCTGTAATACTAAGTGGGAGGAAATTTAGCATTATAGTCCATATATATATATATATATATATATATATATAAAAGGAAGACAATTTGCTGAATCCTAACAGTCCTTTTTTTGGGGGGGGGGGATAATGGTGGAGAAAATCACGACAAAGTTTGTTTGTTTGTTGATTGTGAGGCCAGTCGCGGTACCACCCCCACCCCGGGGCAGTCAATAAACTTGAATAAACTCAAGCAGTCAATGATCTGGTTTGCAAATGGCCACAACTTTATTGATTTATTGATACAGGTGGATTTTTGGCTCAAGGATTGGGTTTATATCCGTTCCAGCCCCCGCCTCCAGAGAAAAATAGTAATTATTTAATTTTAAAAAGGTAAGGGAACTCAGTTCCCCGGAGTTTTTGCTCCCTACAAAAGTCCTGCTAAAAACCACAGACTCATCAGCTTGACTGATATATCTCCTGCAAAGATTGGAGGGTCATTATCGTATACCGGTGGTAGTAGTAGACCAGGCAGGTTTCAAGGAAGGGAATTTCCTTTGGTAATTGCTTCTCGCTCAGCCATTTGATAATGGGAAACCACAGCAGAACCTGCACAGCTTTTTACCGCTTTTATTGACTTAATTGCTGCTTTTGCTTCCATAAATAGAAGTCATCCCTGGGATAAATTATTAAACGCCAATATTGATTCGAGACTTCAATTTTTAAGTAGTGTGTTTCAACACAAATGCGTCTGAAGGTTCGAACAGGCTCTTGCAAGTGGGTAGGCAAACTAAGGCCAGGGGCCGGATCCGGCCCAATCGCCTTCCAAATTCGGCCCGCAGACAGTCCGGGAATCAGCGTGTTTTTACATGAGTAGAATGTGTGCTTTTATTTAAAATGCATCTTTGGGTTATTTGTGGGGCTTGGGAATGCATTCATTATTTTTTCCAACAACAAATAACAACAACAACAACAACAACAACAATAATAATATTTTTTATTTATACCCCACCCTTCCCAGTTCAGAAAACCAGGCTCAGGGCAGCTAAAAACAAATTTAAAACACTTAATTGTAATACAACATAGAAGCAACATAAAATACAGTATAAAAGCATGAATGACAATAAAATTCAAAGTTCAAAAATCAATTTGGGGGAAATCCATCCAATAAACATTAGATAGTCACCAGGGCTAGCTGGCTGAATTAGTCCTACTTGGGCCAGCGAGGAGACCAGGGGAGAATTAGCTGTGGGGTCCCAGAGTGGGTAATCTTCATAAAAGGGGAGGGGGAGGGAAGAGAAGGGAAATAAAAGATCAGGCTGAATTCAGAATAAAGGCCAGGCGGAATAGCTCTGTCTTACATGCCCGGCGAAAGGAGGTTAAATCCTGTAGGGCCCTAGTCTCATGGGACAGAGCATTCTACCAGGTCAGGGGCCATCACTGAAAAGGCCCTGGCCCTGGTGGAGGATAGTCTGACTTCCTTAGGGCCTGGGACATCTAAGCTATGGTTCTTCATGGACCTTAAGTCACTTACCCTATTAATTCCAGTGGGTTTACTCTGAGTAGACCTTAGTTGGCTACAAACCCGTACTGTAGCTCCATTTTAACTTTTATATCAGCGATATAGTTTTGCATAATCAGAACTTTCATATGCCTAAGATTCTGGGCTGGCCTCTAAACATTTATGCCAGTGGTACGATTTTATTCTTGCTATCGCAAGCTGGCACTAGAGGATTACAGAGACCGTTCTGTGCTGTCCTGGCAGAAAACGACCGAGCTATTAAGAGTGCTAAATCCCGTGCCACTACTGCGGCCCGTGTTTTGTTAGCCCCAGAATGGAAAACGAGCGAAGTCTCAACTAAAGAAGAATGGCAACTTAAGCTGGCAGAAAATGCGCAGCTTGCAGACTTAACATATAGAATAAGAGAACAAGAAGAACATACATTTAGAGAAGACTGGAAAACGTTTATTGAATATATGGTGGGAAATTGTGTACGCTTGAAAACGCTGGCAGCATTAAGATAAATTCAACAGTGTAGATGAGTTTTGATGGATGTACAGTAATAATGGAATACTGAATGGTTTAGTTTTTGTAAAATATGCAGGGATTTATGATATGCAAAATGAACCGTGGAAAGAGAAGAAGGGAAGTCATTGATACTTTAAGGATGTTTAAATGAGTATTCTAAATTGTAAAACAGAATATATATACTGTGTGAGTGTCTGGAAGCGGTTGGAGGATGGGTGGCGGCTAACAGATTGAGGTTGAATCCTGACAAGACAGAAGTACTATTTTGGGGGGACAGGAGGCGGGTGGGTGTGGAGGACTCCCTGGTCCTGAATAGGGTAACTGTGCCCCTGAAGGACCAGGTGCGCAGCCTGGGAGTCATTCTGGACTCACAGCTGTCCATGGAGGCGCAGGTCAGTTCTGTTTCCAGGGCAACTGTTTATCAGCTCCATCTGGTGCGCAGGATGAGACCCTACCTGCCCGCAGACTGTCTCACCAGGGTGGTGCATGCTCTGGTTATCTCCCACTTAGACTTCAACGCACTCTACGTGGGGCTACCTTTGAAGGTGACCTGGAAACTACAACTAATGCAGAATGCGGCAGCTAGACTGGTGACTGGGAGCGGCCTCCGAAACCACATAACACCGGTCTTGAAAGACCTATACTGGCTCCCAGTACGTTTCCGAGCACAATTCAAAGTGTTGGTGCTGACCTTTAAAGCCCTAAGCGGCCTCGGCCCAGTATACCTGAAGGAGTGTCTCCACCCCCATAGTTCTACCCGGACACTGAGGTCCAGCGCCAAGGGCCTTCTGGCGGTTCCCTCACTGCGAGAAGCAAAGCTACATAGAACCAGGCAGAGGGCCTTTTTGGTAGTGGCACCCGCCCTGTGGAACGCCCTCCCACCAGATGTCAAAGAGAACAACAACTACCAGACTTTTAAATGACATCTGAAGGCAGCCCTGTTTAGGGAAGCTTTTAATGTTTAACAGACTACTGTATTTTAATACTGTGTTGCAAGCTGCCCAGAGTGGCTGGGGAAACCCAGCCAGATGGGCGGGGTATAAATAATAAATTATTTTATATTATATAGAGAGAGAGAGAGAGAGAGAGAGAGAGCGCGCGCTAAATCCAAAGAGGTGGATTTTGGAAAGAGAAAAACGTTTTACAGATGGTGCGAGTACTATGAATGGGATAATGTTTGCCATCTTTAATTATTATTAATAATGATTTTTATTTTCCACCCCGTTCCTCAGCCCTTCCGAGCCTCACTTTCCCCTCTGCTCTTGCTTTCCAGGAAGGAGATGAAACTTTCGCGGTGCATCACCGTGGCTACTGCTTTGCTGAGTCTGGTGGCCCTCAAAGCCTACATTGAGTGGACTGTGGAGGAGGCTGAGAGGGTGCCGACCCCTCACGGAGGGCACGGCGTCCCGATCACGGCCCAGCCCTCCAAGGAGGACTTGCCGGCCTTCACCCTGCAGCGCTTCAACGCCTCCTTGCATCAGCTGCGCCAGAGTATCCCTCGGACCAACGCCTACTGGAACGAGAAGCAGCACCAGATCTTCCAGGACTTAGACGACGGGCTGGTGAACACTTCATGGAACGACTGTTCCGCTGGGCCCGAGGCAGCAAGCCGGGTGGCCAAAATCAGCGACTTCAGCTCCTATCCAGAACTTTACAGGAACTTCCTCCTCTACGACGAATGCCGGAACTTCTCTCTCTTGATCAACCAAGCGGGCAAGTGTTCCGGCACCAAGAACCGCACTTTCCTGCTCTTGGCTATCAAATCTCTGCCGGGGAATTTTGCCGCCCGCCAGGCCGTGCGGGACACGTGGGGGCGCGAGGGCGAGCCCGGAGGGTTGCCTGTCCGCACGGTCTTCTTGCTGGGCACGGCCCAGGGCCGCTTGGGGCCTCGGCTCCAGAATCTGGTGGAGTACGAGAGCCGGAGCTACGGCGACATCTTGATGTGGGACTTTGAGGACACCTTCTTCAACCTGACCCTGAAGGACTTCCTCTTCCTCAGCTGGACCGCGGAGTACTGCCGGGACGTGCGCTACGTCCTCAAGGGGGACGACGACGTGTTCATCAACACGCCCAAGGTCTTGGAGTACCTGGGGTCTCTAGACGCCAACAAGATGCTCTACACGGGACAAGTGATGGCCAACGCTTCGCCGTTTCGCGTCCGCCGGAGCAAATACTACGTCCCTGAGTCGTATTACGTGGGGCCTTACCCGTCCTACGCGGGGGGCGGGGGGTATATCTTCTCGGGTCCGCTAGCCCGCTGGCTCCACCTCATCTCCCGACACATCGCGTTCTACCCCATTGACGACGTTTATACGGGCCTTTGCTTTCAAGCCCTGGGCATCCTCCCTGAGGCGCACCCGGGCTTCCTGACCTTTGACATCGCGGAAAAGGACCGCAGCGATCCTTGCGTTCACAGCAGGCTGCTGCTGGTCCACCGCCGCAGCCCCCAACAGACCTTCCAGCTGTGGAAGCAGATCACAGACCCGAACCTCAGCTGCTGAACGATGGGAGTCAGGAACAATGGGTTCGAGACGCTTCCTGCCGAGCGCTGAAGGCGGACGGAGGCAGATGTGGCGCAGCCCTCTGTGTCTTTGTTGGACATGAGGACCTCCGGTGTGCAGTTGAGGGAGGGAACGGCCTCCTTGAAAAGTCTGTGTGCGGAGAAAGGGCAGTTCCGAGTGGCGGCGCCACTCCACTGCCTTCGTATTCTGCTTGGGCGCTTCCTAGAGGCAGGGGCCAGATACGAATACTGGGTCAGAGAGGCACCTCTCCTTCGGTTTCTGTTTTATGTCTGCTCTGGGGTGGCAGCATGGAGAGGGGAGAGGTTGGCCGGTGGCGCAGCGGGCAGCCCGGTAGAAAGCAGAGGACCAGAGGGGCGTTTTTCTGAGGAGTGGTTCGGAAAGGGTGGTATTACAGTGGCAGAGGACACGTCTGGCTGCGTCAAGGCCCACCTTCAATCTCTTTGACCGGGGGTGGGGGTGGGGGTGGGGCCCTTTACTGCCAAAGGTCCGCATTCTCTTCCGTGCCATCTTCTGAGGGGCAGCATGCTGGCAGTAGGCGTGGCCAGAGGTACAAGTGGGTGGAGCAATGGGTGTAAATTTGGCCTTTGTACAGGAGGCAAGTTTCTATACCAACAGACACCACCTATCCTCCTCCTGGACAAGCAAAAGGTGTGATCGGAGTTCAAGGAGACATTTGTGGAATCATGGGAGAGTTGGAAGGGACCCCGAGGGTCATCTAGTCCAACCCCCTGCAATGCAGGAATCTCAACAAGGCATCCATGACAGGTGGCCATCCATCTTCTGCTTAAAAGTCTCCAAGGAAGAAGGGTCCACCGTCTTCCAAGGGAGACGGTTGCACTGTTGGAACAGCTGTTTGGGGTATTAAAAAAAGCCAAAGTGGGGTATGGCTTGGAGACAGGGGGTATGACCAAAGGAGAGTTCTTCCTGGTGTTTAGTCGGAATCTCCTTTCTTGTAACTTTAATAATAATAATAATAATAATAATAATAATAATAATAATTTATTTGTACCCCGCCTATCTGGCTGGGCTTCCCCACTCTGGGTGGCTTCCAACAAAGATTAAAAATACATTAAAATGTCACACATTAAAAACTTCCCTGAACAGGGCTGCCTTCAGATGTCTTCTAAATGTCAGGTAGTTGTTTATCTCTTTGACATCTGATGGGAGGGCGTTCCATAGGGCGGGCGCCACTACCGAGAAGGCCCTCTGCCTGGTTCCCTGTAACTTCGCTTCTCGCAGTGAGGGAACTGCCAGAAGGCCCTTGGTGCTGGACCTCAGTGTCCGGGTAGAATGATGGGGGTGGAGATGCTCCTTCAGGTATACTGGACCGAGGCCGTTTAGGGCTTTAAAGGTCAACACCAACACTTTGAATTGTGCTTGGAAATGTACTGGGAGCTAATGTAGGTCCTTTCAGGACCAGTGTTATGTGGTCTCGGCCGCCACCCCCCCGTCACCACTCTAGCTGCCACATTCTGAATTGCAGTTTCCGGGTCACCTTCAAAGGTAGCCCCACATAGAGTGCATTGCAGTAGTCCAAGCGGGAGATAACTAGAGCATGCACCACTCTGGCGAGACAGTCCCCAGGCAGGTAGGGTTTCAGCCTGCATACCAGATGGAGCTGGCAGACAGCTGCCCTGGACACAGAATTGACCTGTGCCTCCATGGACAGCTGTGTGAAGCCATGTTCAGGTCCTACCCTCCAGAGCAGGAGAAAAGAAGCTTGCTCCACCTTCTGTGTGGCAGCCCTTGAGATATTTGAAGGTGGCTTTCATATCTCCTCTCAGTCTCCTCCTATCCAGGCTAAACATACTCAGCTCCCTCATCCGTTCTTCATAAGGCTTGGTTTCCAAGCCCTTGATCATTTTGGTCGCCCTCCTCTGCACACGTTCCAGCTTGTCCACATCCTTCTTGAACTGTGGCGCCCAGAACTGGACACAGTATCCCAGGGGTGGTCTGACCAAGGCAGAATACAGTGGTACTATGAGTTCCCTTGATCAAAACACTAGACTTCCGTTGATGCAGCCTAGAATAGCATTAGTATTTTTATTTATTTATTTGCTGCTGCGTCACATTGTTGACTCACGTTAAACTTGTGGTCCACTAACACCCCAGTATCCTTTTTCACACATACTGTTAGTAAACCAGGTGTCCCCCACCATCTTATATTTGTTCATCTGGTTCTTCCTGCCTGAAGTGCAGAACTTTACATTTGTCCGTATTGAAATTAATTTCGTTAGTTTTGGCCCAGTCCTCCAATCTGTTAAGGCCATCTTAGTGCGTGGGGAACAAATATCCAAGCTGCCATTGCCTTTAGAAAGAAACAAACCTAAACATGCAGAGGAGGGATGTGAAAATAAGGAGGGTACCTCGTACCTACGGGACCGCCTCTCCTGGTATGCCCCACAGAGGAACTTACGGTCTTCAAATAAAAACATCTTGAAGGTCCCAGGCCACAGAGAGGTTAGGCTAGCCTCAACCAGAGCCAGGGCTTTTTTGGCTGTGGCTCCGATCTGGTGGAACGCTCTGTCACAAGAGACAAGGGCCCTGCAGGACTTGACATCTTTCCGCAGGGCCTGCAAGACAGAGCTGTTCCACCAGGCCTTTGGTCAGGGCGCAGCCTGACTCCCTCCTTTGGCAATCTTTACAAAACTTTAGTTTATGGTTGCCATCAATTTTGATTTTAATTAATTTTTATAATGTTGCACTATTTTAGTGTTGTTAGCCGCCCTGAGCCCGGCTTCGGCTGGGAAGGGCGGGATATAAATAAAATTTATTATTATTATTATTATTATTACTGCAACAGCTCAATGTTAGGGAATGATAAATTTTCAGATTTGGAAAGGCAAACAACTCTGACTCTTTCAGATCACCCAGGTTAAAAAACATTTGGAGGATCAACCCCTGCTAAAAACATTTTTCTGGTGTGAAGGTCTGCAGCCCTACCAGGGATGTCGCACTGATAGATTTCCTGCAATGGCAAGTGGGTTGGACTAGATGGCCTTTGGGTACTTACCAGTACATTTTAGGTGCTTGTCAAATTTGCTTTCAATCAAACTCTTTGATCACACAGTGGGATTCTATACAGCTCTTGTACCAGAGCTGGCTCAGCTAATCAGAAATATTAAAAATCCAACACGCAACTTGAATGCCGTTTTCTCCCTGCTGAAGCAAGGAGGGATGCAGACATGCACAACCACTCGGGATCCTAAGGCTGCCTTCTTTTTGTCCTGGCCTTTAGCAGGTTAGTACTTGGACATGTTGAAAAGAAGCGGGTGCAGCTTTTACGACATTTGCTGCAGAAAGACTTAAGTCAGGGGTCAGCAAACTTTTTCAGCAGGGGCCGGTCCACTGTCCCTCAGACCTTGTGGGGGGCCGGACTATATTTTGGGGAGGGAAATGATTGAATTCCTATGCCCCACAAATTACCCAGAGATGCATTTTAAATAAAAAGGACGCATTCTACTCATGTAAAAACACGTTGATTCCCGGACCCTCTGCGGGCCGGATTTAGTAGGCAATTGGGCCAGATCCGGCCCCCGGGTCTTAGTTTGCCTACCCATGACTTAAGTGGTGCATAAACCTCTGCCTGGTTCACACCTGTCAGGCTGCTTTTAAAGGCTCAGGAGATGGGTCAGGTAAGAGTGGTACTGAGTCTGGGTTGGACTCTCGTTCTGCACCTTCATCACCCCAATGCCGGATCTGGGTACAGGCTGGGCAGATCCTGCTGAAGAGTTCTGTATTATCTGACGTGTTTACCCACCGCAAGCATTTCCCCCCTAAGGTCTGTGGCTTGATCTCCAAGGCACTCCGAGAACCTGGGTGAAGAAAGGAGCCCAGCAAACTTGTCTGTGCTATTGGCCTCCTAGTGTTTAAATACACCTTAAGGAAAAGTGTCCACCTTCATCAATGGCAAAAAAGAGGTGTTCTATGAAATCACAGGCTATTAGTGGCTGCCTTTTGGCTGCATCTTACACAGAAATTTGAGGAAGGTTCAGATGTTTCCATGTGATCTATTTAAAGAGCAGGGAAGACTATTTCTCCCACGCTGCAATGATGTACAGATATCATAATAAAATATTCCTCAGGTGCTGTGTATTGATGATGTGATTCGTGTCTGCTGTGGTTGGAAGTTATACTTATTGCTGCTCTTTGGAAAGTATTTGCAAGTGCTTTTAAAATACCAGGCTAGTAATCTAGTGCCAAACTATTATTTTACAGCAAGGCAGTGGTTCCTAAACGATGGCGCAGCAGGGAGGCAAGCTGTTTTCAGTGTTGTGTTTTATAAACCAAAAAGTCTGCCTTTTGGCTGGGGCAAGCAGTCGAGGCAAAAAATGGAAGGGCGACAGGTGGTATCAAAGGGACAGAACAGGGTTGTAGACAGGAAAGCAGATGGCCAAGGAATCTTTATAGTGTCCTTCCACATGATGGCTGACAGGTGGTAAAACAAAGCAGTGATCAAATAACAGGTAAACTAGGAAAATACTCCGATACAAAATTTTAAGGAACGTGCCGTAAGGTGTTGAAGATGATGGATTCTGTACCTAGTACCTGTTTCCAACCAAGTTCTACTCAGACAAGAGCCTCTGAAATTAATAAATCTGCATTAGTCATGGCCATTAACTTCAGTAGGTCTACTCAGAGGAGGGCTGGCATTGGATGCGACCCTATGGCACCGTAGTGCAACTGCAGAATATTCATCGCAGTCAGGGTGAAATGAGATGAAGCAGCTAACTTTGCTCTACCACAGTTTTAATCATTCTAACATGAATTCATCTAACATGAATCCACAGCCTGCTTCGATTTAGGGCGCAAGCCCTAACTCCTGTGAAGCGAAGGCAGTGTGTCTCTGAGCACGTGCAAAGTGCCATTCTTTTCTTCCCAAGTGACTGTCAAACGGGTTCCACCCATTCTGATAACTATCCCAGTCAAGAATGTGGTACCCCGGCTGCAGATTCTCACTGGTTGAAAAGCAGACTGCATAGAGGCAAATGCCCACGAAAGTTTTATTAATTCCCCAATGTGCCCCTTTGTTCATACATACATTTGCCTAGACACTTGTTACTCCCAGCAGCCCAAATAGAACCATTGCTTTCCATGGTAAGAACTTCCGATTCAAGCATAACAGACCAAGAGAACTCCCCCCTCCAGGTGCCAGTTTAGATCGGGGAAAGGGCTCAGGAAAAGAAGGCCAGGCAAGACAACCGTAACTTCTTTCAGCATTGCTCTCCCCGGCTGCTAAAAACCCTCAAAAAATTTAAGATGACAGCTTGAGGTTCACATCCCTTAAAAATGCCATTTATCACCCAAAAGACACTATCCGAAGAAGGCCTGGATTTACTTCTCAGACAGGACACCAGCTGTGGCCTCCCACTCTAGACAGCGCAGATTCTAGCAGCAGATTCCACCAAAGTGGTATTCAGTTCCGAAGACATTTACGATGGCATTAGGGATCGGTTTGGCAAAAATGCTTGCCCCCCACAGGGGCAACCAAGGTGCTGCCGGCTGGCTTATGCCCAATTTCTGGCTGAATGACAGAATCATGGAGGGAAAGGGTACCGGGAGCAGGAGAAGAGTCGGGGAAGCAGCAGATCTAAGGCAATTCACATCCACAGCAGGAGAGCCGTGGATGTTTCGTGTGCTTTGAACAGGCTCTGTGCAACTAGCAGATTCTAAAAACGGGGGCAAAGTAACAGTCTGGGCTGCTACCACAAGCTAGTTTGAAGCCCCTGGGTGGGGCCCAATGACACAGCTTACAGGTGCCAGCCCCTCAACCCCAAAGTATCCAAAAGGGATCCCCCGGTGTGGAGTCTCTTAGCAACTGATCCTTCCTTTTCACACGATCACCACTGTGACAAGGAAGGGGTTGCCCAGAACACAAAACCTCTCTCTCTCTCTCTCTCTCTCTGCACGCTGGCTTGAGCCAATCTCCTGCACATCCCAGGTGCTGGAGGGCAGAGAGGCGAGGGGAAGGCAGGTCACTTCTCGTACTGGCCCAGCGGGTAGTGTTCGCCGTATTGCTTGAGGTGGCGTTCCAGGGATTCCTGCTGCTTCTGGATGTGCCAGGGCATCTCGCAGTAGACGTCGGAGAAGAGGAACTGAGGGCTGGGCTTCAACTTGCGCTCCGCCTCCTCAAAGGCCTCCATCACCTGAGGAATACAAAAGGAAAGCAGAGATGGGAGTCCCCGTTCCGGACCTGCGATTTGCTTTACAATCCTGTGCGGAAGAAAAGGAGGGTGGGGCAGGCGCCCGGCTTCTCTGAAAAGGAGCACCCACGGTTATGTCCCACCTCAGCCAGGATGCTTCTATTCATCACAAAGAAGTGGTTCTATTTTAGAAAGCTGATCAGATGAGCACTGGAATTTCTCTGTGTCAGGGCTGGTTTGGCTGCAGTTCAGCACAGAAACTCAGAGATGAGCAGTAAAGTCGATTCTTTATTCAGAGAGACAAAACACAATGGCGAACTTCACAGGCAGGACTAACCTGATGATGAAGTAGTAGTAGTAGTAGTAATTTATTTATACCCATCTGACTGGGTTTCCCCAGCCGCTCTGGGCAGCTCCCAAACAGAATATTAAAAACACGATAAAACATCAAACATTAAAAGCTTCCCTAAACAGGGCTACCTTCAGATATTTTCTAAAAGGCAGGTAGTTGTTTATTTCCTTGACATCTGATAGGACGTTCCACAGGGCGGGCGCCACTACCGAGAAGGCCCTCTGCCTGGTTCCCTGTAACCTCATTTCTCCCAGTGAGGGAACATCCAGAAGGCCCTCGGAGCTGGACCTTGGTGTCTGGGCTGAATGATGGGGGTGGAGACGCTCCTTCAGGTATACTGGGCTGGCACAGGGGATCTGAGCCTCCCACTTCCTTCCAAGGCTCCTCTGCAGCTGGCTGCCTTCGTAAGAGTCTCAAACTCTTTTGAGGAGGGGCTCTCTGTGACTTTTGCTCTGTTACAGGTAACACCCTTCTCGTTCTTGGGGACAGAAGAGGACGGGAGGAGGAGACAGTGGAACTGGCAGGGGGCTGGCAATCTGTTGCAGCATCAGCCTCCTTCTCCTCAGCTGCCTCACTTTCACTTAAACCTACTGCTTGCTCAGCCTCCAACCCATCTGCCCCCACTTCTTCCTCTGACTTGTCTTCTGCAACCCACCATCCATCTCCTGGCTAGGAGCCTTCCCACTCTGATGCTTCCCTGGGGGGGTTCCCCGGCTGTAGCCTCCCACCATTCCTCCTCGCCTAGCCAGTCCCTGACACCCTGTGGAAGTCACCATGCATGTTCCTCCTTTTCAAGCGGGCTATATACTGTACCTAGGGCACGGGCAGATGGAAGGAGCACCCCCCTAAATAACGAAGAGGTAGCTCAAGAGGTAGAGCATTGACACTAAGCTAGGGGGAGCAATGTTCTGGCTTAGCATTAAGGCTGCTCCCTATGTTCGTCCTAGGAGACTTCAATATTGTTGGCCTTTGCTCATATTTTGCATTGTTTTGTACAGATCCTGAATGTCTGCCTATTTATCACAAGCAGGCACCCACAGAAACACAGACAAGACAGAGAAGAAGAGTTTGGATTTGATATCCTGCTTTATCACCACCCGAAGGCGTCTCAAAGCGGCTAACATTCTCCTTTCCCTTCCTCCCCAACAACAAACATTCTGTAAGATGAGTGAGGCTGAGAGACTTCAGAGAAGTGTGACTAGCCCAAGGTCACCCAGCAGCTGCGTGTGGAAGAGCAGAGATGCGAACCCAGTTCACCAGATTACGAGTCTACTGCTCTTAACCACTATACCACACTGGCTCTCAGGAGGTTAATGTGGAACCATACATCCAAGCCACTCACCCTTTTGCGGGATTTCTTCCGCCATGTCTTCTCCTGGTCCTCATCCCACCAGCCTCTGCCCACCATGTAGTGACGGAGACGAGAGATAGGGTGGTCTTGCTTGTCCCAATAGTTGACTTCGTCCACCGAGCGGTAGGCGGAGCTGTCGTCACTTGTGCTGTGATGTCCAATCCTGAGAGGGAAACGGGCAGCTCATGATTCATTGGTCCCGCCCCCCACATCAGGCCACTTCCTTCTCAGGCTATGGGACTTGTGCTCCATTGACTCCCCCTGCTCGCTCCACACCTACCTGTAGGTCATGGCTTCAATCAGGAAGGGCTGGTTCTCAGCAACAGCCCGGCGACGGGCCTCCCTGGTGGCATTGTACACGGCAAAGACGTCGTTGCCATCCACCCGGATAGACTGGATGCCGTAGCCGGGACCACGTGCAGCTGTGGAAAGAAAGCAAAGGATGGGCGCTCTGGGAATAGGGAGTGTTGGACTGTTCAACTTTCCAATTCCAAAAATGAGAGGTGCTAAGAAGTCATGACATTGATTTGGGAATTCGAAAGATAGAGTGGTACCTCGGGTTACATACACTTCAGGTTACAGACTCCGCTAACCCAGAAATATTACCTCGGGTTAAGAAATTTGCTTCAGGATGAGAACAGAAATTGTGCTCCGGCGGCACGGCGGCAGCAGGAGGCCCCATTAGCGAAAGTGGTGCTTCAGGTTAAGAACAGTTTCAGGTTAAGAACAGACCTCCGGAACGAATTAAGTACTTAACCCGAGGTACCACTGTATTTTGGTTGAATAGATATAATTTAGTTTTACTTAGTATAGGTAATATGTGTGCAAAACTGCAAAGAAATGATTAAAAATGATTGCCAAGAACTTGCTGTTATACATTATTATTCTTTAGCATTACTCAACATTTTCAGAAGTTAATATTAAAATTCATGGGTTTCCCGAAAGCAGTTTACATGTATCTTCATCAAATGCAGACTTACAGAGCTAAATGTTGTCTGATCACAAAAATAATAGCAGATTTGAATTCCTCACACCCCGAAAACATGATTTTAAGACCCCTAACTGAGGAAGTTTGCAAAAATTAACTTTTACTCCCAATATGATACGCCCTACTCTGGGAAGCCACGCTTCACGTTGCAGCAGGTGCTTTCGGGACAGTTGATGAAACAATGCCAATATAAAGATGAAAAAAAGGCACATATATTTCTGTGCTAGTTATGCGGCAGTAGCTGGTAACAGCAGAGCCTTCCAAAGTGGACCTTCTATGTTATTCTTGCTTCACCCAGAATCTGGGGCAGGAAGGTAAAGTCATGTAGCCTCAGAGCATTCTCCACCCCACCCACACCCTGGCCTGACCCCCCTCACCTATTCCGTCGCCCCTGTACTGTTCAGACGTCGGGGTGGAGATGGCATAGCCGTTGTTGCGGCAGAAGAAAATGATGGGGCACTCCAGGGTGGCGGCGAAGTTGAAGCCTGCGTGGGCATCGCCCTCACTGGCCGCGCCCTCCCCAAAGTAGCAGATGACAATCCGGTTGGTGTTCTCCCTCTTGATGGCGTAGGCGGAGCCAACAGCTGCCAAATGGGGAGGGGAGAGAGGGAATGAGAGCAGGGAAAGGAAAGAGATGGGTGCACAGGCCATTCGCTGTGACCGTGTCTTCAAACAAAGGATTGCTTTGTTGTAACGAACCCTTGTCATTAATAAAGCGGAGGATCTGTCCATACTAAGCAGTGTTGTGACCCGCTCTGCTCCCAGACCCCTTTGGCAACGACCCCAAAGGGGGATTTGCCAGCCTGGGGTGTCTCACACCTCCTGACTCTGCCAGAGGGAAAGAAGATCAGATACTATGTGCACTTGAAGCTACCACAGATCAAGCTAAACCACCGATTCAGCCTGAACATACCCAGTTCCCTCAACTGTTCCTCAGTGATCTGGCCACAGTGATCCATGTGACGGTCACCTCCAGGCTTGACTACTGTAATTTGCTCTACGCGGGGCTGCCCTTGAAGCTGTCCCAGAAACTCCCAGCGGGTGCAGAATGCAACAGCAAGGCTCCTCACGGGGTCTCTGCCATGGGAGCATATTCACTCAGTGCTTTTCCAGCTGCACTGGCTCCCGCTGGAGTACAGGGTCAGGTTTAAGGTGCTGGTTTTGACCTTTAAAGCCCTTCACGGCCTAGGACCCTCGTACCTACGGGACCGCCTCTCCCGGTATGCCCCACGGAGAGCCTCAAGGTCAATAAATAACAACACCCTAGTGGTCCCAGGCCCTAAGGAAGTCAGATTGGCTTCAACCAGAACCAGGGCCTTTTCAACACTGGCTCTGGCCTGGTGGAACGCTCTGCCTCATGAGACCAGGGCCCTGCAGGATCTGATTTCTTTCCGCAGCACCTGTAAGACAGAGTTGTTCCGCCTGGCCTTTGGCTTGGAGCCAATTTGATTCCCTCCCCCTCTTTCTTTTTCCTTTCTCCTCCTGTGATGAGGCTGCATTTTAATATTTTAATGTTTCAATATTTTAATGTTGTATTTTAATCTTGTTTTTAAGTTGTATTCATTCAACTTGTTTTTATTATTGCTTGCTAGCCGCCCTGAGCCCAGCCTTGGCTGGGGAGGGCGGTGATAAATAATAATAATAATAATAATAATAATAATAATTATTATTATTATTATTATTATTAGGCCTGGTTTCCAGACCCTTTATCATCTTGGAAATTTTTAACCCCGTTTTCGTCTCACCTTGTGGGATCTGCGTAGCTAGTGGGGATGATATGGTGACAAAGTGCAAATCTTTGCAGCCGTAGTGCACGGGCATCTGACGGCCTTTCCCAGTGTCGCTGGCATTGCCGTAGCACTGTGCCATGAACAGGTCCAGAGGGTACCCTCTGTGCATCAGTACACCTAAGAGGAGCAAGAGGGAGCATGAGATTAAACGGAAGCACCTTTTATCAGAGTGAGAAGCCAGTAATGGTATTAACAGTGCACTAGTTGATGCACAGAGTTCGGGAGCAATGCTTCTTCCATTTGATGGACGAGAGGAACACATTTGGGGGTGGGGAGCCATCTCAGTCAAGGTTCAAAAGCCTACTATAAAATAAATTCAAGATTACACTGCAGAAAAGGAGGCCTATTAAGAACACCTATTGCGATGGCTGCTATTATGGAATATAAAAACAGATCAATCAACCTTTAAAGCACATGGTACCATGTGCCTGTCTAATCGGCTCCTTTAATTGTTTATAAACAGTCACACGGTGTGCAGAACTAACCAGCCCAAGAGACAGTGTATCCTAAGGGAAAATGGGAACAAATGATTAAAAAATGGAATAACAGGAAAGAAGTAGTATTGCAGGGGTAATGCAAATATGCCTAATGCTATTAAGAGCAATGCAGTGTTGAGCTGTCATGTGCTGCCACCCAGTGGCTGAGCAGCTAGTAGCACACCACACTTCAGCAAGAGGGAGAGTGAATTGTCCCTTACCTGCTTCACGGTACTGTCCAAAGACCAGATCGGTGTCACTAAGAGCCGCTGCGCTGCCCACGTGGGTGCCTTCCTCCCCGTAGTTGGTCATGTAGAAGGAGATCCGACCCTAGGGAAAACAAACTGAACTTAGTCATGGAAGGAGGAAGGGATAGCTCAGTCAGGAGAGCAAAAGACTCAGGGTTGTGGGTTCGAGCCCCATGTTGGGCAAGATTCCTGCATTGCAGGGGGTTGGACTAGAGGATTCACATGGTCCCTTCCAACTCTACAATTTTATGATTCTAAGGAAGGTGAAGGCCTCTGGGCCCAGCTTTGTGTGCATGTTACTCTGTCTATTCATTAGATCAGGGCTGTCCAACTTCCAGGAGACTGCGATCTATAACCACTATAAAAAAAAACTGGCAGTGATCTTCTCAGAGTTGCTGAGCTTTTTGGGGGGTGGGGCACGATCAACCATGACTGACAAAGGGCATCCCACGAATGACCAGTAGATCACAATTGACCTGTCGGACAGTCCTACATTAGATCAACTTTCCCCAACCTGCTGTAAGCCAGGTGTTTTGGAATACAATTCCCATCAGCCCCAGCTAGCAGGGCCAGCACTCAGGGGTGATGGAAGTCCAACCAAACCATCAGGTTGGAGAAGGCCAGGCTACATCCACATCCCCAAGTCAGGAGATACTTTTGTGTGACCCTCCCAATAGGACAATTTGTTTTTTGAATGAGGGGGGCAGAATCTTACGGCACGTGTGTGTGTGAAATGCGGCCATACCTGCCTCTGGGACTCGTACAGAATCCGATCCATGGTGTTGAGAAGCGTCATGCTCTTGTAGAATTTCAGCACCTGCTCTTGGGGAAGCTGCAATGGAGGGAGAAATGCCGCTGGATGAAAAATATTTGAACAGGGCCGAAGGAAAGTATTTCAAAATTCCTTGGCTCCTGCAAGAACCTCTTGATTTTTTTTCCTTCGGAACTGCACAGTGCACTGAACTGGACAATCTGACAAGGCCCCTGCGTCTTACCTCAGGGTCCTCACTGGGGTTGGTGATCTGCCCCTGTCGGTCCATAACTCGGTAGATGGGAATCCCTGAAATGACATTCGGCTGGATGAATTCTAGCTTGTCTACGAACTCGGCCGAGGCACCGGGGAATTGCGGCTTCTCCTCCAAAGAGGTAAACTCTTCCTGCTGTTGAAGGCATACCTGGTACGGATAAAGAGAGAACAACACACCTGTGAAAAGGTGAACAGAGTTGCATCATGCCATACAGCGACGAGGCAACTGAAATGCTATGTATTTGATGTCAGTAGAAATAATAAATAAATAAATAAAAATTATCCAGTAGCACCTTAGAGACCAACTAAGTATGTTCTTGGTATGAGCTTTCATGTGCATGCACACTTCTTCAGATACCCACAGAGATACTGAATAAGTGTGCATGCACACGAAAGCTCATACCAAGAACAAACTTAGTTGGTCTCTAAGGTGCTACTGGATAATTTTTTTTATTTTTTTATATATATTTCTACTGCATCAGACAAACACAGCTACCTATTTTATTTCAGTTACACTTGTCATTCTGCAAAGCTATCACCACATAGGTATTTCCCCCCCACCCCCGGCTTCTATATCACAGCAGCAAGCGATGTGCCTTGGCTTTTCAAAAGGTGGTCCCACAAACCCTCTAACCCACTTCACTTTGCATCCCCATTGGCAATGTAGAAGGAGGTGGCGTGTACTGCCAAGATCCCAGGGTGTGCTTGTGCATGCAGTGCGCCTCCCCTTCCAGTGGACTGCCTCTCTGCAAGTACGGGGCTGTCAGGGGTGGTAGGTAAAGACCAGCCCTGTGTGAAACACCGCCAGCAGCTGCAGGAGCCCTTCTGTAGGCCGGGCTTCGTAGGACAGAAACACAAACACAGCGATAAAACATGGTCCCCAGATGCAATGTTTAGCGTAAGGGTATCCAGTGGGAGTAGGGGCTAAATCTGCTCCCTGCCCCAGGCTGAAGAACTGAGCACATCCCTAACAAGATATCCCCACCCTCAGTTCAATTTATTATGTGCTTACTGCAATTACACCTTTTTCTCAGAGTGACATACACGGCTCTCCCTCTCCTCATTCAATCCCCACAACACCCCTGTGAGGTAGGAAATGCTGAGAGATTTTTAGTGATCCAAGGTCACCCAGTGAGCTTCATAACTGAGTGGGGATTTGCACCCTGGTCTGACACTCTACCCTAGAGGTCGGCAACCTTATCCGTGGATGGGCCGGTGTGAACATGCGTGCTCTTCCAGGTTGGAGGAGCGCCCGCGTGCAAGCTATTTCTGGCACTCCCCCGACCCAAAAGTGCGCTGGAAATAGCGTGTGCACATGCGCACGGGTGCTTCTCCGTTCCGCATGTGCGCGCACATGCTATTTCCAGTGCACATCCGGGTCGGAGGAGCACCCATGTGCATGGGCGCCATCAACCCAAAAGTTGGTCCTGTGCAACGCCGCACCGGTAAGAGCGGGCAGCAGGGGTGGCAGCAGGGGGCGCCATGGGCCGGTTAGACAAGCCTCATGGGCTGCTATCAGCCCATGGGCCTTAGGTTGCCCACCCCTGCTCTACCCCCTCCCTCCACCACACTGCCTCTCATTTCTTGGTGAAAAGAGTGTGACAGAATGGTGGGGGGCAGGCCTGGTTTCTACAGGGTTGTGGGTTTTTTGGTAAAACAAAATGCAAAATGTCTCCACCCCCATCGTTCTGCCTGGACACTGAGGTCCAGCGCCAAGGGCCTTCTGGCGGTTCCCTCATTGCGAAAAGCAAAGCTACAGGGAACCAGGCAGAGGGCCTTCTGGGTAGTGGCGCCCGCCCTGTGGAACGCCCTCCCACCAGATGTTAAAGAGAAAAACAACCACCAGACTTTTAGAAGACATCTGAATGCAGCCCTGTTTAGGGAAGCTTTTAATGTTTAATAGACTATTGTATTTTAATATTCTGTTGGAAGCTGCCCAGAGTGGCTGGGGAACAAATAATTTATTATTATTATTATTATTATTATTATGTAGTTGCAAATCTAGGCCTGTAACATATTACTGGGTGGAAGAACCAGAAAAAGTGTCTCTTGGATTATACACTTTAGAGGCTGTCCCTGTATGGTTCAACAACATCTGGACAGATGAGGTTCCCTATTCAGGCTATATGAGCTGTCGAAAACAACAGTGGAATAAGCCTTTAAATCCAAGACGGACATGTTTGTTAAACAAATATCACGTCCTTGGCTGCTGCCAGGGAGAGAAGGAAAATTATCTCCACAGATCTTGGGCCTGTAAAGCTGTGACAAGAAAGCTAATTGACTTCAGTAAATCAACACTGGGGAAAGGGTGAGGGAAACTGGATGCGGTCCCAAAAGAGAGAGAGAGAAACACACGCCCCTTGAGACGGCCCAATCAGGCAGGAGAAAGTTGCAGGGGAAACAGATTCTCTCCCTCCCTTTCTGAAAGAAAGTGTTTTCCAAGTCCTGAAAACACACAGGGTGACCTGCCACAAACACACACACCAACCAACCACATTTGACGATGCCTTTTAAAAGACTGGTTCCCTGCTGAATGCTTTGGAAAATAGATATTTGCAGCATTTCTAACACAAGCCTCCCACCTTCCATCAGGGCGCAAAGGCAATCGACTCCCTCTCACAGCCTCATCTGTTCTGCACGTTTACTTGGGAGTTAAATCCCACCGGGGGAAAGTAAGTCCTACCAAATTCAATGGGGCATACTCCTAATTTAAGAGTTGGAAAGGGACCCTGATGGTCATCTAGTCCAACCCCATGCAATGCAGGAATCTCAAGTAAACCATCCCTGCCAGGTGGGCCATCCAACCTCTGCTTAAAAGCCTCTGGTGAAGGAAAGCCCACCTCTCCTTGCGAACAGCAGTGCAAAGCAGCCAGTTGTATGAACTTTTGGCTAGCATTATGAGTGTCTATGTGTTTGTGTTTGGCCACAAGGCCACAGACCACTTCAGTTCATAAGGTGCAGGGAAGTTGTGGTCTTCTAGATTTTGCCGAACAACAATAATAATAATAATAAATTTTATTTATACCCCGCCCTCCCCAGCCAAGACCGGGCTCAGGGTGGCTAACACCAGGTACAGTGGTACCTCGGGTTAAGTACTTAATTCGTTCTGGAGGTCTTAACCTGAAACTGTTCTTAACCTGAAGCACCACTTTAGCTAATGGGGCCTCCTGCTGCCGCCGCGCCACCGGAGCCCGATTTCTGTTCTTATCCTGAAGCAAAGTTCTTAACCTCAAGCACTATTTCTGGGTTAGCGGAGTGTGTAACCTGAAGCGTATGTAACCTGAAGCGTATGTAACCCGAGGTACCACTGTATAAAAACAATTGATTAGAATGCAACTTAAAAACAAGATGAAAATACAACATTAAAATGCAGCCTCATTTCAGTAGAAACTCAAACTCAACACACATACACACACCCTCCGCCATCATCCCATTTGAGTGAGCCAAATTAATAGCCGCAGGAATGTAAGAAGACCCTTCTGGATCCGGCCAACAGCCCATCTAATCCAGCGTCCTCTTCCCACAGTGGCCAACCACATGCTTGTGGCAAAGCCGCAAGCAGGATTCGAGCGTAAGAGCAACTCTCCAACGCCCCCTCCAAGCAGTTTCCAGCAACTGGTATTCAGAAGGATTATTGTGTCTGACCTTGTGGCACAGCCATCAAGGCCAGTAGCCATCGATACAGCCAGTCCTCCATGAATCTGTCCAATCCTTTTTTAAAAAAAACAAAAACAAAACCCCACCTGCCTTATAAAAACCGGTTTTAAAAAATCAAATCAAATCCATTTAAAAACCATCTGGGCTGGTGGCCGTCACTTCCTCCTGCAGCAGCAGTGAGTTCCGCAGTTTAACATTGTGCACTATTATAATGACCCATGTCATTATTTGGGCAGAGCTCACTCAGAAGCAGTTCACATAAAGAACACAAGAAACACAACAAATAAATAAATCCATCCATCCAACAACTCCCAATAGACCAGCATTAACAAAGATTTCAGTAAACATATGCCAGTTAAAAATCCCTGCAGGAGACCCATTTCTGAGAAGACGGATATAGCATTTTCAACAAGGACAGATGGACCCGCAATATAAAATGCTCCACTCCTCCCCACCCCACCCCGCAAAGTTTGCACCCATACACGTGCAAAGTGCCACGTGGGGATGTGCAACTTCCACATTCCCTCGCACCCCACACCCCCATCCAGCCTTTGCCTCCCAAACCCTGAAAAATGTGGGTTTCTGTGATTTGTTTTGGTTTTTTAGGGTTGGGGGGGAAGAGATCTGGAGGGAGGGGAGAGACATAACCCCACCTCTAGACCCCCAGGGAAGGGGGTCCCACCTCTCCTTCCACCCCTTATTTGATACGCCCCCCCCAAGGAAAAGAAACCCCCACGGCTAAGTGGGGCACAGGGACTTCCTTTCTCGCTGAGAGGTGGGGAAAAGCCCACGTCTATCCAACCCTCCCTTGAAATGGGGCCCAAATATCCGGGTCGTGACTGCGGGAGGGGGTCAGGGGGGGCCGCCTCGGGAGACTCACTCCTGCGCGGAGCCCCCTCGCCGGCAGCCGCCCGGGGTGCGAGGGGCGTCCCAGCAGCAGGCGCCTCAGGGAGCGCAGCCCCGCGCAAGGGAGCCTCGCCGACGCCGCCATTTTGGGCGGCTGGGAAGCGCGAGGCGGGCGCCGGGCACTAGGCCTCGCCTCCTCCTCCTCCTTCGTCGAGGGAGGCGGGAAAGACGCCGCCGCCCTCGCTCCTCCCTCGAACCCGCTCCGAAATATAACGGGGCCCGGGGAATAGAGCCCAGGAATGGGTCGTGATTTTGTTGACGTATTTCAAACCATATCCTGACAGAAAAGTTGTAGAGCTGGGCAAGACGGAATAAAACAAAATAAAATTAAAAAATGCCGTTCTTTGAGGTGTCCCAGCGGGGAATGCCACGCGCCCGGGTTTTCCCGGACGAACGGACATCCCCGCCGCCGGTGTTATTCTGCGTCCGGGAAAATCCGGGCCCCGCAGCAGCCTCAGATCCTCAGACAGGAGGTGTTATGAATGTAATGAGTAATCATCTAATGTTTATTGGATGGATTCCCCCCCCAAATTTATTTTTGAATTCTGAATTTATTGTTATTCACGTTTTATACTGTATTTTATGCTGTTTTTTTGTTGCATCAAATTTGTTGTTAGCTGCCCTGAGCCCGGTTTTCTGAACCGAGAAGGGCAGGGTATAAATAAAAAAAATATTATCTATTATTAATCATCATCCCGAGGGATGAATCCTTCTCCCCTCCTCTGGATTTTTTCTCCCTCCCTCTGGGACCCTGTTCTGTCACTTCTACCTCGCACAACGACCCTGCGAGGTAGATTAGGCAGAGAGGGAGAGAGGGGAATAAGTCGCCGGCCCCAAGTGACTTGGGGTGTGTATGTGGAAGCAAGACCCCCGTTTTATCCTCACAGCAACACCTGTGGAGGAAATTATTCTGAGGGTCACCTAGTCAGGAATGGACTGTGGCAATAGGCTTTCCTTGGCGAGGATGTTTGGCGCCCACACCTAAATATTTCTTCTTTTCACAATGATTCCTTTGGGTGCCGTTGCTTTTTTATAGATATTTTCAGCAGGCACCTGCGTAAATATAGGTGGTGCTGATGGTTATTTTGAGCCCCGTCTCTTCTCAGCGACCTGTGCAGGGGACACATGTGCACTGCCCTAAACCCAGAGAGTGGGCCTTCCCCCAATTTTTTATTATAATTTTAAATTTTTCTTTGGTTCGGTTTATGAATTAGAATCCTAGAATCCTAGAGTTGGAAGAGACCACAAGGGCCATCGAGTCCAACCCCCTGCCAAGCAGGAAACACCATCAGAGCACTCCTGACATATGGTTGTCAAGCCTCTGCTTAAAGACCTCCAAAGAAGGAGACTCCACCACACTCCTTGGCAGCAAATTCCACTGTCAAACAGCTCTTACTGTCAGGAAGTTCTTCCTAATGTTTAGGTGGAATCTTCTTTCTTGTAGTTTGGATCCATTGCTCCGTGTCCGCTTCTCTGGAGCAGCAGAAAACAACCTTTCTCCCTCCTCTATGTGACATCCTTTTATATATTTGAACATGGCTATCATATCACCCCTTAACCTCCTCTTCTCCAGGCTAAACATGCCCAGCTCTCTTAGCCGTTCCTCATAAGGCATCGTTTCCAGGCCTTTGACCATTTTGGTTGCCCTCCTCTGGACACGTTCCAGTTTGTCAGTGTCCTTCTTGAACTGTGGTGCCCAGAACTGGACACAGTACTCCAGGTGAGGTCTGACCAGAGCAGAATACAGTGGCACTATTACTTCCCTTGATCTAGATGCTATACTCCTATTGATGCAGCCCAGAATTGCATTGGCTTTTTTAGCTGCCGCGTCACACTGTTGCTTCCCCGTCTCCAAGGGACATTAAAAAATAAAATATAGGTTTTTTTTCCATAGGAGAATAAGCACAAATGAAACGAAACTTAGGCTACGGTTTGTCAGTCACATTTGGTATAGTTAAAGCGGAACAAAATGTTAATTCGTTGCTGAATTGTTTATTTTATTTATTTGATTACAACTACCCTGTGAGGTAGCAATTTGTAAGGACGTAGGGGGGAATGCTGGGAAATCAACCTCCTCCCCTTAATTATGACCCCCCCAAACACTCAGACACAGATTCCTAGGGACACCCCAAGTTTCCCCCTTCCTGAACCATTATTTCTAATTCATGAAGTTCTCTCTGTGTTTGTGTGTGTGTACAGTACTCTTAAAGCACATTTGAGGCACATCCTTTCCCTCAAAGGATTCTGGGCCTTGTAGTTTACCCCTCACACAGCTCCTGTTCCCAGCATCCCTTAGCAAACTGCGGCACCCAGAATTCTTTGCGGGAAAGGCTTCGCTTTTTTGAAAGTGCTTGAAAGACTTAAGAAGGTTTGGTGTGGCTTGTTGCTTTAAAAAGGAGGTGTCGGCTCCCGTAGCTCCGCCCCGTCAAACCCCGGATCCGGAAGCATCAAAGGGGAAAACCGCGTGGGTGGATCGGAGAGATGGAGACCGAACAGAAGCGCTTCGATTCTGGGGATCTCCCTGCGCTGCGCCGGATCCTGTGTGAGCAGGGACTGCTGTCCCGTCCTGATGGATCTGCCTCCTGGATGCAGGGTCAGCCGTGGCTTCCTTTCCCTCACCTCCTCCCCCTTTCGTGCTCCTCCATCTCTGGATTATATCCTTTTAACTAGCGCTATTGATACTCCGTAGGTGTGGGGTGCAGACGGGCGTTTCTCAGGTCTCCCCTTCCAAGCTCCTGAGAGCTTTTAAGGTTCTCTTTGGCTCGGGGTCTTTATTCCCTCGATATCGCCCTGTTGCTCCTACTGTTTGGGATGGGTGTCTGGTCTTTAGTCTCATATCTCCCCGGCTCCTTTCTTAGCCCGAGTACCAGATGCTTAATACTGAATACCCTTTGCTTTCCTAACCCCCCTCCAAAACAGAGCTTTTAGATCATAGAACTGCAACGTTGGAAGGGGTCCCAAGGGTGAAATCTACTCCAAACCCCTGCAATGCAGGAATCTCAGCTAAAACATCCATGACAGATGGCCTCCGATCTCTGCTCCAGTGAAATAGAACCCAGAACCTCCCAAGGGAGTCCATTCTACTGAGCAACAACCCCTACTGTCAGAAAGTTTTTCCTGATACAGTATTTAATCAGAATCGCCTTTATTGTAACTCCCCGCAAGTTAACCCTGGTAGGTTATGGTTAAATTACAGAGTTTGCTACCCCATGGTTTGGTGGTACACCACCAACTTGCATAGCTTAAAAAGGGAATTAGGCACATTCAGGATGGATAGGGTATCGCTGGCTGCTTGTCATGTTGGCCTTGTGTATCAAAGGCAGTGTGCCTCTGTATGCAACTTGCCAGGGATCACAAGCAGGAGAGCGCTGTTACTCCCATGTCTTGCTTGTGGGATTCCCATGGGCACCTGTCCCTGGTGGCTGGTGCCCATTGAGAAGGATAGGGTGGAAGGCAGAGAATCCAGCAGTTAGGCTTCCAGAGCCAATGACAAGCACAGCCAACTAAAGCTAGTTTGGCCCCCTGTCCACGTCCTTAACTGAGTTCTGTAATGACAATGCCAAAGCTAAGGGGGAGGATCAAGGGTCTTGAAACCAAGTCTTATTAGGAATGGTTGAGGGAGATGTTTAGCCTGGAAAAGAGGAGACTGAAAGGAGATAGGATAGCCATTTTCAAATATGTGAAGGCCTGTCACTTGGAAGATGGCGCAAGCTTGCTTTCTCTTGCTCTGGACCATGGGTAGGCAAACTAAGGCCCGGGGGCCGGAACCGGCCCAATCGCCTTCTAAATCCGGCCCACGGATGGTCTGGGAATCAGCGTGTTTTTACATGAGTAGAATGTGCCCTTTTATTTAAAATGCCTCTCTGGGTTATTTGTGGGGCATAGGAATTCATTCATTCTCCCCCCCCCACCAAAAAAAAAATAATAGTTCGGCCCCCCACAAGATCTGAGGGACAGTGGACCGGCCCCCTACTGAAAAAGTTTGCTGACCCCTGCTCTGGATGCTAGGACCCACACCAAATGGATTCAAGTTACAAGAAAGGAGATTGTGACTTATAAGTCATGAAGAACTTTCTGACAGTAAGAGCAGTTTGATAGTGGAACAGACTCCCTTAGGAGGTGGTGGACTCTCCTTTCTTGGAGGAATTTAAGCAGAGGTTGGATCTGTCATGGGTGCTTACTAGTTGAGATTCCTCCATTGCAGGGGGTTGGGCTAGATGACCCTCTGGGGTCCCTTCTATGAAACTGGGAGGCAGTGCTATGGTCAGAACTGCTTGTAAATAAGAAAGCAGGCTGGAGGGGGCTGGGTAAGGGCAGACTGCAGTTGCTGGGGCAGGGCCTCATTTGCCCTAATGAACCACCTTGTGCTGAAAAAAGGAAATAAACAGAATGGAAAAGGCAACTTGTTTGGTTTAGAAAAAAGCTGTGACTGCTTCTTTCCCCTCACCCCAGGGCAGCTGGATTGTGAACGTTCCTCAGACTTCTTTCTTCTCTCCTCCCTTCAAGGGGACCCTCGCTTCTATGGTAGCAGTTAGGGGAGGGGGGAGCTGGATGGTGACTGTTTCATCACCAAATTAGGCCAAATTGTTCATGCCCCCCTTCCCCTGCTTTTTTCCAGGGGACACTTCAGTACTGGTTGGAGTGTACGGGCCAACTGAAGTCAAGGTCAGCAAAGAGATCTATGATAAAGCTACCCTGGAAGTGCTTCTGAGGCCCAAAGTGGGTCTACCAGGTGAGAAGTATTGCAAACCGACTCATATATCCCCTTTTGGGAGTTGCTTTGACCCAGGTGCTTGCCCCTAGAATTTGCATAATCGGGGCAAAGTTGGGGCATGCAGGCCTACTTGCTAATGTTGGTGTTCGTTTAAATGAATAGGTGTCGCGTTCTAATACTGTATTTGCATGCTGCAATTTGGGAATTTCTTTCGTGGAGGGCGTTAAAAATACAAAAGGAGGCGTCGAGTGAAGCATTTGTGGGGGGCACAGGGCTATGTGGGCTCGCTATAATATTGACAGGCAGGCTAGTTGTTCCCTTGCACTAATTGCAATTTCAGCGAGAGACTCCCATGTTTATACCAACTCCATGCTAGGGGAGGTCCTCAGCCAATGCACGTTTGTATATTGGTATGCATGCTGAACTAATTCATTTGTGAAATGCATAGCTGGTGGGGTTTGTGGCCAGCAGGTGGAGCTAGTTTGCACAGCCCTATGATGCCCCCCACCCCATCCCTGTTCACCTAAATAAGGCATAGGCAAACTCCGCCCCCCCCCAGATGTTTGAGACTACAATTCCCATCATCCCTGACCACTGGGCCTGTTAGCTAGGGATGATGGGAATTGTAGTCTCAAACATCTGGACCTAAATCTGCCATCGTGTAAACCATCCTCGATCTGAGAACAAAGGTGGAATGGGATGGGAATTCAGTAAATCACTTGTTACTGGGTTGGCATTGGGAGCCAGTGTCCAGAAGGGTGGACACAACTGATTACTTGCAGTGTCTGGGTGAAAGGTACAGTTAGCTGTATTTCTAACCCAGTAAGACAGTCATAGGTGCTGGATTTCCCAGCTCTGCTGCTGAGATTCTTCAACAGAAGATGAAAGTGTTTACCTTCTGTATTCAACAAGCTACAGTGAGCCTTGGGGGGTCATAAACTCCCTCATCCCCTCTCCACTGGTGTGACCGCAAGGAAGAGATTAGAAACTTCTGATGTCACTTGATCACAATTTAGTGTGTCGCTTAAACCTGTCTTCCACTGCCTCCCACAGTTTGGTCAGACTCATGTTGGTAGCTTCGAGAACACTGTCCAACTATCTCGTCCTCTGTCGTCCCCTTCTCCTTGTGCCCTCCCTCTTTCCCAACATCAGGGTCTTTTCCAGGGAGTCTTCTCTTCTCGTGAGGTGGCCAAAGTATTGGAGCCTCAGCTTCAGGATCTGACCTTCCAGTGAGCACTCAGGGCTGATTTCCTTAAGAACGGATGGTTTGATCTTCTTGCAGTCCATGGGACTCTCAAGAGTCTCCTCCAGCACCATAATTCAAAAGCATCAATTCTTCGGCGATCAGCCTTCTTTATAGCCCAGTTCTCACTTCCATACATCACTACTGGGAAAACCATAGCTTTAACTATACAGACCTTTGTTGGGAAGGTGATGTCTCTGCTTTTTAAGATGCATGTTTTTAAATGGGCACAAAACACTTGGAAACCTTTGGGTAACAAGTCTAATCATAAGTAATAAAGCCATGGTAACGAACATGGAGCTCCTTAAGAATGGATAGGTTTGATCTTATTGCAGTCCACGGGACTCTCAAGAGTCTCCTCCAGCACCATAATTCAAAAGCATCCATTCTTCAGCGATCAGCCTTCTTTATGGTCCAGCTCTCACTTCCATATACATCACAACGGTGGTTAAATGTCCACTATGGCTTGTTTAAAGAAGCTAGCTTCATAACACCTGCTTTGAAGATGGCACGGTTCAAACCCAACTCATCATCTGCATTAATGACAGCTTGTTGGTTCAGACCAGTGGTGGGTAATCAAAATGGAAGTGAACGTTTTCTCCTTGTGGCCATGCCGGAAGGGTTTGGGGAATGCTTGGGGAAATGACTTGTTCTTGTCACAATAAACTATGCCTTAGTGTGATGTCATTGAGTTAAAACTGCTCCGCGTGTCCCCTGAGTGGGAAGCTCGACGTGTGTCACCTTTGTTAAATCTTTCATTATATCCATTTCCAAAATGTCTCTGCATGGCAGTGTTAGCAAGTGAAAACTCAAAACTCGTCCCCGTGTTGTTCTAATTTAAATTTAGCATGTGTGCTCACCATTCATCTCCTTCCCCCACCCCCAGGAACTAGCATAATCAAAAGGTGAGATGAGCTGTTATCTTCATAACCAACTGGGCCATCTGGTATCCTGCAGTGATACCATCTGGATATCTTGTTCCCTCCACAGGGAGCTCACAAAAGAAAATTGCTGGCATCAGAGAGAAAAAAAAGAATTTCTCCCTTTTTTTCCCCACCCGCTGAGACTTTCAGTGCATGTGAAACCTCCAGAGGGGGCTGGCTTTGCTGTGAATAATTAAATTAAGAAACAAAAGAATTTGTTTCCTTTTCTGTGGAAACAGAAGAGCTTTAAAAAAAATCAAATCCTGCTGATCCTATTTGCAGACTTGACGGTATTAATGGGAAAAGAGGAAGAGAAGTGTGTCTGGACATGTGCGTGCCTTTAGGTCCTGCGTACTTAAGGAGAGTAGCTTCTGATGTGCAAGATTTTGAGTTTCACAGAAATCTTTGTTGGGCATGAAAGGTTCTGTGGAACCTGAAAGCCTGTGTAGGAACATAAGAAGCTACCTTATACAGAGTCACACCACTAGCTCCATCTAGCTCAGTGTTATGTACACACTGACTGACATCTGCTCTCTCCAGGATTTCAGACAGACAGCCTCTCCCAGAAACTATCTGGTGATGCTGAGAATTGAACTGGGAGCATTCTGCATGCAAAGCAGATACTCTGCCAATGAGCTGGGGTCCTTCCCATGCTCCTGACTTTATCTGAAACTATCCACCTTGCCAACAAAGGTCCGTATAGTTCAAGCTATGGTTTTCCCACTAGTGACGTATGGAAGTGAGAACTGGACCATAAAGAAGGCTGATCACCGAAGAATTGATGCTTTGAATTATGGTGCTGGAGGAGACTCTTGAGAGTCCCATGGACTGCAAGAAGATCAGACCTATCCATTCTTAAGGAAATCAGCCCTGAGTGCTCACTGGAAGGTCAGATTGTGAAGCTGAGGCTCCAATACTTTGACTACCTCATGAGAAGAGAAGACTCCCTGGAAAAGACCCTGATGCTGGGAAAGATGGAGGGCACAAGGAGAAGGGGACGGCAGAGGACGAGATGGTTGGACAGTGTTCTCGAAGATACCAACATGAGTTTGACCAACCTGCGGGAGGCAGTGGAAGACAGGAGTGCCTGGCGTGCTCTGGTCCACGGGGTCACGAAGAGTCGGACACGACTAAATGACTAAGCAACAACAAAGCATCCAATAAAAAATAGAATTTTATCTGCGTATGTACCTGCCCTTTGGGATCAAGACAGCAGCCATTAATAGAATTTGTGATGTGGGCGGCTGTTTCTTCAAGTGATTTGTGTCGTGCTGTAGGACCTGGGGTGGGGCGGGGCATTTCCTGGATTTAATCATTTCAGGTGACAGAATGCATGTCTCAACATTTGCAGGGCTGCTTCATACAGTGGCTAGTTAAAACTATGGAACTCACTCCCACAGGAGCCACCAATGTGGATATTTAAAAGTGGATTGGGGGAGAGGATTGGACATGGGAGATAACTCTTGTCAATGAGGAAAAGCCTTCCCATTGCGTTCTGCTGAATGTATAAACCCCACTTAAGACTCCCTGTTGCTCAGGGCCAATATAAACTTTAAGGCACAGTAGAACATAGTGCTTTGGATTCCTAGCCCCATGGACGCTGGAGAATTTTTCGGCTTCCCTCAAAAATGGTGCATCATGGATAAATAGAACCTCCGTATGCAGTGGCAGTCTGCCGCCGAGGCCACATCAAGGTAAAAGGCCATCATTTTCCATACCCTGCTTCTGCGTTGCCTAGAAACATCCAGCAAGCTGCTGTTAGGGAATTGGATGACTATTGGTCTGATCCGAGAAGGCAGCCCCGGCGCTTGAGCCTCGGCAGTGTGACCTTTCAGAAGATGATTGCTTTGAGCCTCGTATTTCTCTGTGGCTCACCTGCAGTGCTCTTTGCTTTCCTCCCGCCCAGGTGTCTATGAGAGAAGCCGAGAGCAGATGATCAAGAAGACGTGCGAGGCAGTGGTCCTGGGAACCCTTCATCCCCGTTCCTCTATTACGGTTGTGCTTCAGGTAGTCACAGATGCCGGCTCTGTATCCTTTCTGAGTATTATTATTATTATTATTATTATTATTACCTGCCCTTCACCCTGAGGTCCCAAGGACAGTGATAACAGCTAGATTGCTGGCTGGGATTCCCTTGAGATCACATGCAACCCCAGTTTTAAAACATCTGTACCAGTTGCCGGTTCATTTCTAGGCCCAATTAAAGATGCTCATATTAGTGTTTAAAGCTGTAAATGACTCAGGCTCCAAATACCTGAAAAGCCACCTCCTTCCCTCTTAGGTGATGAGATCAACCATGGGTAGGCAAACTAAGGCCCGGGGGCAGGATCTGGCCCAATCACCTTCTCAGTCCGGCCCGCGGACGGTCCGGGAATCAGCGTGTTTTTACACGAGTAGAATGTGTGCTTTTATTTAAAATGCATCTCTGGGTTATTTGTGGGGGGCATAGGAATTCGTTCACACACACACCCCGTCGAAATATAGCCTGGCCCACCACATGGTCTGAGGGACAGTGGACCGGCCCCCTGCTGAAAAAGTTGGCTGACCCCTGAGAGAGAGGGCCCTTTTGTTTGTTGGAGGGTGGCGCCCCCTAAGTTGTGGAACTCCCACCCCGCAGAGGTGCACCTGACACCTTCATTACAATACATCTTTCAGCAAATGCTGAAGACCCACCTCTTAGCTCTGACCTTTAACACGGAAGACACATGTTTTCAGGACCCACCATATATCTGTGATGGCAAGTCACTTCCAACTGTTTTTAATGTTGTGTAATACTGTGGAGGATATTAATATTGTGTTGCAACTCACTTTGAGGCCTTAGACGGGCGATATAATAATAGTAAATGACCCTAACAATGGTAATTTAAAATACAACATTCAAAATGGTTTGAAGCAACCGAAAATTACTGAAATATGGTGGCTCCTACAAATACAGTGGTACCTTGTATTACAGATGCTTCAGGTTACAGACTCCGCTAACCCAGAAATAGTACCTCGGGTTAAGAACTTTGCTTCAGGATGAGAACAGAAATCGTGCAGCAGCAGCAGAAGGCCCCATTAGCTAAAGTGGTACCTCAGGTTAAGAACAGTTTCAGGCTAAGAACGGACCTCCGGAACGAATTAAGTTCTTAACCCAAGGTACCACTGTATAGACTTACCTTCCCACTCCGAGGTGGCACTGTTTGGTTTGTGTGGCTACTGCCTGTTTTTAAATGGGCACAAAACACTTGGAAACCCTTGGGTAACAAGTCGAGTCATAAGTAATAAAGCCATGGTAAGGAACATGGGGCTCTGGTGCATTGCTGAAGGGGAGAGTTTGCTGGAACCATCAAGGGCAAGCACACGCACACGCACACACACCTCTGCTCAGGCTCCCATCTGACGGCGATTAAAGATAGACTTCGTACCGGGGCACCTTGTCAGATTGTTCTAGCAGTTACGGAGGTAATGAGTGCAAATTGCTGCAAGCGATCAGGAAGTCTTTATTGCTAAAGCGTCTGAGAGACAGATGGGCTCAGATGTTGGATTGTTTTTCAATCGTGGGGGTAGAGAAGCGGTTCCTGGGGAGGAAAGTCCTGAAGCCACGATTCCAGGGCAGTTGCCCTTCAGCAGAGACGTGCCAATATTGCACCTCTGAGTCAAACCGGGCCAAGGTGTCCTTGAACTTGCAATTACTCTTTCTGAGACTATTCCCTTTTGTGAGGGCTGGGGGACCTGTGGGCCTCCAAACGTTGGACTCCCCACTTCCACCAGCCCTGCCAACAGTCAGAGATAATTGCCAACTGCACCACAATGTGATCTTGGATGGACTCCCCACCTTCTCCTTAGTCCTGTTTCTATAAAATAAGGGTTCCCCTGGGGCCTTTCCCTGCGCAAGACCTCATCGTTTTGGGGAAAATGTCCTCTTCTGGTGTGTAGCATTCTGGCCAGCGAAAAGGTGGATGAGGCTTAGGGCAGGATCCAACCTCTGGCCTGCCTGTGGGGAAGGATTTTAAGGCAGTGGCAGGGACAGTCCTGATTCTTTCAGCCACTCGTACGTTGGAGGAAGCGTGAAGTGGTTTAAGTCCTGTGCTGCTCCTTAGAAGCATTTTTCCTCTTGTGGAGGAACCTTGCTCTTCCCCGACGTCTGAAAGCCCTTCACCAGATGTCCAACAACATCTGGAGGGCACCAGGTTGGCGAAGGCAGCTTGCAAGGGTTCGCGCTGGTGAGGGAAATAAAAGTAAACATGCAGATGTTAAGGCCAGCAGGTGGCAGAAGCACTTAAAAAAAAAAGTATTATTGAAACACGGCTGTTTTAGGCTATGCAGTTCAGTTCTTAGGAAGCTCATTTCTCTACGAAGGGCAGGGGTGGGCCAATTAACAATTCTGGAGCCAAAGGTTCCTTAGCATCCACAGATTCCTCCCCACTGACCTGCAGCCATATTCATGCAAAATTCTGTAATGTCAACATCCTGGTCAGCAACTCATTTTGCAAGCATCCAACTTGAAAGCGGGTTGGTGGTGGCTGATGGAGCTCCCTCTTTCTCCCAAACTGCTGTATACGAGGAAGAAAGAGATGATTTTGGAATTGGGAGGGGGGGGGAATCCACCCTTCTCTTCTTTGGAAGCCCTTTTTGAAAATGGGTGGGGTGGGGGTTGTGGAGAGCCGTTCAACTTGCTTGCATGCTCCCCTGTTCCTCTTCCGCTCCACCCGTCACATCCATCTACCCATTTTATGGATGGATTGGAGGAAGACTGAGAGTGAATAACGAGGAGGACAGTGGTCAGATCTAGCCCTGGATTGCTGGTTGCTGATTCCTGATCACAGATGATGGTATTTTATGTGAGCAAAAGCAAATAAATATTATGATATTGCACATTCTACCATATAATTACAAGTACAGTGGTACCTTGGGTTACATATGCTTCAGGTTACGTACGCTTCAGGTTACAGACTCCGCTAACCCAGAAATATTACCTCGGGTTAAGAACTTTGTTTCAGGATGAGAACAGAAATTATTCTCCGGCAGCGCAGCAGCAGCAGGAAGCCCCATTAGCTAAAGTAGTTCTTCAGGTTAAGAACAGTTTCAGGTTAAGAACGGTTAAGAACTTAACCCGAGGTACCACCGTAATCTTTTCCCCAGTTCAGTTTAAACAAAAATCTATAGGTCATACGTCTCAGATGCCATTAACTTAAGTGGAGTCTCTGGCCGAGGTGGTTCCTCGTACTAATCTGCTTCTGGCATAATCAGGGTGGTGAATGTGGACAAAAACTGCAATTAAGCAGACAATGGAAGTCATAGGGGCCAGGCAGAAACGGGTTAAGGAAGGAAGGGCTTCTCTGTGGCACATTAAATCGGTTGTCTTTGCTGGATGCATCTGCCAACTGGGTTTGTGGCTGCCACTGGTGTTCAGCCTAATAGCATTCCAGTCAACCCAGAGCCATTAATAAAAGCTTGAGGGAGGGAGAGAAATATTAGCTTCTGCCAGGTGTTCTGCGGAAAGGAGAAATGGGGCTGTTTTCTGGCTGATCACAGCAATTCTTCTTGGGATGCAGGCATTTTGAATTAGGGAACGAGTGCAGACTTTGGCCAAATGCAGGAAAATCTTTGTATCCCCCCTCCCATCCAAAAATAAAAATAAAAATCCCTGTGGCATATATAACAGCATTTGCTTCAACACCTTTTCCTGACACTCCTGTCTCTCATCAGCAGGGCGCTTAATCGTCTTATACAGCTCAAACCTAGCCCACTTTAAAAATCTTGGATTTTAATTTTTGCAAAATCTTGTGACATCAATAGGATGCCCTTTCCTTACATAGTTACATAAAAAAATATATCCAAAGGTCCAGAAAGTTCTGTTGGAAGTAGGTTAGGGAGGGAGTTGCTGTGATTTGGGGGCCTGTTCTCCCCCGCCCCCAAGTTTCATAATTTATATCCTGCCTTGAGAACCAGGAAGTCGTCCCAGCTCTGCAGATAAGTAATCCTGATCAGTAAACCTATCCGGCTGCTTGCTGCTGTGTCAGATATTTGAGGGATATCTAGGATTCAGTCTAGGATTATCGGCTGCATCCCAGATATCAGTGTCCCAGGGCAGCTAGGCCACGGGGTCGTAATTGGCAGATTTCCACCTGTTTCCAAAGTGGCGCAGTTTATCTGTTTGTTTCTTCCGGTGACAAATGACAGCGCTGGCGTTTCTGACGGGGCCTAAATGTGGTGCGGGAGAGATTAACTCCGGGTGCCGCGGTGTTTTATCAAATCTGAATATACAGTGGCTCGGAGGGAATTAATGCAGTTTCGTTTGGAGAGCGGTGAGTGCTTTCATTTTGCCTGCGCTGAGGTTGTCTGCCTGGTTCCATGGCCCCTCCAGCCTGGCAGTGGTGGGGTGGAGAAACACAGAACCTTCTTCCCTGCAAACTTAATCAGGTTTCATTACCGTATTTTTTGCTCCATAAGACTCACTTTTTCCCTCCTAAAAAGTAAGGGGAAATGTGTGTTCGTCTTATGGAGCGAATGCAGGCTGCGCAGCTATTCCAGAAGCCAGAACAGCAAGAGGGATTGCTGCTTTCACTGCGCAGCGATCCCTCTTGCTGTTCTGGCTTCTGGGATTCAGAATATTTTTTTTCTTGTTTTCCTCCTCCAAAAACTAGGTGCGTCTTGTGCGTCTTATAGAGCGAAAAATACGGTAATTAAGATTCCCGACTGGCTCTGTACCCTAACATTTGAGATGGAGGCTAATTTCCTCATCGCATTGGCTTTGAGAAATCCTGTGAGGCAGGAGGGGAGCCCTGGGAAGCAGGACTTGTGAGGAAGGCTGACTTGCCCCGAGCCATCCTGCAGCGAAGATGGAAGTTGAGTAAAGCACAGAGATGTCTGATGCTCAGTCCTTGGGGTTGCAGTAACTCTGTAGGGTATCTCTGAGGTCTCCAGAGTCTTGCCAGAAACTGCTTGCCAGTTAAAAAGCTTAAGGGACCATTAGGTCCAGTCGTGACCGACTTTGGGGTTGCGGCGCTCATCTCGCTTTACTGGCTGAAGGAGCCGGCGTACAGCTTCCAGGTCATGTGGCCAGCATGACTAAGCCGCTTCTGGCGAACCACAGCAGTGCACGGAAATGCCATTTACCTCCCGGCTGGAGCGGTACCTATTTATCTACTTGCACTTTGAGGTGCTTTCGAACTGCTAGGTTGGCAGGAGCTGGGACCGAGCAATGGGAGCTCACCCCGTCGCGGGGATTCGAACCACCGACCTTCTGATTGGCAAGCACCACCTGCGTCCCACCGCTTGCCAGTTAACCCTCTTGTAAATGTCCTGCCGCTGTTACGGAGCTGTTTCACACCTGAGAGCTAAATGAGACCGCTTGTTGGTCCAGCTTGGGAGGTGGATCTCCTGGCACCCAGGAAAGCTGCAGCACATGGCAGTGCCCTTCCATAGCTATTCGTAGAGCATCCTTCCCCTGGAGCCCAAGCTTACCTCCTACCTGTTCTGTTTACCTACTGAGGAACAGGGATTTTTCTAGCAGGCTTGCTGACCCTCTGCCTCTTCCCTATTCGCTGCTGTTTTTCCTACGCCCCTCTGAAAGAACAGGATGCTAGACTAGATGAGCCTTTGGTATGATCCTGCAGGGGTGTTCTTGATTTCCTAGGCCTTCTCTTGTGGTGCGTGACGGCTGCCAGTTTCATGAGGCCCTTCTCCGTGTGCCTCCACACAAGGATGGCAGCACAAGAACAGGGCCTTTTCTGCGGTGGCTCCCTGTTTGTCGGATTCTCTCCCCAGGGAAGCTCGCCTGGTGCCTTCCTTACATATCTTTCGGTATCAGCTTGGTCTCCGATTTCCATATGTGCGTGTATTAAAAGTCCTCCCTGCCCTGACGGCTAGTTCTTAGCCATGGCAGCTAACTTAATCCTCCGTGTTCAGAGAAAGTTTACCTCCATGTACCAAATGCTGAGGACAAACCGCAGGGAAAAGCCTGTGGTGCCCTGCTTGCGGGCTTTCCCAGCGGGGCATTTGGTTGGGAGCACAGGTGGCTAATCTGTGGCCCTCTGGATGCCCTTGGACTCCATCATCCCTGGCAAATCGTCAGGGATAATGGGAGACCAGCAACCTCAAGGGCCGCCTTTCCCCATATAAACTGTTCTGGACTCTGCATTCATCATCTGAGGCCCTTCTCTGTGTGCCTCCTCCACACAAGGGTGGCAGCATGAGAACGGGGCCTTTTCTGCGGTGGCTCCCTGTTTGTGGGATTCTCTCCCCAAGGAGGCTCGCCTGGTGCCTTCCTTACATATCTTTCGGTACCAGGCAAAAACATTCCTCTTCAACCAGCCTTTGGCTGATTAATATTCTACAGCCTTTTATATGTGTTTTTTTTGGGGGGGGAGGGGGCATTATTGTTTCCTTGTTGTAACTGTTTCCTTGTGTTTTTACCTTGTATTGTGAACCACCCTGAAATCTTGCGATGAAGGGAAGTACAGGCATACATCATGTTACGTTTGCTTCAGGTTGCGTCCTGCAGCGACCCAGAAGTACCGGAAAGGGTTACTTCCGGGTTTTGCCGCTCGCGCAGACGCGCAAAATGACGTCACGCGCATGCGCAGAAGTGGCGAATCGCGACCTGCGCAGAAGCGGGTTGCGTTCCTTTCAGGTTGCGAACGGGCCTCTGGAACGGATCCCCTTCGCAACCAGAGGTACCACTGTATATAAATCAAATAAATAGATAAATAAGTCTGGAGGGCTGCAGGTGAGCCAGCCTCGAGGTAGATCTTTGGTGTGATCCAGCAAGACACTTTTGACACAGGATAGGCAATATCCCCCAGGGTGTAGGTTGGTTTGCCCCATGGCTTAATGGGACAATTCTGTGTGGCCTGTGCTTGTGTCCTCCTTCCCCGCCCCCTCGTACTGCGGGTAGCTATTTCGAGAGCCCGGCCTTGCAGCCCCCTCTTTCTCCTCCCCGAGCTCCCAGATCCGGCCTCTGATTAGTCTCTTTCCTCCCAAGGCTTTTGCCATCTCAGTTAGTCAGCGCTGGATAACAAGAGCTGCCAGCCCTCGTTTCCATCTGCCACTGAGCATCCCATACGATGCCGGCTGATTAACCTGGAAATGCAGGATGCCAGGAGTGAGAGATGCTTTGGACTTCCCCCATGGCTCAGCCATTAAAAAGAAAAAGAAAAAGCAAACACACACACAAAAAACCACCACTGTTCGTTGGGGCCATACAGGGAGGATAACCTTGAGACCTTGCAGGGAGGATAATATTGCAGAAAGGCGCCTCCATCCTTCTGCAGCCTGGATTAAGCCATCATTTGGTTTCTAGGGGGAGGAGAAAACCAAAGGAGCTACCGAACCTGGGCCCGGCTGAAAATGGGGTTGGGGAAAGGCAGAAGCAGGAAACGGATGGAACCAGTTACTGATTACTTGGGCGCCCTGGGCAGAATCCACTCTGGCGCTAAGGAGATCATTAGGTCAGCATGAGGATTTCAGCCTGTGCAATGGAAAATTCTCCCCCTCTGAACCTGTCCTAGGGGTTCTCCTAACCCTTCGGAGCAGATTTGGGGAGGGAAGAGGAAAGGCCTGTTGTGCAGGTGGATATCCTTGTGTTGATGGGACACAGCAAGCAAATTCCTCCTGGTCTCTCTACCCTTTTCCGCAGCCGATAAGCCGCGTGTTGGAACCAGGTTGTGATCACAGGAGGAGAAGCAGGCATTTATGAAACCAAACGGGCCGTAGAGGTCACGAAATGTTTTCTACCACCCGCAAGCACACGTGTAATGCTGAAATGTGCATCTGAGACCCTGCTTACCCTGAAACAAGGACAGAGGCAATGGTAGGATGTGTTTTCGTTGCTCCCCCCATGCTTGACTGGGCTTGGAGAGTTGACATTTTCTGCATTCTTCCAAGCTGCTTCGCCTCCCTCCACCCCAACCTTGTTAGGTCCAGAAAGAAGAAACTTGAATACAATCAATCATTGTGTTTGACTGGTTTATCTGCGCTTCTTCTCCATGCTGGTGGAATATCCTGTCTCTGGTTTCATAGAATTGTAGAGTTGGAAGGGACCCCTGTGGTCATCTAGTCCAACCCCCTGCAGTGCAGGAATCTCAACTAATGCATCCATAACAGATGGCCAACCAACCTCTGCTTAAAGGCCTCCAAGGGAGTCCGTTCCACTGTTGAAGTGGATCCACTCCTTGGTTCTTTGATAATTGGAGGTTGCCTGTGGCCTTCCTCAATTTCTTAGCAGTGCCTTTCCCAACCTTTTGCCCTCCAGATGTTTGCTGGCTGGGTTAGTGGAACTGATAGTCCAGAACATCTGGAAGGCACCAAGCTACAGAAGAAGGCTTGCCCTAGCAATTTGTGAAAAATATTTACTGCTGATACCGTAATGCCATTATACAGATCTATGGTTTTAAATGCAGTGTAAGGTAGTCTCTATGGGAGTATATTGTATTTAATTATGGGGTATCAGAGTTTTTAGGGGCTAACCAGGCTGGGATAGCTGGGATAGCAGGCTCGTTGGTTTCTGAATGTCTGATGTAGATTTTCAATTTCGTTGTTCTGTATGGGACAATGACAGTAAAGATTATCGTATCGTATGGTGCAAGTGCATTTGGAATACTGTGTGCTGTTCTGGTTGCCTTGCCTCAAAATGGACACGGCAGAGTTGGAAAAGGTTCAGGAAAAAAATCGACCGAAATGATCAAGGGGATGAAGCGACTCTCCTATGTGGAAAGGTTGTAGCATATGGGTCTTTTCAGTTTAGAGAAAAGGCAAGTGATAGCTGACATGATAGAAGCTTATAAAATTATGCACAGGGTGGAGAAATAGGATACAGGAAAGCTGTTTTTTTTCTCTCTCTCTCCTAACACAAGGATTCGGGGACATAGAATGAAAATGAATGTTGGAAGATTCAAGGCAGACAAAAGGATATATTCTTAACGCAGCGCATCATTAAACTGTTGATCTCGCTTCCCCAGGAGGCAGTGATGGCCACTGATGTATGTGGCTTTAAAAGAGGATTGGACCGATTCAGGGTGAAGGCTGTTGATGGCTTCTAGCCATGATGGCTGTTCTCTGTTTCCGCAGCTGGAGACAGAAACACTTCTGAATACCAGTTTCTGGAAAGCAAAGGAGAGGAGAGGAGGCTCTTGTTTATATATAAAATTTTTATTAGTTTTTTAACATATCGTTTTCAGCAGTAATTAAACATACTTTTACATCTTATTCAATTTTTTTGACTTCCGTCAATCCTGTCTGAAAATTTTCCAATCTAATCTCTTAGTATGCATTTCTTATCTTCCCTATTACATTTCAAACTCATAACCAATATCTCTTATCTTTTTCTACTTTGTAACACTTTGTATATTTCTCCATACAAAACTTCTTGTAGTCCTACTAGCGTAATTTGTTGATTACAGTTGCTCTTCAAATAATTCATATACTTCTTCCAATCTTCTGTCTTCCTCTGGTCCCGCAGGTTTCGAATCCTTCCTGTCATTTTGTCCAATTCTGCATAGTCCATTATTTTCGTCTGCCATTCTTCTTTTGTCGGAATTTCTTCTTGTTTCCATTTCTGGGCTAACAATACTCTTGCCGCAGTTGTTGCATATAAAAACAATTTAACATCTTGCCTGTTAATGTCCTGACCTATAATACCAAGTCAAAATGCTTCTGTTTTTTAAAAAAAATGTATATTTCAACATCTTTTTCATCTCATTATATATAATTTCCCTGAAGTTCTTTACTTTTTTACATTCCTGCCCTTCTTACGTTCTTCTGTGTTGTGCTGTGTGCCGTTGCTGATGCAAGCTTGTTCCTGCCTCCTAAGGGTCATGTTTTTTTCCTTAATGAAACCTCTTCCGCTGTAGCTACTAGCAAGCTGCTTGAATGCCACCTGTGTGGGTCTGATGGACGCTGGGCTACCCATGAAGTCCTTGTTCTGCGGAGTGACATGTGCTTTGGACGCGGATGGCAACATCACCCTGGACCCCACAGCGAAGCAGGAAAAGGTGGGTATCCTGATGTCTCAGCAAGGGGGTGGAATGCCTTTGTTCTTTCTGGTGGCAGGGAGTTCCAGAAATCAACGGTGCACTGATTTGAGGAGAGGTGGGAGGAGGAAACGTGCCTTCAGCTTGAAATAAAGAAGGTGAAATTTGCTGGGCTTAGTCACCTTATCCTGGCAGGATTCAGTACGGTCTAGTAAAAAAGATGGGCCAATGCTATCTGCATTTGGGCTCCTGCATTAATTGGGTAGAAGAGGAGGTTTTTGATAGATGCATCTTTTCAAGCGCCTGTCATAGCTGTCAACTTACAGATTTGAAAATAAGGGACCAGTAGCCTAGAAAATAAGGGACCAGCAGCCAGAATAAGGGATTTTCAGAGCACAGATATGTTCAACTTCTGAGCCCCTCCGAGCCAAAGCAGAAAGCCCAGCCAGCAGCCAGCAGCCAAACGAAACCTCAAGCAGTGGTTCCCACAGCGCAAAGGGGATGCAGCAAGGAAAACCACCGTCACCTCTCCGCTGGGAAGCGCTGAGCAAAGGCGAGTCCCCAGGCAACGCGGCTGATTTGATCGGCACAAGGCATGCAAGCTCCACCCCCCAGTCGTTCTTAGACTCCTTATTGGGTGAGCAATGCAGCCTAGCAACGCAGCTGGAGCCTCCCTCCTCCCTGGCTGGCAGGGAGGGAGGGAGAGGAGCTGCTTCCTTTGAAACCCGGGAAATTTAAGGGACATCATCAATAAGGGACAGCAGCGGGACACGGCGCTGGGATAAGGGACTTTCCTGCCAAATAAGGTACGGTTGACAGCTATGGCGCCTGTATTGCTGCAGGGCAACAAGTCACCCCTCTGAAAGATCAGGGGAAGGACGTAACTCAGTGGCAGAGCAGCTGCCTCGCAGGCAGGAGGTCCCAGGATCAATCCTACATAGGGCTGGGAGAGATTCCTGCCTGGAACTGGAGAACTGCTGCCAGCTGGTGTAGACAATACTGAACTGGATAGACCAATGGTCTGGTTCAGTATAAGGCAGTCTCCTCTGCTCCTGAAATTGGGCTGGATGGTAGGTGGGACTGGATGCATGCGACTGACCCCTGGGCCACAGCATCCCTCCAGGTGAGTGCTGCCTACTAAGGGGAAGGAGGACTGTGGGCTCCTGAGGCGTTCACAAAGTAAAGGAAGGATTGAACTCTGATTAATAAGAATACACACAGAGGCTTGAACCAGCAAGACTCTGGGAAGGGTGCGTATAATAATCTCTCTCTCCACCCCCTGGCCCAGGTCGTTTTATTCACAAAAGAACTTTTTACAGAGTGTTCGAAAGAACCAATCAGATTTCTTCTGAGCATTTCAACAAACCCCAAGTGGGGAAAAGTTAAACTACCAAAACTAATTAAGCACACATATTTCTGGGGTAAGCAACCCCGAAGGTGATAAACAAGCAATATACATGATAAGAAGGATGGCCAGGAGGACCGCGATCATTATCACCTTTATGTGAGATCTGTTTCCTGGCTCTAAGATTAACATCCTGGGATTAACATATCAGAAAGGCTACTTCAAAGAAGCTGCCCACTGTCTTTGATGACCCAGGATGCCTGCCTGTCTAAGTGGGTATGTGACTTGTGAAGAAAGAGAAATGGGCAGTAGAGGAAATGGCCAGAGATGCAGAGGGTTGTGGGATTTGATCAGAAATTATTGTCAATGTATCAATCCCAGTCAACACAATGCATTCATCGTGGACACAATGGCTTGATGCATATTTTATAATTCCTCATAGTAATCCCACCTGACCCCACACTCTGGATATTTGCGCTCCTACAGGCTCCCACAGGTGGGTCCAGTACTTGCGGGCAGCTGGCTCCAAGCATGTTCTGGAGATCTAGCCAGGCAGCTGGCACCCTTGCACCTCCTCTTTGGGGAAGAGAGTTTTGAGACTTACCTGCACGTGTCATGGTATAAGATAACCTACTGCTCTGGCTGGGGTTAATGGGAGCTGTAGTCCAAAGCATCAGGGGAGAGGGAACCCAGTTGAGGAGAGACAGAAAAACAGAGCACCTGTGTTTCTTTGTAATAGTAATAATAATAATAATAATAATAATAATAATAATTTTATTTGCATCCCGCCCTCCCTGGCCAAGGCCAAGCTCAGAGCGGCTAACAAAAAAACAACACAATATGCATAAAAACAGACATCAATTAATTAAAATACATCTTAAAATTAATTCAGACAAGTTAAAATCTGGGCAGGTGGCAATTATCAGGTTGGAATTGAGAGTGGTTGAAGAAAGGGGGAATGCAAAAGCCGTGAGAGCCAGACGTTTTGGGTTCTGGTTTCTCCACCATTGGCAGGGAGATGAGGTTAGCCGTGAAGTCTCTAACCCTGGGGGCTTCTGGGATCCCACCCGCAGCGGCGGCAGGGGAGAAGGTCGTAGGTCGTTGGGGATCTCTGGCTTTTGGCTAGGCTCCCATTCACCCAGGTTGCCTTCACTCCCCGCTTGCCCTCCAGCAGGCGCACAGTTGGCCCAGTGCCACGTGCCACAGAAGGGATGCAGACCTATCGTTCGCTCCTTTATCTGCTCGGGTGGGTAATTGCTTATGGTGACCTGACAGGTCAATAGCTCTCTCTTTCTCTCTCTCTGCCTCCCTGTCCCCTGCTGCCTGGCCCTCGCTGCCTTTCCTAATGGCTTTGCTCCTTTTTATCGGCCAGCGGATTCCATCCATCGCCAGCTGCCTTCTCTACCCAGGGCTCCCCTTAATCAACTGCAGTTTGGCTCTGTCTGCTGCCTGCTCTCTCTTGAAAGCTTTCCCCAGAAAGATTGGGATGGGCCCCCAATTCTTAACATAGCACGTAATTTAGTTCTGTGCATTGCCAGCCCAAAGATGGCCTGTTTGGCTTGGAGACGGTTAAGAGCAGGGAGGAGGCTTGCAGATCCATGTACCATAGCATTCTCTGCCTGGATGAATCATGCAAGCCATTTTTTTAAAAAAAAAATGCACCTTCCAGTTTTCTGCCGTATAACCAAAGGACATTTTCTCCATTTCTCATTCCAGTAATGCCTTGGGGGAAATTCAGAAGGTGAAGCCAATTAGGTGCAAGAACAATTTAATGAATAATTCCCAGTGTGTTTCAAATATCTTTATCAGGGGAAATTTATTCCACATTTAAATAGATGCAAAGTTGCATCTCCTTCTAGAATTTCGTTTGCAGGGGGAAGAGTGTCTCCAGGCATAACTGATGACCAATCCAGTCTTGAAACTGTTCTGTGTCTCACACAGTATCTGCAGAAGATTATATTTTTATATTCTGCAGTAATCCAGAACAGCACCCTAACTTTATCCTTAGGCAAGCACTGAATGTTTGTTCCTTTTAAGGGGGGGGGGGGAAATCCCATCCTCTGTCACCCTAATTCTGAGGACAACCAGATGGTTAACTGACCCAGATTATGCTTTGTTATTTTCTTCACTTCTCCACCATTATATATCTGTAAACTGACTAGCGCTAAAAGTTGGTTACAAATTATAAGCAGTCACAAGAACAATTCACATAAGTAAATCAATTCAGCAGTAGAAACTAAACTGAATTAAATTGCTGAACATTTAAACAGCAGCAGGAAAACAGCAAAACTTAAATAGGCCAGGTCTGATTTAATCAGCCAGATTCAGACAGCAGAACGTTGAGCAGAAAGCCTTAACAGTAACAACTAAGTCACCAAGTGGACATTTTTGGGACATTTTTGTACAGTCACAGTTGCTACCACAGAAATGTCATATCTCAAAAATGGCTTGAGAATGAGAGGTAGAAAATTAAAAATTTTAAAGTCATATATTCAGTTGCCCACCACACTTCTCAAATCTAGAGAAGCACATTTGACGCTGATCCTGTCAGGTGGGGAATTTTCATACGCTTGAAGGTCCAAGGGAGAGGGGGAAGCAAAGACCAGTTAATACACCTTTTTTGAAAGCCTTGTACAGCTTTCTACAACTTTTATCACACGTCTGTGCTTGTCCCAGGAGCCTATGCTGGTCTGTCCCCACCCCCAGGAATACTCATAAGTAATGGGCCAGTTGCAATTGCAGACTGAGCTGTATTTCAGCCAGCAAATCTTGGAGACTAGACTTTTGCAATCACACACAGAGGTGGTTGTTGTAGGTAAGAAAATAATTAAGTTGTTTATGGTACAAATACATAACTTGGATAGAAAAGTTCCTAGTTCTAGTCTAACTAGTCTAGAGAAGAGCAAGGTTTGCTCCTTTGTCCTCTAGGATAGTTAAAGATGATCACTCATCTTGCGGTCTGAAAGAGGAGGAGGAAGTTGTGAAACAGGATGCAACCTAAGACATAATCAGTCTGGTTAGAGTGTGGTGCTGACAACGCCAAGGTTGCAGGTTCAAACCCCATAAGGGACAATTGCAGGGGGCTGGACCTTCCAACCAGTGATTCTATGAAATGAACAACAAAGAGAGAGAGAGAGAGAGGTCAGCTCAAGAGGTTAAAGATACAGGGATGGTCTAGCAATCTGGAGGTCCTTAATGCTATCAGCTTTAATGCATTCAAAACCTCTCTTCCAACCCCCAAGCTTCCAACACAAAGTCCCTCCTGAGTTACAATACTGTATTTCGCTGTTATTATTTTTAACAAGGCTCTTTCAAAAAAGAAAAGAAAGGAAATATCTAGGGAAATGTGGAGGTAGGATTCAGTGCAACTACTTCCAAAGACATAGTAATTATGCCAGTTTAAAGTTCCTGTATTTAGGTTCCGGATGTTGTACAGCTATTCCTTACCCTCTCAGATCCCTTAACCACAAAATTTCTGACTGGGGCCCTGACCCCAATTTACCACCTTCTAGAGCTGGTTATGGGTCACGGTAAAGGTAAAGGGACCCATGACCATTTAGGTCCAGTCATGGCCGACTCTGGGGGTTGCGGCGCTCATCTCGCTTTATTGGCCAAGGGAGCCGGTGTACAGCTTCTGGGTCATGTGGCCAGCATGACTAAGCCGCTTCTGGTGAACCAGAGCAGCACACAGAAATGCTGTTTACCTTCCCACCGTTTACCTTCTACTTGCACTTTGACGTGCTTTCAAACGGCTAGGTTGGCAGGAGCAGGGACCGAGCAACAGGAGCTCACCCCGTCGTGGGGATTCAAACCGCCGACCTTCTGATCGGCAAGTCCCAGGCTCTGTGGTTTAACCCACAGCACCACCCGGGTATATTGTGGCTCTTATCACATCTAACCGCTGGCCATGTAGGCAAAGACCGCTGGTCCCGCAATACTTGGAGTGTCAGTTAGGTTTACCCATCCTGGCTTTCCGCCTCTGGATCTTGATTGTAGATCTGCAAACCTCAGGGCCTTTTTTTTCTTCTTGCAGGAAGCCCAGTCGGTCCTGACGTTTGCCATTGACAGCATTGAGAAGAAGGTGTTGATGTCAAGCACAAAGGGGACGTGTTCAGTGGAGCAGGTGAGTCTAGAATGGCCTGGCCCGGGCCAGTTGCATTGAACCTCAACGAGTTCAGATTCCACGCCAAAGGTCTCTGTGTATTTACTTGTGGCATCTGTTTGTCAGAGTCCACTTTGAATAATCTTTGAGGAGCATTCACTGCAGTTGCAAACTCACAAGGAACAATTTAAGCAGGATACACGTGCATTTGCTGCCCGCCTCTGAATGTCAGTTGCTGGGAATCGCAGGTGGGCAGAACACAATTGAAGAAGGGTGTTGATAAGCTGGAACATGGGTAGGCAAACTAAGGCTCGGGGGCCGGATCCAGCCCAATTGCATTCTAAATCCGGCGCGCGGACAGTCCAGGAATCAGAGTGTTTTTACTTGAGTAAAATGTGTGCTTTTATTTAAAAGGCATCTCTGGGTTATTTGTGGGGCATAGGAATTCGTCCCCCCCAAAAAAAAATATAGTCCGGCCCCGCACAAGGTCTGAGGGACAGTGGACTGGCCCCCTGTTGAAAACGTTTGCTGACCCCTGAGCTGGAAGGTGTGCAGAGGAGGGCAACCAAGATGATTGTTGTTGTTTAGTTGTTTAGTCGTGTCTGACTCTTCGTGACCCCCTGGACCAGAGCACGCCAGGCACTCCTGTCTTCCACTGCCTCCCGCAGTTTGGTCAAACTCATGCTGGTAGCTTCGAGAACACTGTCCAAACATCTCGTCCTCTGTCGTCCCCTTCTCCTTGGGCCCTCCATCTTTCCCAACATCAGGGTCTTTTCCAGGGAGTCTTCTCATCACATGAGGTGGCCAAAGTAGGGGTTTGGAAACTAACCCTTACAAGGAGCACTTGAAGGAGCTGGGTATGTTTAGCCTGGAAGAGAGGAGACTGAGAGGAGATATGACAGCCATCTTCAAATATCTTATGGGCTGTCAGATGGAAGAAGGAGCATGCTTGCTTTCTCCTGCTCTGGAGGGTAGGACTCAAGTAGGCTTTATGTTGCAAGAAGGGAGATTCCGGCTAAACATCAGGACACTAAGAGCTGTCCAACAATGGAACAGTCTCCCTCGGGAAGTGGTGGACTCTCCTTCATTGGATGTTTTTAAGCAGAGGTTGGATGGCCATCTGTCATGGATTATTCAGTTGAGATTCCTGCATTGGGAATTCCCTTGGGGGTCCCTCTATGATTCTATGACCTGATTTTGGGCATCTGATTGGCTCCTGTGAGACCAGGATGCTAGCCTAGGTAGGCATCCTTTAAGGGCCTCGCCTGGGCTCTTCTTTTTTTTTTTTTTTTTTTAATATAAATTTTATTTTATAACACCATACAAACAAAAAAGACAAACACAACACATTCACACCAAAAAAACATATGCATACATATACATACTCCTGACATAAGACAACAACAAATTAACTACATTAACTACTTAACACACAACACTGACTGACTTCCCTTCATCTCGGTTTCGGAATGTGTTATAAAATTTTCTATCTGCAGTTTCTTTTCCTCAAAAAAATTCTTTACATCACAAGTGTTATATCGCACCTACTGTGTTTTTTAGTTTTTTTTACCTCTGTTTCCATGTATGCCATGAATTTATTCCAATCTTTATTAAACTTTGTGTCTTTTTGATTTCTTATTTTCTGTGTCATTTTTGCCAATTCTAGATAGTCGAGTAGTTTCGATTGCCATTCATTTATGGTTGGGATTCTTGGTGTCTTCCAATTCTGCGCTATTAGAGTTCTGGCGGCCACTGTCGCGTACTGAAAGAGTGTTTGATCTTCCTTTTGGATTTCCTCTCCAATTATCCCCAGCAAAAAGGCTTCAGGTCTCTTTATAAAGGTATATTTAAAGATTTTTTTTAGTTCATTGTAGATAGATTCCCAAAATTTTCTAATAGGCTCGCACAACCACCACATATGATAAAAATCGCCCTCCTTAATCTTGCACTTCCAGCATAATTTATGACCAGTTTTATATATTTTTCCCAGTTTTACGGGCGTTACGTACCACCTGTACATCATTTTGTACATATTTTCCCTGAGTGTTGTGCATGCCGAGAATCTCATACCTTTATTCCATAGTGCCTGCCATTTATCAAACTCTATGTTATACCCAAAGTCCATTGCCCATCTCACCATTACCTCCTTTACTTCTTCATCTTTGGTGTCCCATTCGAGCAACAGGCTATACATTTTCGATAGGAGTTTTGTTTTACTTTCTAATATTTCAATCTGGACTCTCGATTTTTCTCACTTATCCCATTTTTTTATCCTCGGTCCAGATAGAGTTGATTTGATGAAATTGGATCCAACCTGTCAATTTGTTCTTTATTTCTTCATATGGCCTAATCCTCCAACCGGTCTCTGTTTTTACTAATAAATCTTCGTAGGTCCATCTTTCTCCTTCGATATTTTTTTTTTTATTGTCAGGATATCGATTGGCGAAAGCCACCAAGGGGTATTCTGTTCCAATAATTTTTATTTCTTTCCCACACCTCCAGTAATGGCCCTCTGAAGATATGGTTAGAAAATCCTTTATGGATCTTTCCCTTATTACGCCATAGGTAAGCGTGCCAACCGAATCTTAAATCAAATCCTTCTAAATCTAGCAGATCTTTATTTTTATAATAATCCAATCCTTGACCCAACAGAGGCATGAGGCTTCATAATATAACTTTAAATTTGGGACTGCGAATCCTCCTCTATCTCTTTGGTCTGTGAGTAATTTGAATCTGATTCTCGGCCTTTTTCCTTGCCAGATGAATTTAGAAAGTATTTTCTGCCAGCCCTTGAATATTGATGTTCCCCTGATTATTGGTATATTCTGAAATAAGAATAGCAGTTTCGGTAATAGACTCATTTTTATTGCCGCCATTCTCCCCGACCAGGATAGCTTTATTCTATTCCAGGTATCTAAGTCCTTCCTTATTTCTTTCCATGCGGTTGTATAATTGTCTTCCATCAAATTAATGTTCTTTGTCGTTAACCAGATTCCAAGGTATTTTACTTTTTTGGTTACTTTAATTCCTGGGCTCTTCTTAACATCCTTCTGAAAGCAACAGCTTGGCTGATTTGCCCTCAGATAATATGAGCAAAAGGGATGTGGGTGGCACTGTGGGTTAAACCACAGAGCCTGGGACTTGCTGATCAGAAGGTCGGCGGTTCGAATCCCCGCAACAGGGTGAGCTCCCGTTGCTCAGTCCCTGCTCCTGCCAACCTAGCAGTTCGAAAGCACATCAGAGTGCAAGTAGATAAATAGGTACCGCTCTGGCGGGAAGGTAAACGGCGTTTCCGTGTGCTGCTCTGGTTCTCCAGAAGCAGCTTGGTCATGCTGGCCACATGACCCAGAAGCTGTCTGCGGACAAACGCCGGCTCCCTCGGCCAATAAAGCGAGATGAACGCCGCAACCCCAGAGTCGGTCACGACTCTAATGGTCAGGGGTCCCTTTACCTTTACCTTTAATATGAGCAAAGCAAAACCCCGAAGTAAATAATAGGAACTGTAGTTCAAACAGGGGGTTCAGGATGAGGGAGGAGGCTGCCTTTAAACTTTTAAGACTGGTTCCTCCAGGACAACAAGTTGCTTCTCTGGGCTGCAGACAAGCAGGCTTTCTGTGCGGAATTGCTTTGCTGAGGCTTTCAGGTGACCTCTCTGCTGTAAACGGCTTCTCGGTTCCATTCCCATTCGTTCTTGGTTCAGAGTTAATTTCTCATTCTTCTGCCTTCTTTGATCCAACCCTGATTACGCTGCTTTATTTATCCTGCGCTCTTAGGCACTTGCAGAAATATTTTTAGCAGCTGCTTGCTTGGGGGGTGATATTGATGGATTGCATTTATATACTGCTTTTCAGATAAGGCGCCCAAGGCAACTTAAAGAATAAAATGGTGTGTGTGTGTGTGTGTGTGTGTGTGTGTGTGTGTGCATTTCAAGAGCTGATGGCATGGGAACCCAGACTTGGGCTGTCCTCTTCTGCCTCCTCTCAGGGCATATTGAGCAGACCTGAGTTTATGGGATTCTGCTGCTATCCTGCACTGGGAGCACTTAGCAGCCTGGGATTTCTACACCTTTTCAGTGTCAGGTAAAGACTTAAAAGGGAAAAAAAAGAGATCACCCTGGCCTGTTTAATTGTGGCTGTAGTTAAACCTTGGTGCCCTTTCTCTCTTTGTTAAGCTGTCTTCTCTATACAGTTCCTCTGGCTCAAAATAACAAGTGGGGAGAGAGATAGAGAGAGAGAGACTATGCTGCATAATGGTTAGAGCATGGGTAGGCAAACTAAGACCTGGGGGCCGGATCCAGCCCAATCGCCTTCTAAATCCAGCCCGCCGATGGTCCGGGAATCAGTGTGTTTTTACATGAGTAGAATGTGTCCTTTTATTTAAAATGCATCTCTGGGTTATTTGTGGGGCATAGGAATTCGTTTATTTTCCCCCCCCCCCAATTATAGTCTGGCCCCCCACAAGGTCTGAGGGACAATGGACCGGCCCCCTGCTGAAAAAGTTTGCTGACCCCTGGGTTAGAGTGTTGGACTAGCACCTGGAAGACCAGGGTTCGAGTCCCCACTCCACCATGAAACTCACTGGGTGACTTTGGGCTAGTCACCATCTCTTAGCCTAACCTATTTCACAGTGTTGTTGTGAGGTTGAAATGGGGAGGAAGAGGAGAAGCATGTACAGTACCGCCTCGAGATCCTTGGAATATAAAGGCGGTATTTAAATGTAATAAATAAAACAAGGAAAAAATTGTGGCATTAAGTTAAAACCACCAGACCACAAAGAGCCCCATTCTGATTGTTCGTGGGACTCTGGTCATCGCTTGGCCTGGATTCTGTACACTGGGTTGATAATAATAATAATTTATTATTATCACGGTCGGAGACCAGCTTACACTGGGTTGACGTTTGAGTGCTTTCTCCTCACAGCCCTTGGGTGCCATTCTGTTCTTTCCTCATTAACATTCGGGCGATGGCTTTGCCGTGCCTCACCTTGTGGCGGTGTGTGTGTGTCCATGGCGCACTCAGGATGGAGGTGGTCTGTTACCATGGAAACTGTGGCTCAGGTGATATATTGCCTGGAGTCCCAGGCCCTGCTTCCCTCTCGCCCCTTTGCCGTGCCGTTTTTGCCAGTTGCTCTCTGTGGGGTTTTATGGTGCTTCGAAAGGGGAAAATGCAGCCTGCAGGACCTGCGGCGGCAAATGGCTGCTTCCCTAGGAAACTACCATATTTTTCACTCCATAAGATGCACCTAGTTTTTAGCGGAGGAAAACAAGAAAAAAATATATTCTGAACGAAACAGTGGATGTATGATTTTTGTGGTTCATGCTGTGGCCACAGACATGATATGTGATTTGACTGTGAGTTTGGGGTAGCCCTATGCAAAAAATCCTGAGAATCCATGTGGATCCGTGCTTTGTAACCACGTTTTTGCACCATTGCAGCCCCACGAAACAGTCGATGCATGATTTTTTGGTGCAGGCTATAGCCATGGACATGCTATGTGATCTGATGGTGAATTTGGGGTGACCCAATGCAAAAATCCTGAGGATCCATGTGCTTTTACCTCCTCCCTCCCAGGCAGCCTCCTTTATCTCTAGAGCCCCTTATCTCCCTCCCTATCGCTTGCTGATCAGCTGCTCAGCAGCTTTGTTTCAACACCCCCTTCCCTCTTTCTAAGAAAAAAAAAAAGCACGATTTGTTTTTTGCCCCTGGGCAGTTCGGCTCCAGGGACCACGCATTTGCTCCCTAAGACGCACAGGCATTTCCCCTTACTTTTTAGGAGGAAAAAAGTGCGTCTTATGGAGCGAAAAATACGGTAATGGCTGCCGTGGTAGTAAGAAAGAATATCAGTGCCACTGCCGAGGCTAGAACTGGTTCTCTCGTTGCTCTTTATTGTGTCTGAATTCATTTCAGGATCGTGCTCCGCATCTGCTCTCTCATTTTGGGATGTATGGGGTTGTAGGTGCCCTCAGGTCTTGACCGCTGAAGACCAGTGGACCACAGGCATGGAGCCTGTTTGAGCAGGCCGGCGGCCGGCCGCTGTCTCGGTCGCCAAACATCTGGAGCTCCTGCTCCAGTCTCCTTAAATTGCTCTTGACAGCCTGTTTTGGCGGGAGCCTTGGAAAGCCGTCCGCCAGTCACGTTTATTGGATGTATCCGTCTGAATTGGCCGGGCCATCTGTCCCTCCTCATCCATCACCTCTTGTTTGCTCTCCCAAGGCAGAAAAGTGAGGGGAGGGGGGATTTATTCATGAAGGGGGGACGGACGATACAGGTATCTGCGTCAGGTAGGCAGGGCCTGCGAAGCGGGGCCTGTGTGAATAGCTTCCTCTCTTCCTCCCCTCAGAAGACATTTAGGAAGCCGCTTAGTATTCCGGTCGTGGGCCGCAGAGTCGTTTCTCATTACTGTTGCCTCGGCCCTGCCAAACGGCTTGGAACGCCAGCCCGTCCTGCTCTAAAGGAACAATTATGAACGCTAATGTGCTATTGAACGGAGGTGGCAGCCAGGCGCCATTAATTAGACAAGTGTTTCTGTCGAGAGAAAGGGGGGGAGCAGAAATTGCTTTTGTTTTGGGGTGAATTCTAATCAGTTTAGTGCTTTTTAAAAAAGAGAGAGAGAGAGAGAGAGAGAGAGAGAGAGAGGAAGATGCCGAAACAGAAAAATGCAAACTGTTATTTCCTTCTCTCCGAGGTTCATCTAACATATTGTGAGGCATCTTTTATGGCGAGAGTCGAGGAAGCGGAAAGTGGTTGCAATGGAGTTCCTTATACATGCCCCCCCTACAAATTATATCCATATAAGCCACCAGAATAATATTTATTATTCACAAGGAACCTTCACCAGGAGGTTCCAAGGCAGGTCAGACCGAAAAACAACACTAAAAACAAATGATGATTGCAACTTGGGATATATATACAGTATATATTATCAAAAACTAGGGTAAAGAAATATGTGTTTGGCATTCTCCAAAGGGTTCATAGCAAAGCTGTCAGGTGCACTTCTGGGGCGAAGGAATTCCATAACTTAGGGAAGTGATTCTCGGAGTTGTGGCCCATCACACTGGAGAGGACAGCAAGAGTGGCAGGAAGATTCAAGGATGATCAAAGAAACATTTAAATATTTCAGAGTGGTATGGTATTACTATAAAAGTATTTTTTTTAAAAAATTGCATAATATGGATAGGTACCTTTTCAAAACGAGAACAAGAGCATCAGGTGATACTGAGGACAATCCCAGTTGTGTTTTCCAGTATATTTGCTATCAATAAAAAAAACTGTTGTGACGCAAGCAAATATTTATTCTGAAAGTGTGGCCCAGAGCAAAAAGTTTGAGAACCACTGATTTAGGGGCTGCCACAAATAATGGACTTTCCTGGGCTGCCACTCTCTGCCCGCCCCTGCCCCCCCCCCAGCTTCTGAGGGTGGCAGAACTACCAAGAGGGTCACCTCTGCTTATTTTAACACCTGAGAAGAAGGTCTCATAGAGTTGGAAGGGACCTCAAGGGTCATCTAGTCCAACCCCCTGCAATGCAGGAATTACAGCTAAAGCATCCCTGACAGCCTCCAATGAACCTTCTGAGGTGGTCCGTTCCACTGTCAAGCAACTCTTACTGCCAGGAAGTTCTTCCTGTAAATGAAGAAGTAAAATTGGTTATGGTGCAGTGGATGAAGGACTTTGGATATAACATACAGATGGCAGAATGGGAAAATTTATGGAGAAGGGAACTGAAATTTACGACAAAAGAAAACTTTATGAAGATGGTACATCACCCCCAGCAAATTGGCCAAAATGTACAAAACCAACTCAAATTTATGCTGGAGGTGTAGAGAGCTAGAGGGAACAATGTACCACATGTGGTGGGGTTGCAAAAAAAATCTAAATAGCTTTTGGGAACTTAGATATAATGAATTTTTAAAAATGTTTAAAACAACGTTTATCAAAAAACCGGAAGCCTTCCTCTTAGGTCAGGGGTCGGCAAGGTTTACCTCACACTGGGCTGGTTCACTCCAGTGGAGATGCATCTGTGGGCCAGATGCGATTTCCAGCGCCACAGAAGCGAGTCTCCGCGCCGTGCTGCGCCGGTTTAGCTCAGGGTGCGGGGACTCGCCGAGCGGGTGGCTTGGTTCAGGGGCGGCTCGTGGGCCAGTTAAACGGCCCTCGTGGGCCGCTTGTGGCCTATGGGCCTTAGGTTGCCTACCCCTGTCTTAGGTATTATGGCATCAGACATTCCAAGAGAGATTTTTTTGTAGCAACAACAGCAGCGAGGATGCTGGTTGCCAACGGGTGGAAAGGAGATAAAATCCCATCACTGGAGAGCCAGTGTAGTGTAGTGGTTAAGAGCAGTAGACTCATAATCTGGTGAACCAGGTTCGATTCCCTGCTCCTCCACATGAACTGGCAGGTGACCTTGGGCTAGTCACACTTCTCTGAAGTCTCTCAGCCTCATTCACCTCACAGAGTGTTTGTTGTGGGGGAGGAAGAGAAAGGAGAATGTTAGCCGCTTTGAGACTCCTTAGGGTAGTGATATATGGGACGCGGGTGGCGCTGTGGGTTAAACCACAGAGCCTAGGACTTGTAGATCAGAAGGTTGGCGGTTCGAATCCCCGCGACGGGGTGAGCTCCCGTTGCTCAGTCCCTGCTCCTGCCAACCTAGCAGTTCGAGAGCACGTCAAAGTGCAAGTAGATAAATAGCTACCGCTCCGGCGGGAAGGTAAACGGCGTTTCCGGGCGCTGCACTGGTTCGCCAGAAGAAGCTTAGTCATGCTGGCCACATGACCCTGAAGCTGTACGCCGGCTCCCTCGGCCAATAAAGCGAGATGAGCGCCGCAACCCCAGAGTTGGCTACGACTGGACCTAATGGTCAGGGGTCCCTTTACCTTTACTTTTACCTTAGGGTAGTGATAAAGCAGGATATCAAATCCAAACTCTTCTTCTTCTTCTTCTTCTTCTTCTTCTTCTTCTTCAAAAGAGGAGTGACAAGTTAAACTGCTTGAATATATGGAACTAGCGAATATGATGGAAAAGATCAGGGATAGATTGACCGAAAAGTTTAAAAAGGAATGGGAGATTTATGGGCAATATTTAAAAGAACATTGACCCCCAATTAAAACTTTAGAATACAGCCAATCAGAAGCCACGGAAGTCGTGTCGGATGTTCGGGTTCCAAAGAACGTACGCAAACTGGGACACTCCCTTCTGGGTTTGCGGCATTCGGGAGCCGAAACGTTCGACTCGCAAGGCGTTCAGGATCCAAGGTACAACTGTGTAGTGACTTGAGGGACAGGGAGGGCCCTCTGGCCCATGGCTTGAATGTGGCCCTCCAAGCCTCACCAGCTGACCGATGGGACTGTGCCCAAGCCGTACCCCATCTCCCTGAGCACCCCTCCTGCGAGCCCTTCTGCAACCCTTTACAAGCCTGGCAGGAAGGTGGAATTGAACTGTGCTCGTTCATGCCCTTTGCTTCCCCAAAAGGGAGAGAAGAGGGGTTTGTAGGAATCTCTTGCCTTCTGCCACAAAGAGCCCTGTGGTACGAAGAGAGCCGTGGTCTCTACGTTACTCCTCCTCCTTCCTGGGAGCCACTCCAGCGCCCCAGGAGCTGGGGTGTCGGCGGCGAACAGCACACAGAGCCAGCATCCATCAGCAGCTGCCGAATCCTCTGCTGGGGGAAAGTTTTGCCTCTCGCAAGAGCAACAGGCGGCAAGAGCACAGGCAATAAATAATTATGATTTACCTTCCATCGCCGGCATGAGCTCGGAGACACCAGCCGCATGCTAACGCTGCTGGCTTGGAAACCGTGCTGTGTAGAGGATGGGAAGGAAGGGAGGACAACGTTTCCCATCATTTTCAGCCGCAGCCGAGAGCTGCCTGGTCCCCGCAGTGTTCTTGTTTGCCTCCTCCTTCCCTGCGGCTCCTGAGCCGGGCAGGTTTTGCTTGGCTGGCTTCTGCAGCAGCGCTTTAAATCTACTTCATAGGTGGCTGTCTGGAAAAAAACTGGTCCTCTGCCCACAAAAGGACAAGGAGGTGATAAGCCCTTAAGCTGTGGCAAGGTTTGGGCGCAGGGGGTGAGAGACAGAGAAAGCAGAACAGTCCACCATCTAGCTTCAAAAAGTCACACACACCCCCAATTATACTTCATCTTAGTTGTTGTGTTGTATAGCTTTAATTGATGGCTGTTGTCTTCATATTTCTATGTAAATAGCTTTATGAGGTTGCATTTAATGTGGGGTGTGTGCTTATCTTTTTCTTTTGCAGCCTCTCACATCCGTCTTTGGCTATACGCCCCTTCAAGTTCTCTCCATTGTTCTTTGCCATTTGTGGAAAATAATAATAATAATAATAATAATAATAATAATAATAATAATTTATTTCTTTATTTATTATTTATACCCCGCCCATCTGGCTGGGCTTCCCCAGCCACTCTGGGCGGCTTCCAACAAAATATCAAAATACCATAATACATCAAACATAAAAAGCTTCCTTAAACAGGGCTGCCTTCAGATGTCTTCCAAAAGTCTGGTAGTTGTCCTCTTTGACATCTGGTAGGAGGGCGTTCTGCCTGGTTCCCTGTAACTTTGCTTCTCGCCGTGAGGGAACCACCAGAAGGCCCTCGGCGCCAGACCTCAGTGTCCAGGTAGAACGCTGGGGGTGGAGACGCTCCTTCAGGTATACAGGACCGAGGCTGTTTAGGGCTTTAAAGGTCAGCACCAACCCTTTGAATTGTGCTCAGAAATGTACTTGGAGCCAATGTAGGTCTTTCAAGACCGGTGTTATGTGGTCTCGGCGGCCGCTCCCGCTCACCAGTCTAGCTGCTGCCTGTCTTGGTAGAGTTGGAAGGGACCCTGAGGGTCATCCAGTCCAACCCCCTGCAACGCAGGAATCATACCTAGATCATTCATGACAGATGGCCACACAACATCTGCTTAAAAACCTCCAGAGAAGGAGAGCCCACCAGTGGGAGCCCGTTCCACTGTCAAACAGCTGTTGCCTCCACACAAGCCTTGCTGTTAGTTTTAGATCGCCCACCCAGCATATAGGGTGGTCACCCCCTTGGTCTTTTGAACTTGTAGGGTCTCCATGCGAACCCAGCCTTATTCCATCGGCCCAGATCACCTCTTGTCACGTGTCCTGCATGTGTCCATTTTAACTTTGTGGCCTTTCCCACTACATCTGTAGCTTTCCATCTTGGTCCTATCCAATTATTAGTTTTTCTGTCTTCTAATGATATTCCTAGAATTGCATGCTTCGTGGCATGCTGTGATATCCGTAAGCTGTCCTTATTTCTATTTCTCATGGTCTAGTTCCACTACATATCACAGTGACACACCCCTTAGTTACATTCTGTTTGGATTGCTGTAATGTGCTCTACATGCGACTGCTCAGAAACTTCAGCTGGCTCAGAGAGCTGCAGCCAGAATGTTGACCAGGGCTGGTTATAGGGAGCTGTTACAACCACTCACCTAGACAGCATCTTAAAAAGCAGAGACATCACCTTGCCAACAAAGGTCCGTATAGTTCAAGCTATGGTTTTCCCAGTACAGTGGTGCCTCGCAAGACGAAAAGAATCCGTTCTGGGAGTCTCTTCGTCTAGCGGTTTTTTCGTCTTGCGAAGCAAGCCCATTGATGGATTAGCGGATTAGCGCTATTAGCGGCTTTTAGCGGCTTTTAGCAGCTTTTAGCAGCTTATCAGCTTATCGGATAAGCAGATAAGCGGCTTAGCGACTTAGAAAAAGAGGGGGAAAAGGGGGAAAAAAACCCAGGAACTCGCAAGACATTTTCGTCTTGCGAAGCAAGCCCATAGCAGATTCGTTTTGCGAGGCACCTCCAAAACGGAAAACTCTTTCGTCTAGCGAGTTTTCCGTCTTGCGAGGCATTCGTCTTGCGGGGCACCACTGTAGTGATGTATGGAAGTGAGAGCTGGACCATCAAGAAGGCTGATCGCCAAAGAATTGATGCTTTTGAATTCTGGTGCTGGAGGAGACTCTTGAGAGTCCCATGGACTGCAAGAAGATCAAACCTCTCCATTCTGAAGGAAATCAGCCCTGGGTGCTCACTGGAAGGACAGATCCTGAAGCTGAGGCTCCAATACTTTGGCCACCTCATGAGAGGAGATGTTGGGAAAGATGGAGGGCATAAGGAGAAGGGGATGACAGAGGACGAGATGGTTGGACAGTGTTCTCGAAGCTCCCAGCATGAGTTTGACCAAACTGCGGGAGGCAGTGGAAGACAGGAGTGCCTGGCGTGCTCTGGTCCATGGGGTCATGAAGAGTCGGACATGACTAAACAACAACAACACAACAACTCAATTGGCTACCAGTTTGTTTCCTTGCACAGTTCAGACCTATAAAGCCCTTTACAGGGCCCGTATTCCCTCATATGAACCTGCCTTGGTTCTGAGATCTTCTGGGGAGGCCCTTATCCCGCCACCCTCACAGACACACAAGACAGGGCCTTTTTGTTGGTTGCTCCCAGACTTTAGAACTCCCTCCTTGGAAAAGCTAGAATGGCTCCTTCTTTGTTGTCCTTCCACCTTGTTCCAACGCAGGCTTTTGGGAATTGACTTTTTTTTTTTTTGTAGTTAAAGGACTGGTGCTGTGCTGTTTTTATTATAATTAATGGCATGCCTTTGATTCATTTTTAACCAATTCTGTTAATGTTTAAGTGTTGATTCCCCCCACCCCATGTTTTTAGCTAGTTAAATAATGGGTGGCTAATCCAGTTTGAAACAACTAGCTCTTTGCAGTTGGCTGTACTGTCTGTGGTCCAGCACAGAGCCATGACTGCATTTCTTTCACCTGTCGAGACTTGGGTGCTTCAGAACGCTCAGCTCAGCGATGCCTGTCAGTCCAGCGGAAGAAGGCCAGGGAGGAAATTAAAACAACCCCTTTGAACTCTCCTGATAACAGCTGCTGAATGACGCTGTGGCAGATTTCCATCAAATTTCCTTGCATTTTAACAAACGGCACAATAGCTAGATTTGGGGTGGCAGAGCAGGAGTCCAAGTGCGTTGGTTGGGTGGCCTGGAAGATTCATCTTTTCATCTCCTGTTGCTCTGATTGCATCACCCTTTCCCTTAAGCACTCTTCTCCATCATGCTTTAATAAAACTCTTCGTCACTTGGTGTCTGTGTGTCTGTCTCTGTCTCCTATCCTGCTTTTTCACCTTTGCCCTCTGCCCATCAGCTAACCTCTGTGGCGTGCCCCTCTCTCCCACTATGTTCTCCCCCTGCTAAGGAAAATCACTCCTCGTCCCCCACCCCATAATTTGAGGGGGACAAGCTCTTGGGACCCCCGTTTTCAGCACAGCTTTCTCTCAGCCCTCCAGTTTCAGCTGGCTAGCAGGCCGCGAGCTTGACCTACCTGGAGGCCTGTCCGGCTACACCTGTCTGGATTTAGACCAGCTCCTGGAAGGAGCACAGCAGCTGAGTGGGAAGAGAGAGGTAGTCTTGGGTGCTGAGGGCAGAGGTTGGAATGGCACATCTTGTATTGCCCAGTGCAGGGGTTGGCAATCTTTACCGGCCATGGGCTGGATCACTCCCACGGAGATCATCTGTGGGCTGGACTGGTGCAGCGCGATGCCGGAGATCACGTCTGCGCATGTCCATGGCACTGGAAATCGCTTCTGCGCATGCCCAGACACCAAAAATCGTGCCTGAACAGAAGCGATTTTCGGCGTCTGGACATGTGCAGATGCGATTTCTGGTATCTGCACATGTGCAGATGCCAATTCTGGCGCCACTTGATGAGTCTCCGCGCTGCGCTGCGGGCGGCTCGGTTTGCGGGCGGCTTGTGGGCCGGTAAAACGGTCTTCGTGGGCCACATCCGGCCCATGGGCCACACGTTGCCGACTCCTGGCCTAGTGTGAAAGGTTCCCCATTTCCTGCTTATTTATAAAGGACCCTTCCCCCATTTCCCCCCACTCTTCCACCTTCTCAGAATTGAGCCCTCCCTTCACATTGCGGGGGAAGAAATAAGGAAGTTTCTATTCCTTGCCGTTGGGAAGATCGGCTTGAAAGTATGCGGGCCAATGTCTTGAGATTTCCAGCCATGGATGCCAGAGCAAAAGCAGGAATAAATCGCACAGAATTGTGGAAACTGTGGCAGAAAATGAGAGTGAGGACGAGTCACGTTATTCGGGTTTCCTTGACATGGGATTCGGGTGGCTTTGACACAGAAGAAGAAGAAGAGGAGTTTGGATTCAATTCCACCTTCCACAGTTCAATTCCACCTTCCTGCCAGGCCTGTAAAGGGTTGCAGAAGGGCTCGCAGGGTGGGTGCTCAGAGAGATGGGGTACGGCTTGGGCACAGTCCCATCGGTCAACTGGTGAGGCTTGGAGGGCCACATTCAAGCCATGGGCCAGAGGGCCCTCCCTGTCCCTCAAGTCACTACTCAGTTGTACCTTGGATCCTGAACGCCTTGCGAGTCGAACGTTTTGGCTCCCGAATGCCGCAAACCCAGAAGGGAGTGTCCCAGTTTGCGTACGTTCTTTGGAACCCAAACGTCCGACACAACGTCCGCGGCTTCTGATTGGCTGCATTCTAAAGTTTTAATAGGGGGACAATGTTCTTTTAAATATTGCCTATAAATCTCCAATTCCTTTTTAAACTTCTCGGTCGATCTATCCCTGATCTTCTCCGTTATATTCGCTAGTTCCATATATTCAAGCAGTTTAACTTGTCACTCCTCTTTTGAAGAAGAAGAGGAGTTTGGATTTGATATCCCGCTTTATTACTACCCTAAGCAGCTAACATTCTCCTTTCCCTTCCTTCCCCACAACAAACACTCTGTGAGGTGAGTGGGGCTGAGAGACTTCAGAGAAGTGTGACTGGCCCAAGGTCACCCAGCAGCTACATGTGGAGGAGCGGAGACGCGAACCCAGTTCCCCAGATTACGAGTCTATCACTCTTAACCACTACACCACACTAGCTCTCTGCTGGATCAGGCCAAAGGCCCACCTAATCCTGCGCCCTCTTCCCCCAGCGGCCAACCAGATGTCCATGGGAAACCCATAAGTGGGACCCGACCTCAAGAGCAGACTCTCCCCCTCCTGTGGTTTTCGGCAGCTGGTATTGCTGCCTCTGACCTTGGAGGCAGAACATAGCCATCATGGCTGATGGTTTCCACTCCATTGCTTAAAGCACACCAGACACGGTTTTATAATAATATAATAATAACTTTTATTTATACCCCGCCCTCCCCAGCCAAGGCCGGGCTCAGGGCAGCTTACAAGCAATAATAAAAACAAGTTGAATGATTACAACTTAAAAACAAAATTAAAATACAACATTAAAATATTGAAACATTAAAATATTAAAATGTAACCTCATCGCAGGAGGAGAAGGAAAAGAAAAAAGAAAGAGAGGGAGGGAGGGAATCAAATTGGCTCCAAGCCAAAGGCCAGGCGGAACAACTCTGTCTTACAGGCCCTGCGGAAAGAAATCAGATCCTGCAGGGCCCTGGTCTCATGAGGCAGAGCGTTCCACCAGGCCGGGGCCAGTGTTGAAAAGGCCCTGGCTCTTGTTGAGGCTAATCTGACTTCCTTAGGGTCCAGGACCTCTAGGGTGTTGCTATTTATGGACCTTGAGGCTCTCCGTGGGGCATACCGGGAGAGGCGGTCCCGTAGGTACGAGGGTCCTTGGCCGTGAAGGGCTTTAAAGGTCAAAAGCAGCCCCTTAAATCTGACCCTGTACTCCAGCGGGAGCCAGTGCAGCTTGAACAGCTGTGTGAGGGGGAAACTACAGCTTTGGGGATTCCTCTGGAGAAGTTCTTGTGCTTTTACAACCAGCGCTGGACGTACATTAAGGCTTCGGCGTGGATCACTCCGCAGCGTCAAAATGGGCGCCATGCATAGTGGGCAAAAGAAGCAAAACGAATTTGTGGGGTGGGGGGGGAGAGGCTTCTTTGCGAATCCTTCGCCTCTCCCTCCTCAGAGAGGCCTTCCTGGCACTTTGAGGCCTGCCCCTGTGCGTTACCGTGGCAGCCGAGACGCTTCAGGGGAAAGAGCAGGAGGGCGCGCTCACTTCCCTCTCCCGGCGCTGCGCTCCGTGTGGCGAACGTGCCCGCTTGTGGAGCGCGCCGGAAGATTGATGCGACGTCGTATTGAGCGGGAGGACCGAGCCGGTTCCCTTATTTGTAGCCGTTTGTCCACGTTCCAGCTCGCCGTGTCCGTAAATCACTTGCCAGATGCAGCTGCCTCCCAGCGCACGCCTTTGCCGACAGGCGGGTTAAGACGCCGAAGCAGGAGCCGCTGCCGCTGCCACCCTGGCCCTGCCACATGTGTGCCAGGGCTGGTAATTGAGTTGGGAAGTCCTCGCGAGGGACCTGACAGTCCTGGCGGGCAGCTTGTCTGCCATGTCAAGTAGGGGAAGAGAGGGAGCTGAGATCTCTATCCTTGTTTTTGTGTGTTTTGAGGTTTGGACACTTCCCCCCTCACATATAAATGGACTAATTAAGACGCAAGGAACGTTGGTGGGGAGCGTGGCGGCGGCGGCTTTTGACCCCCCCCATTCTTCACAGAGGTTGCTGGGGGGGTCGGCGAAGCAGCGCTGAGGTTTAATTGGCCTCAGGGAGCTGGCGGGAGACGGGTAGCGAGGCAGGATTTTTTCCTTTCTTGCATTTGATTTCTTCTTCTCTTTCCCCCGCCCCCAGGGAAAGGCCTTTTGTTGCTCAGCCCTTTGATAGCTCCCTGTCTTTCGTCTCCCTACTGAGATCCTTCCTCTCATTCTCTCTCTGCACCCTTTCTCCCTCATGTAAAAAAATCCCCTCGCTTTCTTCTCGGCGCAACTTTTGTTCTCTTCTTTTCCTGTCTATCCTTGGTTTGCTTTCCATCTGCCTGCCTGGGGCTGGAATTGCCAAGCCGGCTGCGGGAAGCCAGTGGTGGGCTTTGCAAGAGCAGGCTTTGGTTCATTCTGTCGGGAGCTGGGCCCTGCAGGCTGCCCAGGACCAGTTCCCATCGCTGCAGAGCAGGAGGTAGGCAGAAAATCAGCATGCACAGGTGTCAAGACTCTGCCCTGACAGAGGGAGCCCAGCCCAGCCCGGAGCTAGTAAAGGTAAAGGGACCCCTGACCATTAGGTCCAGTCGTGACCGACTCTGGGGTTGCGGCGCTCATCTCGCTTTACTGGCTGAGGGAGCCGGCGTACAGCTTCCGGGTCATGTGGCCAGCATGACTAAGCCACTTCTGGAGAACCAGAGCAGCGCACGAAAACGCCGTTTACCTTCCCGCCGGAGTGGTACCTATTTATCTACTTGCACTTTGAAGTGCTTTTGAACTGCTAGGTTGGCAGGAGCAGGGACTGAGCAATGGGAGCTCACCCCGTCGCGGGGATTCGAACTGTCGACCTTCTGATTGGCAAGCCCTAGGCTCTGTGGTTTAACCAACTGCGCCACCTGCGTCCCTAGCCCGGAGCTATATGTACATAAAACATGTGCTAGTACAGGGTTGGTCCTCCAGCATCAACCTGATTGCCAGGGGGATTCCCCTCAAAGCCAAATCTAGTTTCCCTGCTTTTGATCAGCAGCAGCCTTGGGATGTAATTAGGGCTGGGCAATATATTGATACATCATCACAAATTGGTTTGGAATCTGTATTGTGATCTCGGTTTCATAATTTTTGACCTGGCCATATATTGCAAATCATGATGTGTGTGTGTGCTATGCAGAAATCACAAGGCAGGGAAAACCATGAAGCCAGCCAGTGTTCCTACATAGCTCCATCCTTATTCCAGACATGATATATTGGTATATGGCAGTGATAATCACAATGTTGGAAACCAGATAATTGGCCAGCCCTAGACGCAGTTGATGCCTCCCAGGCATGAGGCCAGGCTCAGGGTTCATACCGGGTAGTGTGGGGCAGTGGGTAGAGTGGGGCCACCCATTCGGGTGGCTGCAGCAGATCCAATCAGCCTCTTGCCTCTCCAAATCATCTTTGCATCATTCCAAGCTGCTGGTGTCGCAGTGGGCTTCCTTGTCAAAAGATCCAGGTCCAGATCTTTTTCCTACCATGAAGGTGATAACCATTACTTATATTCACCTGTCAACGAAAGCAACTTACATTAAAAAAACAACAACAACAAATCCAGAGGTAACAAAGACAATAAAACCAGGAGTGAGCAAAAGCTAAAACATTCGTCCAAAGTACGTACTTTGGAGAACAAATCCTGCCCACCCCATTATAGGATGAGTACAAAAAAGGAGAGGAGCTTTTGAAACATGTTGCTCTGTCTGTCAGCCTAACCCAGGGGTCAGCAAACTTTTTCAGCAGGGGACCGGTCCACTGTCGCTCAGACCTTGTGGGGGGCCAGACTATATTTTGGAAAAAAAATATGAACAAATTCCTGTGCCCCACAAATAACCCAGAGATGCATTTTAAATAAAAGCACACATTCTACTCATGTAAAAACACCAGGCAGGTCCCACAAATAACCCAGAGATGCATTTAAAATAATAGGGCACCTTCTACTAATGTAAAAACACGCTGATTCCTGGACCTTCCACGGGCTGGATTTAGAAGGTGATTGGGCCGGATCCGGCCCCCGGGCCTTAGTTTGCCTACCCATGGCCTAACCCACTGATGGCTACTGCTAATGATGGCTGCATCCTGGCTCCGGGCTCAGAGGCAACATGCCTCTCAAGGCCAGTCACTGGGGGAGAACAGCGAGAGAAGGCTGCTGCGCTCCTGCCCTTGCTTGTGGGCCCCCTTCAAGGGCCTGTGGGAAGGCAGGGGCTGGACCAGATGGGCTTTTGGTCTGGCCCACCAGGGCTCTCCTTCCTTCCTTGGGAAGCTGTGATTCAGAGGTCACTCTGGACTCCCTGTGAAAGTGTAGGCATAAAGAATAGTCAATGAGCTTACTTGAATTATATCCCCGAAGGTGGGAGGAAGCTTTTAGGTGGATTGATGCATATCTGAGGACAGCTCCCTGTGATCCTGAGGCTGCAGAAGAGTCTTCTTAGTAACCTGTTTGGGAGCTACTGGTACTCTTTTAAATCTGTGCCTCCGGTGACATCTTTCTGGCCCCAGGTACCTTGGGTTACAGACCCTTCAGGTTACAGACTCCGCTAACCTAGAAATAGTACCTCGGGTTAAGAACTTTGCTTCAGGATGAGAACAAAAATTGTGCAGCAGCAGCAGGAGGCCCCATAAGCTAAAGTGGTGCTTCAGGTTAAGAACAGTTTCAGGTTAAGAACGGACCTCCGGAACGAATTAAGTTCTTAACCTGAGGTACCACTGTATAGACTTACCTTCCCACTCCGAGGTGGCACTGTTTTGTTTGTGTGGCTGCTGCAGGTTTTTGTTGTTGTTGTTTAGTCGTTTAGTCGTGTTCCACTCTTTGTGACCCCATGGACCAGAGCACGCCAGGCACTCCTGTCTTCCACTGCCTCCCGCAGTTTGGTCAAACTCATGCAGGTAGCTTCGAAAACACTGTCCAACCATCTTCGTCCCTTTCTGCTTGTGCCTTCCATTTTTCTCAACATCAGGGTCTTTTCCAGGGAGTCTTCTCTTCTCATGGCCAAAGTCTTGGAGCCTCAGCTTCAGGATCTGTCCTTCCAGTGAGCACTCAGGGCTGATTTCTTTCAGAATGGATAGGTTTGGTCTTCTTGCAGTCCATGGGACTCTCAAGAGTCTCCTCCAGTGCCATCATTCAAAAGCATCAATTCTTCGGCGATCAGCCTTCTTTATGGTCCAGCTCTCACTTCCATACATCACTACTGGGAAAACCATAGCTTTAACTATACAGACCTTTGTTGGGAAGGTGATGTCTCTGCTTTTTAAGATGCATGTTTTTAAATGGGCACAAAACATTTGGAAACCTTTGGGTAACCAGCCTAATCATAAGTAATAAAGCCATAGTAACGAACATGGGGCTCTGGTGCATTGCCGCAAGGGAGAGTCTGTTGGAAGCATCAAGGGCAAGCATTGCCACTCGCCTTGCCACACACACACACACACACACACACACACGTCTGGGAGATGGGCAGGGATTGCTTTTGCTGCTATTTAGGTGCTTTGTAAATTATCGTCAAGCATTATTTCAGCATCTGTTAACTTGAGTTGTTTCTTTGGCCTACCAGTGTGACGTTTAGTTTCATAGCTGTTAACGCATCGTCTTGAAATGTTGTCGTACCTTGTGTTGTGCGTTCTTGTGAGCCGTTTTGAGCACAGTTCTGCCATGGAAAAGCGGCCTACACACAAACGATGGCGATGGTCGATTCCAAGGGCAAACCAAAATCGTAGGAGCTGGGGAATCTGAAATTGACTACAGGTTCCCTCGCAGAGGAGAACTGCCTGCCAAAATCTCCGCCATATGCCACCTTCAACAATGCTGTTGCCCTCGAGTGTGCTACTATGGCTTTTTTTGGGGGGGGAGGACCCTTTTCCCCTCCCCCAGATCTTTAGGGACCCTTTCCCCTTCCAGCATAACCACCTCTCTTCCTCTCCACAGCTCCAGAAATGTATTGCCGCTTCCCAGCTAGCTTCTGACGCCATCTTCCAGTTTTATCGCGATTCGGCTCACAGGAAATACTCCAAGTGGTGACTCTTCACACCCCCCCCCAAGTGGAACAGAGCAGAGACTTGACCGCTTAAAAATGACGCTACGTGGCGTTGGCTGGATCAGTGCCGCCTCCCCACGCACCTCCAGCCTTCATTCTCCCGCATCCTTTGCTCCGAAAGGAGAGGTGCCGTTTGATCAGGCTGCCATTAACAGAGATTGTGGAACAGGCTGTGGGTTAAGATGGCAGGATCCTGAAAAAGCTGGGCCTTCATTGCCACGGGCTGTGTGCTGTGGCGCTCCATATCTGCTGTCCCCAAGCACATGGGCTTCCAGCTCTCTCACATTTTGGTAAGCACGTGTCTCCCCCCCCCCCCCCATGAAAGACATTGTTTCCACACAGATTGCGAGGTGGCTGTCTCTCAGCTTGGCCTAGTTGTGAAGCCAAGTTCTTCCTTTTGGATCCTCTGCTCTCTGCTTTGCCTAAAATAGTTTTTTTTTTGTCTGTGTGGACATTAAAGAACATGTTTTCCTTTTCTTTTGTTCCCCCCCGACTGTGCTATAAACTGTCTTTACCTACCCTAATGAAGCAGCGGAGAAAAACCTCTCCTGTTTGAAATCTGCAGGCACATGTGTTGCCTGCTGTCTGATGTTTCCCTCAAGCAGTTCATAGAAAAGTTGGAAGGGACCACAGGGGGTCATCTAGTCCAACCCCTGCAACACAGAGACAGGAATCTTTCGCCCAACGTGGGGCTCGAACCCGTGACCCTGAGATTAAGAGCCTCGTGCTGTACTGACCGAGCTCGAGCATTCCCTTTTGAGCCAGGGACGAGCAGTGGTTAGAGCATCGGACTCTGGTTCGAATCCCCACTCAGCCACCAAGCTCACGGTCGCGCACTTTCTCTGCCTCCCCTACCCAGCATTTTCCCAGAGCGAGGCTCGCCCTTTGCACTCTAGGTGTGCTGACCCCTGCAGTTTCCCCGAATGTGGGAAACTGGACTATATAATTTGTAAGGTAAAGGTAAAGGGACCCCTGACCATTAGGTCCAGTCGTGGCTGACTCTGGGGTTGCGGCGCACATCTCACTTTATTGGCCTAGGGAGCCAGCGTACAGCTTCTGGGTCATGTGGCCAGCATGACTAAGCCGCTTCTGGCAAACCAGAGCAGCGCACGGAAAAGCAGTTTACCTTCCCACCAGAGCAGTACCTATTTATCTACTTGCACTGGTGTGCTTTCAAACTGCTAGGTTGGCAGGAGCAGGGACTGAGCAACGGGAGCTCACCCCGTCGTGGGGATTCGAACCGCTGACCTTCCGATCGGCAAGTCCTAGGCTCTGTGGTTTAACCCACAGCGCCACCCGCATCCCTATATCATTTGTGGTCAGTAATAAAATTGGGGCGAGGCGTGTGTGCTGCCGTGAGCATCATTCTTAATTCATAATAATACGAATGGCGCTGAAAATGGGAAAACGTAGCCTAGCTGCTTTCAAAGTGCAACAGCTGGGATGAGCAATTGGGCCTTGGGTGGAGAAAGGAGTTGCCACAGATGGCTTCTAGCCATGATGACTATCTGGAGACAGCCATGCTTCTGAAAACCACCTTCTGCTTCCCTGCATAATGCCCTTGAGGTTTGGGGATAGAACCCCTTCATTGCAACCATCTTTCAAGCACTCTGTGCACCTCCGTCATTGCCCAAGCCTTGCGATCTCCGGATTTCATTGCTCCCATCCAGACTGGGATGGTGCCTGTGCGTGAGACAATGCCTGGATTTGCCCCCACTGTTCTCCATTGGATCCTGGCACACCCTTGCTGCTCCCGCTGCGTAATCCATGGGGACAGCCTGCCTTGGATGGCCCACCCCTGCCCAGTACACCGAGATGCACCCACCCCTTGCCATTCTCATACATGCCTTGAACCTGGCATATGATGGAGATGTAGAGCTCCACGCAGTCCCTGTGCTCATTAATATTCTGCGGAACTTCCCTGCTTGTTTTTAATTTTGCAGTTTGGCAGCCGCCGGTGGGGAGAGCGCAGCCCCTGCCAAATCGGAGCTTGGCTGATACTTCTTCATTGCCTTCCTCTGCCTTGGAATGCAGCAACGTATTGGTTAAGGTCGGGGAGCGGGGTCTGGTTTGGGAAAGGCCTCCTGCCCCCTTCCAAGGGGGAGCCTGGGCTCAGATCGGCACTGCAAAAGTAGAGAGAGACTTGCATTGCGGTTCGATAGCCTTCCTGCCCTCAAAGGGTTGTTCCCAAATCTTGGGGCACAGAAGCGTTCTTTATTGGCATGAACCCAGCCGACCTTTCCTCCCAGAGCTGGCAGATACTGCTTAATAACCATTTTAATATGGCACTTAGTCTTTTAATCACCCCCACTTTGTCCTTGCAAAGAGATTGCAAGGTTACAGCACATTCTTAGGAGAACAGAGTCCCATGTTGCTGGCTCCTGAACTTTGGAGCTGGGTGTGTGGGTGGGTGTTTTGCAGATTTACTTCACAGCTTCTCAGCCAAAATCTAGTTTTATGGGGGAGGGTCAGATCCCACTGTTTGCCACTTCAAGTTCCTCTCCCTCATCCTTCCCTTCAGACAACTGGCAAGAGAAGCAGGGGGAGCTGCGGAACATAGAAGGGCAAGAAGAAAAAGCAATAATGGGGAAAAGTAGGGTGGCTTAGGGAAATTGCAGGCTGGGGTTTGACCTCTCCCTCCCAACCCACCCCTTTGAAATGCCCTGGTTAGCTGAAAACTCTGTTTGCAACCTTAGCATTACCGTTTGCATCTCGTCACGTGTGTGTGTGTGTGTGTGTGTGTGGATATGTAGGAATGCGGGTGGCGCTGTGGGTTAAACCACAGAGCCTAGGACTTGCCGATCAGAAGGTCGGCTGTTCGAATCCCCTCGACGGGGTGAGCTCCCGTTGCTCAGTCCCTGCTCCTGCCCAACCTAGCAGTTCAAAAGCGCGTCAAAGTGCAAGTAGATAAATAGGTACCGCTCCGGCTGGAAGGTAAACGGCGTTTCCGTGTGCTGCTCTGGTTCGCCAGAAGCGGCTTAGTCCTGCTGGCCACATGACCCGGAAGCTGTACGCCGGCTCCCTCGGCCAGTAAAGCGAGATGAGTGCCGCAACCCCAGAGTCGGTCATGACAGGACCTAATGGTCAGGGGTCCGTTTTTTTAAGAGGAGGATTTGGGCTGTTCAGCAATATAGATTGGTTTCCCAGTTATGTGCCTGTGGAACAGAGCCAACCAACTTGTACTCGCATCGTATGAGGTGTTGGCTCCTGTGCTTCAGGAGGCAGCTCCCACAGTGTGGTTGCTAAGCCGTATCATCCATCTCCATCAGGTCACTGTAAATGACGAACGATGGGGCTGTCCTTGGGTTAAGTTCCTGGCAAAGCCTACTACCCCCCTCCCTGGTTTCTTTCCCCAAACTCTTCCCTCCTTCCAGAGATCCAGCCGCTCTCTTAACCTTCACCAGCTGCCCTGGGAAGAGGCAAATGGCCTGCTTTGATTAATGAGCCTAATTGAGTTGATGAAATGATCTTTTTTTTTATTTCCCCCACTGGTGCTTTCTGAGGTCTTCATCGTTTCCTTATTTAAACCAGCTGTCCCTCTGGAAAAATCCCCTCTGGCTTTGAAACGGCAGGATAGCATCACCACGCATGCATGCGCAAGCATCCTCCTCGTGTTTCTACCCCCCTGGCCTAAACACCCTCAACCACCAACTCCTCCTCTTCCTCCTCCTCCATCTCCTCCTCCTCCTTAAAGGACGGGGCGACCTCGTCTCCCCTTTCCCCAGTACAAAGCAAGACTCTGTTCCCAACCGCTGCACTCTCTGCCTCCTGCTCTCTGCAATGAATATTCAATCAAGGCTACGCTATGTATTATTTCCCACTCTTTCTGCCCCACCGCGGCCTCCTTGGGGAAAAAACACTGAGATTTTAATTTGCAGGCTCCGTGGGGCAGGTGTGCAGGGGTGTCTGTGTGTGACAGATGGAAGGGATCAAAGTGAGAGCGCTGTCACTCAGCTTCCTCCATTTGGAGAGAGGCAATGGAGGCCAGACACACGTCCTTCTTTGCTCTCTTTTCAATTAGGCAGGCTTCGTCTGAATCGGTTTCCTCTCTCCCCCCCCCCCCCCAAGGCTTCCTCGCGCTCTTGGGTTTCGATGCCTTCTGATCTGCCTCTTATTCATTAGGCAGCAAAGGCAAGAGCAACGGAAACCACCTCTGGTCTTGCCCGGGCACAGCCACGGCTGCTGCCTCTCCCCCCCCTTCACAAAAATGGACCTTCGCTTGCCACCCTGCGATCAGGCCTAGAGGCTTGTTACTGCTCGCTCGGCTCCTCCTGACTTCTGGAGCGGGGAAGAGGCTGAGAGCGATAAATTCCACCCACTCTCTTTAAAATCTGCCGCATGCTTTGAGTCAGACCGTCGACTGTGCCAGCCCACGATGGTTCTGTCTCCCAGAGATGCCAGCGTTGCAAGGGGGCAGGCCCCCCTTTGCAGCCTCTGCTGAGGGCGAAATCCTGAGTGCCCGAGTGATTTGGGGGTCCAGCGGAGGACCCAAGCAGTAAATGTATATTTTTTACGTCCTACAATCTTGGTTACACAGGCCCAGAATTAAGCACTCGGCCATTTTCAGAGAATCCTAGTTTTCCTTTTACCAAAGCAATCTTGTTTCTAGCCCTGGAATGAGCAGTTGAGGTTCATGGGCCCAAGGGTCAGTTAGCTGGGGGGAATTCATTGGCAAAAAGATGGTGGGGTGCTGGCTTTAAGTGGCATTTAGAGAGAAATTCAATAGCAGATGCTCATAACTAGTGGGGTTTGCATCAAAATGTTGCAGCGTTTGGAGTGTTCCTGTTCACTGTGCTGGCCAGCTAGCTAGCTAGCTGACCTTCCTTCAGGATACTCCATTCCGTTCCACCTACCAGCAAGTTTCTGTCCCTTCCGCAATCATAATTCTGCTGCCACTGAGCTGTTTTGCCTCTCCTTCCATCCCACTTCAATTCCCCCCCCCCCTAAATATGTCTTTGTGTGTTTCGGCAAAGCTTGTGTTTCCCCAAAAGAAAAGCCCCGCATCCTGTTCTCACAGAAGCCACCCAGCTGCCCGTGGGAATGCTGATCACTACAAAAGCGGCTGGCATACAGAGATACGCTGCCTGTGACAGTGGAAAGACTCCCTTTCAACAGGAGCGCTGTTTTGACGTCATAAGAGGCGATAGCCACACCTGGACGTCAGGAATCTGGTCAGAGTAGCTGATTGGAACCTGCATGTACAGATGCACTGTATCTGTGTCAACAGATGAGGATAAGGAACAGGCGCCTCTCTAGGTGTCTCAGAAGTGCTGAGGGCAGCAGGTGGCGGCAGGCTTTGTTTCTATGCCAAAAAGTGAAGAAGCGAGGGAGGGGAACCTAACGGAGCATCAATAACTTTGGGTCAAAAAAGCTCAACACATTTTGTGTCCAGAGTCTCACTTTTTGAAATATGGCAACCCTAGTTCGCTCCCTCCTCCTCCTCAGTCTCAGTGTTGCTGCTGGTTAGAACATAGCAGGTAGAAGGGCAAACTGAGGATTAGTTGGCTTTGCAGGTCATTGTCCTCTGGCGCCCCCTACTGCTAGGCTCCCTTCCTTCTGCCCTATCTGTCCCAATGGGACCCAGCCGCAACTCAGCTACACCACTGCTGCGGATACAGATCTGCGGGGATGAGGTGAGCCATTTCCAGGTCAGCCGCCTCTGCATCAGGCTGTCAATAATGGCCTGTAGCCGATCCAAAAATCAAGACGCACACCCCCTCCCTCCCTTGTTCGCCTCCTTCCGGCAACTCCTGCAGCCCAGCTGGTGCCAAATGTCTTGCGAGGCTGAGAGGGGGGGTTTTGTCGTCTGGGCAGCCCAGGACCTCCATGCACACTGCCCAGGCTTGCACCCCATGGAGGTTATTTCAGTGTTGGTCGACTTCATCCCTGGAGGCGCACTTCATTGTCTCTTGAGACAGATGGATGCCAACAACAGGGATATGGGGTGCTTGTGGTCTTCTAGATGTTGCGAGATCACAATTCCCATCACCCCTGACAGTTGGCTGAGCTGCCTGAGTCTACTAGGCCGTGTGCTCTTCCTTCCTACGAAATCTCTGCTCCTGACATTTAACAACATGCACCAGAGTAGGGCCCCAGACCGTCTGAGCTCAATTCTTTTTTTTTTTTTTTCCACCTGAGCTGAGCTCGAGATGATGGTTAATGCTTTAGAAAGAAGCAGGCCAGGGACCGCACATAAATATGTGATGGCGCACCAAGCACACTCAATAATTCATGGGCGCTTTGGGGGACAGCGAGAGAGAACAAGGGAAGAAGGAGAGGGAGGGAACGTAATGGATGGAGGGGCGGGAGGGAAAGGACAGGAAAGGGGAGACGCACAAAAACAGCACCCCCACCCCGTTCTGCAGGCCAAGAGGAGGATGAAGCTCTTCCCAGACTGTATCTCGGCCTTCATCAACCTGCCTGGTCTAAAACATCTGGAGGCCGCCAGGTTAAAGGCTGCTGTAGCATTTGAGGACATGCCGAGGGGGTGTGTATATTTCATCTCCTTTCTCCCCCAGACCTTGAGCGCTTTACCACCTGAACCCAAAGCCTAGCTTTGCTGGGTGGCATGTAGCCCAGTGTCTTGTTTCCAACAGTGGACAGCCAGGGGCACCCTCCAGGAAGCCCTGCAGGCAAAGCGTGAAGGTCCTCTTGTCCTCCTGATATGCAGAGGTAGACTGCCTCTGCAGCTGGAGGTTTCCTTCTGCCACCATGGCTAACTGCCGCGATTTTTGGTTTTCATTTATTTTTTGCACGTATGAATAGGGCCTGAGTGAGGCCAGAACAGGACCTTGTAGTGCAGGGAAGAGGGACATCTGTGTGCCTTGGACTGCAGCTCCCATTAGCCCCAACCAGCAAGACCAACAGTCAGGGATGATGGGAGTTGGGAGTCCGAGAGCTCCTGGAGGGCTGCAGGTTCCCTATCCCTCCTGTGGCGTATATGAGGGATGACAGGCTCACCAGCCTATAGTCTGGGGTTTCTTGCCTCCGTGGCAGAAGTTGCTTCTGACACCTGTGTTTCGTAGCAAAAGAGCTGGAGCCCATCTGCAAGAGCAGGCGGGCCTCAGGGCTGGGAACCAAGAATCTCCACAACCCTGGGGTGACAATGAGGCCCTCCGGCCCTCTCTCTTCTGGCCCTCAACAACTCTTCCCCAAGGTACGCCCCTCCTAGGCGCTGCTCCATTCCTTGAGATCGTTTGCCTGGCTGGAATGTCTCCTTGCTCTTTAATAATGATGCTTGCTTGCCTGTATAGGGTGTGTGTGCGCACGCATGTGCATGTATGTAGAAAGTCTATTGTACAAAGGGTGAAAGTTATGTGTTGCCCCGCCCACTTTTGCCTTTGGCCCCTCCCCTGCTGGAATGCGGACTTCGGAAGGCTACCCAGGAGGAAATACGGCCCTTGGGCTGGCAAGGCTTCTCCACGCCTGTGGCAGAGAACGGCGCAGGACTTGGAGGGGGTAGGGAAGGACCTTGGCGGGCCAGTTAAACTCTCCCCTCCCTCCCGCTTCCTGGTCGATTTGACTTGACCCACAGAGGCCACTGTGGGTAGTCGCCTTGGCGCCCCGCGGCTCCTTTCTCAGGCAAGATGTATCGGCGTTGCCACAATATAGACGGCACACGAGTCGTACGGGTGGCTCACGAGGCAGAGGTGCCTTGGCAGTTTATTGAGGGCGGGGTAAGGAGAGCATGACCTTTGGGTGTGGAGGCCAGGGCCTCTGTAGAAAAGGAGAAGTGACCAAGAGACACAGCCAGCTAAGGGAAGCCTGGGTGGGCGTGGGTATGAGAGAGAGGTGCCCCAGTGTCCGTAGGTAACCTAATCCCCTCGCCTCCCGTTTCCTGGAAGCAGAAGCTCAAATCCCCTCCCCAAATTCTGTCCCAGTCTGGGTGAATGGGCCTGTCTCCTCTTCTCCCGCGACGGGACTGGTTTCTCCCCAAACTGGCAAGGATAGCTGCTACCCGTCCATCACTCCTGATGCCAGGAGGGGCCGATTGCAGAGACCCCGTTTCCCAGCCTGGGTTTCCTGCTTCTTGCAACCGTATATCCTCTTTGCTCCCAGGGCTTGCTGAGTTGAGAGTTGAAAGGGTGGAGTTCTTCCACACACACCTTTGCTGGGGTGGGTTGGTTGGTTGGTTCACGAAATCAACGTCAGGAAACCGGTGCTCGCCCCATCATGTCGGCACACGCCTTTCCAACTCCCAACTGGGGGCGGAGGGGGGGCGAGGGCGTGGCTTCGGTGGGGCAGGAAGACCTAGGTCGGGGCCTTGTTGGACAGGTAAGCGATGAGCGCCACCACCGCTCCGATGTAGGTGCAGATGCCGAGGATGATGGACAAGACAGCCAAGGCGAAGGTTTGGCGAGAGGCCGTCCACGCTCCCGGGTAGTCGCCCTTGGCGGACGCCTTGTTGGTCTGGGGAGAAAAGGCAGCGGATTTAATGTCAGGAAAGGCAGGTGCACGGGCTCAAGTTCCTGAGCCTAGAACTTGGCAATGGCTGTAGCTATTGTTTTAAGCTAACGTGGCCTGGGATACATGATGCATCAAGTGGCATGCGCAGACTCTGCAGGCTCTTGACCAGGGGTCCCCAAACTAAGGCCCATGGACTGGATAAGGCCTGAGGGACTCGTTTATCCGGCTCGCAGCGATCCCCACTGCCGCCGTCCACTCTTACCGGCGCTACGCTGCGTGGCTGCCCACTTCTGGGTCGGAGGAGCACCGGAAACAGCTTGAGCGCATGCGCAAGCGTTATTTGTGCATGCGTAAGCGTTATTTCCGGTGCACATCCGGGTCGTAGGAGGCCCGTGCACATGCGCACAAGCTATTTCTGGTGCTCCTCAGACCCGGAAGTGCACCGGAAATAGCGTGTGCACATGCGTATGGACACGCTCTCCCCCTCCCTCCAGCCTGTGGTGTGATCGGCACTGGAGACACCAGCCCGAGGCAGGGTAAGTTTGCTGACCCCTGCTGTTGACTGCTGTGTCTCGGCTCCTTGTGGAAAAGATGCCATCTCCCATTCCCAACACACCCCTTCCTTGCTGTTGTTCAATTCAGTGACCTTAGACCTGTTAGGATATTTCCGTTCCACCTTAAAAAGGGAGCAGGTTGTTGTGTCACAGCCTGCGTATTTCCTGTTCACAGGATGTTTCTGTTTTGTATATAGCTGTCGTTTTTCTCTCTGTGCCTGGACACGCAGACAGGCAGTCATGTTTTTCCTTTGTTCTGACCAACGCTGAATAAAGTTGTAAATAATGCTCTCCTGAGTGCATCTTTCGTTGTGCGAACTCTGCTGAAAGGGCGTGCACGAGCCCTGGAATGTGGCAAGCTATTTCTGAGGCTCGTGTCGCTAATTGACTGATACTGTATCTACGGGAGATCGATGGATCGTCCGGAATCGACATGGAGGCATGATGGCCTTTGTCTCCCTGGCAGTATCCCAACAAGACCATGGGTAGGCAAACTAAGGCCCAGGGGCCAGATCTGGCTCAATCGCCTTCTAAATCCGGCCTGCGGACGGTCCAGGAATCAGCGTGTTTTTTCATGAGTAGAATGTGCCCTTTTATTTAAAATGCATCTCTGGGTTATTTGTGGAGCATTGGAATTCGTTCATTCCCCCCCCCCCACCCCCCAAAAAATACTCCGGCCTTCCACAAGGTCTGAGGGACAGTGGAGTGGCCCCCTGCTGGAAAAGTTTGCTGACCCCTGCCTTAGACAAATGACATCTCTCAAACCAAGTGTTTGGTGGCAAGTTGATTTCTGCAGCTTGCAACCAGCCCTGTTCTCCATCTAATACATTTTTTAGGCTTTAAAAAGAAAAATGCAAAGAGTATTGTCAAATGCTTTCTTTTGTCCGAACTAAAACATTAATCCAGAGGCAAAGAGAGAGAGAGAAGAGGGAAAAGAAAGAGGAAGGGATAAAGAAAAAGGAGTAGGAAAAGAATTGGAGAGAAAAGAGGAGACAGGTTAAGATGCTAAAGAACTTTTTGTCCATCAGCTATATATAAACTTCATTCACTTCATCCACTCCAGTATAGCATCTATCCTAAACCTGCCCCCTTTGCGAGCTTTTCCCTGCTCAGCGACACCCACCTTTTGGGACAGGTAGAAAGCAGCGATGCCCAGTGGCCAGAAGCAGCACAGCATGGAGAAGACCGCTAGGCCCAGGTAATCTTGCGGCAGCAGCATGGAGAAGCTGCTCTCGCTCTCAGTATCGCTGTCGCTTGAGGAGTCATTCTAGGGAGGGAAGGGGAGAGCAAGCGTTGGCTTCGTTCATTCTGAGGTCTGGTGAAAGAACGCCAATAATAGGAGGAGAGCCCGGCTGGATCCGGTCAACGGCCGATCCTGCTCTCACAGTGGCCAACCAGACGCCTCTTCTGGGAAGCCTGCGAGCAACTGCACTCTCCCTTCCTGCCATTTTCAGCAACGGGTAGTCAGAACCATTGCTGCTTCCAACTGCTGAGGCCAAGCTGAGTCAGTGTGGTTCATAGATGTTGCTTAGCCTCCATGAGGCTGTCTCTAGTGGGAGGGAGTTCCATAGTTTATGTGCTCTGTAAGGATGTGCTTTGTTTTGTCCATCCGAGCACAATTCAAAGTGTTGGTGCTGGCCTTTAAAGCCCTAAATGGCCTCGGCCCAGTATACCTGAAGGAGCATCTCCACCCCCATCGTTCAGCCCGGACACTGAGGTCCAGCGCCGAGGGCCTTCTGGTGGTTCCCTCACTGTGAGAAGTGAAGCTATAGGAAACCAGGCAGAGGGCCTTCTCGGTGGTGGCGCCCGCCCTGTGGAACGCCCTCCCACCAGATGTCAAAGAAATGAACAACTATCCAACGTTTAGAAGACATCTGAAGGCAACCCTGTTTAGGGAAGTTTTAATGTTTGATGTTTTATAATGTTTTTAATATTCTGTTAGGAGCCGCCCAGAGTGGTTGTGGAAACCCAGCCAGATGGATGGGGTATAAATAATATATTACTACAGTGGTACCTCAGGTTACAGACGCTTCAGGTTACAGACTCCGCTAACCCAGAAATAGTACCTTGGGTTAAGAACTTTACCTCAGGATGAGAACAGAAATGGTGTGGCGGCAGCAGGAGGCCCCATTAGCTAAAGTGGTACTTCAGGATAAGAACAGTTTCAGGTTAAGAATGGACCTCTGGAACGAATTAAGTTCTTAACCTGAGGTACCACTGTACTACTACTACTACTACTACTACTACTACTACTACTACAGTTTCATTGGATGTCCATGAATTCTGGTGTTATGAGAGAGGGAGAAAAGGCTTTTCTGCATCCGCTTCCTCCATCATCTTATAAACTCCCGTCCTGTCCCCTCTAGCTCACTTTTTCTCTACGCTAAAAAGTCCCGAATGCTGCAAACTTTCCTCCTAGAGGACTCGCTCCCTCCTCTTGATAATTTTCTGAACCTTTCCCAACTCTGTAATGCCCTTCCGAGGTCAGGCGACACAGTATTCCAAACGCAGCCGCACCATATATCTGTTCAATGGCATCGCGGTTGCAGCAGTTTTGTTTTCAATTCCTTTCCTAATGATCCCTAGTGTGGTATTAACCTCTTTCACAGCTGCTGAGAACTGAGCCGACATTTTCAACAAGTCATCCACCAGAACTCCAGGGTCAGGCATTGCCAGTTCAGAACCCATGAGCGTATATGTGAAATTAAGATTAGATAGATAGATGATAGCCCCAATATATATATGTGCAACACTTTACACTGAATTGTGATTGCAGACGCAGGATCAGCACCTGCAAGTCTGGTGCCTTTTTTGTGTGTGTTATTTTGGTCTTTATAGGGTTTTAATTCATTTCTAACGACTTTTTAACCTTTTAAACTTCTCGATGGTTTAATGCTGCTTGACGTAACTGCTTATCGTTGCCTGCCAACAAACAAAGAATCCAGCTTGTTTGACTCACCGAGTTGCATTTGCCATTTTACTGCCCGTTCGCTCAGTTTGGAGAGATCCTTTCTATAGCTGTCTGCAATCCCTTTCGTTTTAATGACTCCGAACTCTTTTCTCGCCATCAGCAAAATCGGCCACTCCTAGCTCTAGATGGTTTATGAAAAAGTCCCAATACCAATCTGAAGGTATTCTACACCCCTCCATTGAGGTAACTGTCCATTTATTCCTACTCTTAACCAGTTGCTGATCCAAATGGATGCGTTTGTTCCACACCTGCTCATAACATCCTGCTCTGGCTCTCTGCTTGTGGAGTAGCTACTAAAATCATGGTGTGCAGAGAATGGACAGAGGGTTTTTTCTCCCTCTCATTATATGAAATGCAATAGGATCCATATTTAAGGTAAAGGTAAAAGGACCCCTGACCATTAGGTCCAGTCGTGACCGACTCTGGGGTTGCGGCGCTCATCTCGCTTTATTGGCCGAGGGAGCCGGCGTACAGCTTCCGGGTCAATGGCATGTTGCAGAATTTGCCCGCAAAAACAACACCAGTGTAGAGGGGCTTCAAGAATCGTCCAAAAGCGGCATCCTGAAGATTGAGAGGTACGAGCAAGGCATGATGGCCACATCCCTCAGACTTTATCCTCAGTCCCTGGTACTCAGAGCAGCCATGTCTAATACCATTATTGGACCTAGTCTCCCAGCGTAAAGGTAAAGGAACCCCTGAAAATTAGGTCCAGTCGTGGACGACTCGGGGGTTGCTGTGCTCATCTCACTCTAGAGGCCGAGAGAGCCGGCATTTGTCCACAGACAGCTTCTGGGTCATGTGGCCAGCATGACTAAGCCGCTTCTGGCAAACCAGAGCAGCGCACGGAAACGCCTTTTACCTTCCCGCCAGAGTGGTACCTATTTATCTATATGCACTTTGATGTGCTTTCGAACTGCTAGGTTAGCAGGAGCAAGGTCCGAGCAACGGGAGCTCACCCCGTCGCGGGGATTCGAACCGCCGACCTTCTGATCGGCAAGTCCTAGGCTCTGTGGTTTAACCCACAGTGCCACCCGCGTCCCAGGACCCATATTTAGGAGAGAGTAAAAGGGTGCACTGAAGGAATGGGGTTGATTTTAATGGCAAGTCAAATATTCCCCTTTCGGAGATCCGCAATTTCGCATTTCAGCTCTTCACAATCTCTTGGGCGGACACCATTCACACCTGTTGATTTGTTTATTTTTTAACTTGTCAGTTAAAGCCTAGAATGGCATTTCTTGTCACCGCTATTTTCCTTAGTTCTTCAGACTCGGGGGGGGGGGGGGATCAGTCCAGGCACAGGTATCTGACCTAAATCTTCCATAGTGAGAAGCAGAGAAGTCATTCAGCTCTCCTGTAATCTCCTTATCCTGCTTTCGCACCTTTACCTCTCTTGTCGTCTAACGGTCCAACTTCCCTTCCTAGCTGGTTTGCTGTTTCTGATGCACTTAAATATTTTCCAAAATTAGTTTTGCTGGTTATTATGCTAGCATTTCTGACCCAATTTCTAATATTCCGTTTGCAATACAGTACCTGTTGGGTCTTTGAACCTATATACTGCCATGTCAGGCTAAATATTGTTCGCACCAGTAGGCTTAGCAGAACATGACAGGAAAGGTCATCAGACATGTAATGCAAAAATCTACTGTACAGGTAAGGAAGTATCAGGAAGACAGAATAAAATGTCACCTGAATGTAGCCTTCATGTTTTAGCAATATGCTCCTGAAATTATTTTTCCGCTTCTCCTATGGCCCATCTGTCTGTCTGCTTCGTGAAAGTTTACGTTCTGTTTTGTTCTCATTTGGATAAAACTTCCATTTTTAGTGAAAGGGTTTAAGGTCACTGAGAAGGAGGAGGATTGGTTTGAATTATTGGTACTGAATTATTTGGGCAGGTTTGAACAATTTGGGGCAATTAAAATGTTAAAAGTTAAATAAACCTTGTGGAGGGAGGAGTGTTAAGGTATATAGAATTGTACATATGGCTGATGTGAATATGTTATTATTGATTATGTATACCCAATGTATCAGCCGCCTGGGGGTTTTCACTGTTTGTGTTTTGGTTGTTGGTAAAAAAAAAAAAAAAAGGAAAACGGAAAAAATGAAAAGAAAAAAAACTTCCATTTTTTAGAAGGGAGCTCCTTTGCTTCTAACAGATCCCTGGTTCACTCATTAACCTGGCTCGCTCATTAACCATCTCGTGTGATTTCGGCGAGATCTTGCGAGATCTCGTTGGAAATTGGTGCCAATGCCTCACCCTACCTAATGGGAGGGCCGGCCCAAGGTGTGGATTTGCTGCTTCCTATGCTCAGCAGTTGAGCTTCTGTGGCTTTGAATAACTACCTACCCCCTCAGCTGGATGCCCCTTACCTTCTCTCAACTTCCCCCTATCTAAAAAAACACCTTGCAAACTTTTTAATAGTAAGCACCGCCAACTGTCTGCTTCTGTTCTGGTCCGAGGGGAGCCCAGTCTACCTTCTTCCTTATAACCTGTCCAGGTGGTGATGATACTTCCCAGCTTCCTTCTCCTTAAATTAGTTTTTATTAAACTGTGTGCGTGTGTGTGTGTGTGTGTGTACGTGTGTACATATAGCACCTCCACTTTCAATTCCTATAGTCTTTTTCATACATTCGGTATGAGACACTATTGTCATTGTGGGGAAAGAGAGATGGGAAGGGAAATTAACTTTGGTTCTACAGTGGTACCTCGTGTTAAGTACTTAATTCGTTCTGGAGGTCCGTTCTTAACCTGAAACTGTTCTTAACCTGAAGCACCACTTTAGCTCATGGGGCCTCCCGCTGCTGCTGTGCTGCTGGAGCACGATTTCTGTTCTCATCCTGAAGCAAAGTTCTTAACCTGAGGTACTATTTCTGGGTTAGCGGAGTCTGTAACCTGAAGCGTATGTAACCTGAAGCCTATGTAACCTGAGGCAACCACTGTATTGCAAAGTGCTTGTGCAGGGTGTTTGAGTCAGGGTCATGTGGAGAGGTCCTTTGTTTGTTTGTTTATTTATTGGCATCATGAGAGATTGGAGGGTCCAGAATTTGGTCGTCTCAGCGACACCCTTGCAGAATTCAGCAGGGAATGAGTTGGCTCTTGTCTACCTTCGGTTGTCGTTTGTGGCTGACGTTGGGCCTCCTGCTCCACCAGTCCCAATGGACACCAGCCAATGCTATCCATACCAAGCTCTCCTCCTGACACTACCTGCTCAGACTGCAATGCGTTCTACGTGGGGCTACCTTTGAAGGTGGCCCGGAAACTACAACTAATCCAGAATGCGGCAGCTAGACTGGTGACTGGGGGTGGCTGCCGAGACCACATAACACCTGTCCTGAAAGACCAACATTGGCTCCCAGTACGTTTCCGAGCACAATTCAAAGTGTTGGTGCTGACCTTTAAAGACCTAAACGGCCTCAAAGGCCCAGTAGACCTGAAGGAGTGTCTCCACCCCCATTGTTCTGCCCGGACACTGAGGTCCAGCGCCGAGGGCCTTCTGGCGGTTCCCTCACTGCGAGAAGCCATGTTACAGGGAACCAGACAGAGGGCCTTCTCGGTAGTGGCGCCCGTCCTGTGGAACGCCCTCCAACCAGATGTCAAAGAGAACAACAACTACCAGACTTTTAGAAGACATCTGAAGGCAGCCCTGTTTAGGGAAGCTTTTAATGTTTAATAGACTACTGTATTTTAATATTATGTTGAATGCCGCCCAGAGTGGCTGGGGAAACCCAGCCAGATGGGTGGGGTATAAATAATAAATTATTATTATTATTATTATTATTATTATTATTATTATTACTTGGGCTTCCCATTTGGGCATCCGATTGGCATAGCTGTCAACGTTTCCCCTTTTTAAAGGGAAATTCCCTTATTCCGAATAGGATTCCTCGCAAGAAAAGGGAAAAGCTGACAGCTATGCCAATTGGCCACGGTACAATTTGTGCCTTTTGCTACTGACAGCAGTGGCGGTTCAGGAACGGGTCTGACGCCTCCTTCCGCAAGAGGTGAGCCACAAGCTTCTACTCCCTGCGTTTGAGGCCCTCGGCCAAGCCCCCCTCGAGCCCCAGCCCTTACCTCGAGGTCCGGAGACTCTGTGTCGCCCACTTCGTAGCAGACGGTGTGGATGTCCTTTTCCAGAGGCACCTTCCTGGGCAGCTCCCCGGCCTCCTTGCTGTCTCCAAAGGCGGTTTCGATATAATCTTTCTTCTTCCAGCCTTGGGGGTTGCTGGATTTCCACAGCTCGGGGTACAGGGTCGGTTCCGGGGTGCAGAAGGGCTCGACTGTCCTCTGCAGGCTGCTAGGGTCCAGGAGCTGACTGGGAAGGATGTGGGATCCGGGCTGGAGCCAGGAGAGGTTAGGGGGCATGTGATGGGACAGCAGTCCAGAGTGGTCCTGGGGGGCGACCCGACTCAGCATTCCGCCCCGGAGGGTGGCTCTCCCAGGGGACTTTGCCAGAAGTGGGTGCTGAAGTTCATGGATGTTCTCCATAGCACCCCTAGGCGGAAGGTGCTGGCTGCCCTCTTCTCCTCGCTGTCAGTTAAGGCCGAGTGAGTCTCTCGCTTCAGTTAGCTTGGGGAGCGATTGCAAAACAAAGAAGCAAAAAAAAACAGCAAAGCGTTTAGCGCCTTTTATATAGGGAAAAAATGTACACATCGCTCCACCAAGAAGTTCTCTTAAGAGGCATACTAATAACAGATAGGAATGCAGGTGGCACTGTGGGTTAAACCACAGAGCCTAGGACTTGCCGATCAGAAGGTCAGCGGTTCGAATCCCTGCGACGGGGTGAGCTCCCGTTGCTCGTCCCTGCTCCTGCCAACCTAGCAGTTCGAAAGCACGGCAAAGTGCAAGTCGATAAATAGGTACCACCCCGGGGGGTAGGTAAACGGCATTTCCGTGCGCTGCTCTGGTTCACCAGAAGTGGCTTAGTCCTGCTGGCCACATGACCCGGAAGCTGTACACCGGCTCCATCAGCCAATAAAGTGAGATGGGCGCCGCAACCCCAGAGTCGGTCACGACTGGACCTAACGGTCAGGAGTCCCTTTACCTTAATAACAGATAAAGCCAAGATCCACAGCCCGTTCCCAAACAACTGCAGTGGTACCTTGGTTCTCAAACGCCTTGGCACTCAAACAACTTGGAACCCAAACACTGCAAACCCAGAAGTGAGTGTTCCAGTTTGCGAACCTTTTTCGGATGCCGAACGTGCTCCGTATTGAGTGATACCCTTCCGTTTTGAGTGTTAAGCTTCTGTTTTGAGTGTTACGCCGAGGTCTGTTTTCGCTATTTATTTTGCGTTTTAGTTTTTGAGGCCTTTTTCTTTTGTTTTTGTGACTGTGTGGAACCCAGTTCAGCTACTGATTGATTGATTGTGTGACTGCAGTACATTGCTTATTGCTTTCATTTTATGGATCAATGGTCTCGTTAGATAGTAAAATTCATGCTAAATTGCTGTTTTTGGGGTTGTTTTTAAAAGTTTGGAACGGATTAATCCATTTCCATTACTTTCTATGGGGAAGTGCGCTTTGGTTTTGGAACGGACTTCCGGAATGGATTAAGTTTGAGAACCAAGGTACCACTGTATAGTTAAGGGATACCAAACTTGTGATCCACATCCTTTGTTCAGGAGGCCTGCATCATGTCTGTGGCTGAAGGCTGGAGAGAAAACATCTGTCTTGTTCAATATTTGTATTGATTTTTAAATTGTATTTTAATTGCTGCTTTTATTTCTTACAGATTGTGTTCTATTGTATTGTGATGTGGATTCGACGGAATCCAAATTGGAATACAATGAATACAACCTATGAGAAACAAAATAAAAGAAGCAGTGAAAAGAAGATTAAGGATTATACCGCGTCTACTGCAGTGTATTACGATTGCTGCAACAGTAATGATGGATCTGTTAAGACCCTTAGCGGTTTTTAAGGGGGCGCGGCATAGGCGTAGCCAAGGCAGGCCGGTGAGGGGGGCAGACACAATTTTTTTGGAAAAGCATTGACAGTACTCAATTAACTGAGGTTCTGTCCCCCCCCAGGAGAAGCCTCCCCCTGAACCAAAGTGTGCCCTCTGTAATGTCCGCTTTTGGGGGGTACAGTCACCCATGATTTCGCCAAAAAAGCTCAACAACTTGGGGGGTGATCTCCTAAAGAAAGCTCAACAATTTTGGCTGCCCCCCCCAACAAAAATCCTGGTTACGCTCATGGGTGTTGGGGAGAGAGATTAGGAAACCACTGGCTTAAAACCATAAAACAAAGATAAAAATCAGTAAAACTTTTAAAACAAATAAGGTAAAGGTAAAGGGACCCCTGACCATTAGGTCCAGTCGTGGCCGACTCTGGGGTTGTGGCGCTCATCTCGCGTTATTGGCCGAGGGAACCGGTGTACAGCTTCCGGGTCATGTGGCCAGGATGACTAAGCCGCTTCTGGCGAACCAGAGCAGCACACGGAAACGCCGTTTACCTTCCTGCCGGAGCGGTACCTATTTATCTACTTGCACTTTGACGGGCTTTCGAACTGCTAGGTGGGCAGGAGCAGGGACCGAGCAACGGGAGCTCACCCCGTTGCAGGGACTCGAACCGCCAACCTTCTGATCGGCAAGTCCTAGGCTCAGTGGTTTAACCCACAGCGCCACCCGCATCCCCTTTAAAACAAATACAGACAACAAATACGGGCAACTAAATAATGAATCGAGATAGGCTGGCTGAAACAGGTACGTTTTCATCAGGAGGTGTCTAAAACAATAAGGGAGGATGCACTAATGTCTTAATTATTTCATTTCTATCCCACTTCGTTCTCCAAGCAGTTCAAGGTGGCAAATGTAGTTCTCCCCGTCCTTATTTAATCATCACAACAACCCTGTGAGGTAGGTGAGGCCGAAAGGCCGTGACTGGTCCAAGGTCACCCAGGGAGCTTCATGGCTGAGTGGGGATTCGAACCCTGTTCTCCCAGGTCCTAGCCTGACACACGAACCACTACGCTACACTGGCTTGCAGAAGATGGTTTACATTAAATGCTCTGAAAACTTCAAAATACTGTGCAAAGATAATAGGAGTTGTCATTGTTCACGAGCAATTTCTCCTTCTCCTTCTGCTGTTTTCCGAACCCAAATCAAGCCCCTTGAATTTGTGTGAAACCGAGTCCCTGTAAGTTAGAGAACTTTCTCTTCCACCGCCCTGAGGCTTAGGAAATCTCTTTGTTTAGACTTGCATGGGTAGGCAGACTAAGGGATGCGGGTGGCGCTGTGGGTTAAACCACAGAGCCTAGGACTTGCCAATCAGAAGGTCGGCGGTTCAAATCCCCGTGATGGGGTGAGCTCCTGTTGCTCGGTCCCTGATCCTGCCAACCTAGCAGTTCGAAAGCACGTCAAAGTGCAAGTAGATAAATAGGTACCACTCCGGCGGGAAGGTAAACGGCGTTTCCGTGCGCTGCTCTGGTTCGCCAGAAGCGGCTTAGTCATGCTGGCCACATGACCCGGAAGCTGTACGCTGGCTCCCTCGGCCAGTAAAGCAAGATGAGCGCTGCAACCCCAGAGTCGGTCACGACTGGACCTAATGGTCAGGGGTCCCTTTACCTTTAGGCAAACTAAGGCCTGAGGGCTGGATGCGGCCCAATCGCCTTCTCAATCTGGCCTGCGGACAGTCCGAGAATCAGCGTGTTTTTACTTGAGTAGAATGTGTCCTTTTATTTAAAATGAATCTCTGGGTTATTTGTGGGGCATAGGAATTTTTTCATATTTTTTCCCCAAAATATAGTCCGGCCCCCCACAAGGTCTGAGGGACAGTGGACCGGCCCCCTGATGAAAAAGTTTGCTGACCCCTGGTTTAGAGAGCCAGCCGCTCCTCTCAGCAGCCTGCAAGACTCCTTTCCTGACACAAAACCCACCCCACTCTTTGTGAACCAGTTAGTTGGGACAGAAAACTTGGAGCCAGTCCATTTGTATCTCTATATTTCCAAACCTATCTGTCTGTATAGATATATATCAGAGGTAGCCAACGCAGTGCTTTGCAGAAGTTGCTGGTTCTGAAAATCTGTTTAAAGTTCCACTTCACTGGCATCTGATATCCCTCTGGCTGAAAACGTACATGCAGGCTGATGCGAGATAGTGACTTTTAGAGATGCAAGGCTGTTTTCCTGCTAATTTTATCTGCATCTTTTGGAACGGATTCACAAGAAGCCTTGTTGAAGGAATTGCTGGAATACTACAAAGGGACATTTTGTGAAAGGATGTAGAGATAACACTAAGTTTGGTGGCGGCAGAAAAAAATGCTTTATCGGTGTGAAGTGGAATTTAAGATGAATGCTCCAGACTTTCTAGATTGCTTTCATATAGTCCCTTTTATTTATGGCTGGGGTTCGGCTCTCATAAACGGAAGCTGAGAAAATACATAAATTTCTGGGATGTGCCATTTGGCTTGTAGGTGGGGTTCACTTGAGTGCTCCGTACGATTATTTTTCAATCCCTGCACATAAAAAAACCAGCCTGTCGCAGTGAAGGTTACCCTAATCTTGCCCCCCTGACACCATCTGTATTCTTAAATGTGCAGATTATATTTTATTTTTGTACAACGTTCTCACGTGTCAGCCCGCACCGGCAGTCTGAGATGGCAGCAATTCAGAAACAGCGATATTGTCTCATCTGCTGTTTGGGTGAAATAGGCAGCGATGGACTTAGGCGACAGAGTGCTGTTAGCGAATGCGGTGCTAAATTAACGTCACTAAGCGGTATCTGAATTGTGATGGCAGAAAGTTCTTGCTGAAGGAAAAACACAGGTACATTGCCCAAGATTGTCGTGCAACTGATTGCACAGCAAAAACCAGCTGCTGCACACCAAGAATTGTCTGTTGTGCAACAAACTTCTGCTGGCACAACCTTTGTGTTGGATTCTTTTGTCGCCCTCCCTTTAAACTTGTGATGGCCTGGGACTCGGGCTCGGACTCGGAACCAGAGGAGACTCGGTCTGCATCGGATCCTTTGCCTCAGGCATCACCTGAACCAAGTCTGGGGCCTGATCCTCGGACTCGGAACCAGAGGAGACTCAGTCTGCACAGGTTCTGCTGGGCCGTGTCAGGGGGCCTGAGCCTGCCCTGGCTCCAGATGCGGGGATTACTTTGTTGTCTTCAGCTGGGCCATCACTTACAGCTGCTTTGCTACTGGTTGGGTCAGGGGAGACTGAGGCAGCCTCTGGGTCTAGTAACCCACCGACGTCTCCCAAGCTGCAGAGACGAAGGTCTGAGAGAAGGAGAGACCTGAGTACTTGCAGGAGGAGTGTTTGCCTTTGGGCGAAACAGGGAGGTGAGTCACCAGGGGATCAGGACCAGCCCCTACCCCAACAAAGATAAAAGGCTGTCGGACCCTGCCCCAGGTTGTGGGAGCAACATTGTTGTATGCTAGATCCTGCCTGAGATCCTGTACCTATCCTTGCCTGGTTTCCTGCCTTGTGTCCTGCCTTGGCCCTGTTGGACTGTCTCCCAGCGGGACCTTCGGATTCTGC